AGTCTCGTATTCCGGCAGCTTTGAGTGGAGCGGAATTTCCTTTGTTACTTCCTGCCGTGTAGCGGTACGGCGTGGCGATAGCGGTAGGTGTGAGCGAGAAGCGCTTGGCGATAGTGTCGGCGTATTTCTCGGCGCTTAAGTAGATAGCATTTTCTTCTTCGCGGATGTTGAGCCCGAAGTACTGGGTGACGGTAGAAGAAACCGTGAGCGTGAGGTCCTTCTGCAGCTCCCCTTCGAACCAGGTGGTGATGTCGTCGGTGGAGCCGATGTAGAGTAGGTCGTCGACGTAGACGATCAGTAGGATGTAATCGGCGTCTTTAGTGAATCGATACATTCCTTGGTCGTGCGGCAGTTGGCGGAATCCGATGCGAGTGAGTCGGGTGTGTAGGTGCTGTTGCCACAGCCGCGGGGCTTGTTTGATTCCGTAGAGCGATTTCAGTAGCTGGCAGACCTGATTGGGGTTTCCGTGGGTACCGTGTGGGAGTTCGACGAAGATTTCGGCGTCGACGGGTGCGTAGAGAAATGCGTTGGCGACATCGATTTGTCGCAGTTTCTTCTTCTTCATGGCGGCAACGGCGAGAAGAATTCAAAGAGAGGTATGTCGACTAACTGGGGCGAATGTCTCGGTGAAGTCTCGTCCTTGCTCTTGGTCGAATCCACGCACGACCCAGCGTGCTTTGAACTTCTCGATTGTGCCGTCTGCTTTCGTTTTGATGCGGAAGACCCATTTCCCGGTGAGAATGGTTTTGTTCCTTGCCTCGCTTGCGGGAACGACCTTCCAAGTGTTGCGTTCCTCCAGTGCCTTTAACTCTCTGTCCATGGCTTCGCGCCATTTCTCCCTGTGTTCCCCCCCCCAGAGCCTGCTGAACCGTCGCAGGCTCCTATGGAAGTGCGTTGCCGTGGACTGCGGTGACGAGGCCGAGGATTTGCAGTCCAGTCTGTGAGTATCGGGGGAGTGTTGGATCCTCGGGATAAGCTGCTTCGTCTCCCGCTTCTGGATCGGGTATGAAATTTGGCCCTATCCGTTCTGCTTCGTTTGTGTTGACTCTCGCAGGTGTTACGTAACCGTTGTCGGCGAAGTGATAGAAGATTTCGGCGTTGACACTGTCGCGAGGATTGTCTTCGTCCATGGGCACGTCGACGGAGCAGTACGGGAGAGGTCCGGTTTCTTCCGATGCGTTGTCGACGTTCTGTTCATCCCAGTCTGCTTCGTCCGCTGCTGAGGCGAAGGCTCGGTCACCACGAAAACCACCTGTGGGGTCCTGATTCTCGTGCAAGTTGGCGAGGTACGTTTGAAGGGTGAGTCGCTCGTAGAAGATCACATCACGTGCTGCTACTGTTTCCTTTGAGTGGACATCGAAAATTTTCCACGCGTTGTAATTTTTCTCGATGCCGAGGTGTAGTCCCCACTGTGCCCGTTGTGAAAATCTTCCCGCTCGTGCTTCTGGGGGTCGGTACTGCACCATGCATCCGAAAACTCGTATCATTCTTGTGCTGCCCTGCTTTCTGTCCACAGCAGATGCGGTGATGCGTTGTTCGGGAGTGACGACAACGACAGCAAGTTGTGCAGCATGACAACATGGTCCATTGCTGCAGGCCACTGGTGGTTGGGTAGCCGCATGCCACGTAGCAGTTTGCGCATGCTGTTCTGCAGAGTCCTGTTCATTCTTTCTGCAACACCTTGCTGCTGATGGGCGTAGGGAAGGGAGAGGAGTTGCTTGATTCCCCTTTCCGCCAAGTACTGCTTGAAGCGCTGAGAGGTGTATTCTCCTCCTCCGTCTGACTGGAAGCTTTTCAGCTGTGTTCCTGACTCCCTCTCTGCTACCGGTAGCCAAGCGGCAAACGCTGCGAGTGCCATGTCGCGGCTGGGTAGGTTTCGATGCCAGACGTATCGAGTGGCGGCGTCGATGAAGGTTATCGTGTAATTGTAGGTGACTTGTCCTGGTTCTCGATTGAAGAGGATGTCGCTGTATACTTTCTCGAGTGGTGCGTATGAAGGTGCGCTCGCGTTGTGGTGAGAAGAAAACGGTCGATGGGGTAAGTCGGCTTCGGGGCAGATGAGGCAAGTTCCTCGTGCCCGTTGAAGTTCTCTGCCGTCGGGTAGTAGTAGCAAATCTTTGTCGAGGACTCCCGCTCGAATTGTGTTATTTAATACTGTGTTGCTTGGATGTCCTGTGCGTGCGTGCCAGATGTCTTCAGGAGCGCGATGTCCGGGTGAGCGTTGATACGCGTCGGAGTTGGAGTAGAAGCTGGCGACGACATTGGCGCTTCTATGGACTTCTCGTTGAGTCGGGTTCAGTTGCTGTGCGGGTGTTGGTGGTGCTTCGTCGACCATGACTGGTGTCGTTGGTCCTGCTGCTGCCGATGATGTTTCTGCTGCTGTCGATGTTGTCTCTGCTACTGCCGTTTGTTGAATTGTTGCTAACGCTCGTGTTCGTTCTGCTTCAGGGATGGTGTGCGAGTACCACAAACCTCCCGGGCTGAAGTCGGGATCGAGATCCGGGGGGTGTGTCCAATCGGCGAAGTTGACGATGGCGTCGCTATCTGCAGTGCCAAGGTCGGGGACGAAATCGAGGACGAAGACGTTGTTCTTCAAAACTGCTCTTCCAATGTAGAGGCCGCCCTTCCCGTGGTACAGTTTAAACTCCTGGGTGGTGCTGTCGGCTTCCAAGTGGATGCCTTTCGCCATCAGCTGGCTGACACTCAGTAAGTTATAACCGAGTCCTTCTGTGATGAGTACCTTTGACATGTGCAGTATGACGTTTGTTTCTCTTGATTGAAGCTGAACTACTCCTTGTCGTCGTGTGCGCAGGTTCTGGTTGTTGGCAACCGTGATGACTACTTCTCGCTGGAGTCGATGTTCGCGTTGAACGAAGAGTCCCGAGGAGCACATATGTTGTCCGCAGCAACTATCCAAGAACCAGGTGTCTTGCCCGGACGGTTCGCTTTGAGCGATGGCGGCGTACGTCGGATTCGGTTGGAGTGACTCGCGGCGAGGCGTCCTGTTGTCGAGCTCTTCTTTCGGTGAGTAGTGAGGTGGTGATTCGGTTGTGCACGAATCAGTTATCTTCACCATGCAATTGACAATGTTTCTTGCTCCTTGTGCAGATTGTCCTGTTGGAGTCGTTGAAGCTTGGATTGAGGTCGTCGGATTTGCTTGTGTTGAGGCAACTTGGGAGCTTGAAGGCCAGAGTTGTCGCTGTGGTGTTGTCTGACGAGACGGGCAGTGCGTGCGAGGGTGTCCCGAAGTCTTGCAGATGTGGCAAAACGGAGGTACCGTCTTCACTTGTTGCTGTTGTTGATTGTTGTTGTTGTTGTATCGTCGCTGAGTGTGAAACGCAAACTCCGGTGCAAATGTTTTCTTCTTGTGTCTTTCTTCTTGCAGGTCCATGTCCTGCTGCTCGGCATGAATTTCGGCGCAAAGTGCCGCTTCGGAAATCCTCCCGTGTGCTCGTAATATGGCGCGAGTGGAGCGCCAGTTGGGGCCGAGACTGCCGATGACCACCGTGACAAAGGCGTCTTCTGAAATCGACCCTCCGCATCGAAGAAGCTTGTCGCGCAGTTCGCGGCAGCGGCTGATATAAGCCATGCCTTTCTCGCCTGGTTTCATTTCAATTGTTGTCAACTGCGCCATTAACTTGCTTTGATTTACGCTGTCTGTTGCTTGATACAGGTTCTTCAGGTGGTTGTACGCGAGCTCCGCGGAGTTGCCGTAGCCTCGGTAAGTCCTGATGTTCTGCTGCTGGGTCGGGGTGATGTTTCTTAGCAGTATCGTGTACGCCATCATTGATTGATAGGTGTACTGCTACTTCTCATATTGTGTCCCGTTTGTTGGATATGGCAGGGACCCGTCGAAGAAGCCGAGAATCTGTGCTCCTTCCATCATCAGTTCGAACTCGAACGACCAGGTGAAGAAGTCTTTTCCGTCGAAAGGCTTTGTCGTTTGCAGCTTGAGAACATGCGCGAATTGCGATTGAACTTGTAATGCGTCCAATGCCCTTTCTTGTCCCGGTGCAGACTGCGGTTGCGGCATGAAGCTGACGGAGCCACGCTGGGGCTCGTACGGCGCAAAGGTAGGCTGCTGCTGTTGTTGTTGAATTCCGCGTGCGTAGGATGAGCCGTCGAGACTCATAGGAGTTACGTTGTTGTTGTTGCTGTTGTTTGACTGCGCAGGTACTCCTTGCTGGTGCTGCTCGTAGAAGGACATGAAGGAGAAGAATTTCTCCATCATGCTTAGATCGAAGCCTGCGGGCGTTTCCGTAGACCCAGCTGCTGGTCTCGTGGTAGTCCCTTCTTCCGTCTGCAGACCAGAGACAGGAGGTGGAGTAGGGGTAGTGCCTGGAGAACCGTTGGAGGAGCTCCTCTCCTTCCTAGTAGACATGTCTTCCTTGTATTAAGTATTAAGAGAAAAAGTAACTTTGAACTCTATCTGCTCTCATACCATGTTGGGCTGAGATGCCCTAGGATCTTTGTAGAGTTAGAGTCTGAGTAGGATTGTAATAGCGGAAGCGTTTGAATGAAAAGTCCTTGAACCACCTTGCGCTAGTATGTGAGGGCAAAGTAAGTTGATTAAAAACAAGCAAATACAAGGCTTGATATAAGAGTACAAGGAATACGAAAAGATATAATTAAACTGTTTTGCTGTTGCGATTAGATGCAGTGCGACTCGGGCAACTGCTCAATGTCGAGTCAGTTGTGTGTCCTTGCCGTCGCGCTGTATTTGTCAAGTCAAAGGTCGCTGACTTTTGACCTTCGCGTAACCTCCAGGCGGTTACCCTAACCTCCGAGGGTTGACTCGCGATGCTTCGATTTGGACTGCTTCGCTTGTGTCCTGAGTTTCGACACGACAGAGGCGCTTTAAGACTTATTGTTCCCAACAACTTTGACATGCCTGACCGACATCCAATCCAACTGGATGCCACCCTGGGCCCGCTTGGCGACCCGTGTTTAGGCGCGTACCCCCAGCCCGACTATGGCGCAAGCACATCACTCTGGCCGTAATGGCCGGGACTGCCCCGAACTTAAAACCGAAATATGGAATAGTGAACCCCGTCCCAGCTTGAAAGGGTCTTCCAGAGTGGGTTTGCAAAGCACTGTTTCAAACATTTCGTGTGTGCATATCGTAGCCATTTGATTGGCTCCCGCCAAAAACGAAATTTTTGGGCCTTACACAAGGAGTCGCCTTCAACATGATGCACCCGCACGACGGCTGCACGGCGATCATTGCGATTGTTGGGTCCAACTCCAACTTCAAGCTGGACTTGGGTTCCACTACTTCTTTCCGCTCTATTCTCTAGTTTAGCCAGGCTTAGAATAGCTGAAAACGTAGGCATTTTTGCCTAGGCAACTACCATTTTTATAAATTTAATCCTCATCCTTCTATTCATGGCCTAGTGGCGAGGAATCTTACGCGCCGCGTAGCGACACTTGCCTCGAGATTATTCGGCAGAACGCGCTCGCCGCCGAAACGCCCTTTCGTCGCCCTCTCTCTCGCCCCTCTCTTCCCGTCGCGCTCTCTCTATCCGCGCTCTTCCCGTCGCCTCCCTTCCCATCGCGCTCTCTCTCCACCCTCCCTTCCCATCGCGCTCTCTCTCTCCGCTCCCTTCCCGTCGCCCTCTCTCCCGTCGCCCTCTCTCTCCCCCCTCCCCTCCCATTGCGCTCTCTCTCTCCGCTCCCTTCCCGTCGCCCTCTCTCCCGTCGCCCTCTCTCCCATCGCCCTCGCTCTCTCCTTCTCTCTGTCCCGTCGCCCTCTCTCCCGTTGCCCTCTCTCCCGTTGCCCTCTCTCCCATCGCCCTCGCTCTCTCTTTTGCTCTGTCCCGTCGCCCTCTCCCCCGTCGCCCTCTCTCCCGTCGCCCTCTATCTCTCACGTCGCCCTCGCTCTGTCCCGTCGCCCACGCTCTCTCCCGTCGCCCCCGCTCTCTCCCGTCGCCTCGCGAAAATTTCTGCCGTCTCGTAGTAATATCGACCTTGCTATCCCCCTTTCCTGAAGCTCAAAGTATTAAGTGACGATACTTTTAGCTGCTGGCGGGGGCGGGGTTAATCACCTGACGCTAAATACTTATGCAGCCAACTAGTTCTTCTATGTTTTCTTATTATAACAATAGGGACCCTAATTTCGTACAGATTTACCTCCCCCCCCGTCGATCCCTTCAGGTCCTTGTTCCTGTTCCCTTGCTCTCTCCCCTCCTTTTCCACCGCCCTTGGTCTCTCCCCTCCATTTCCGTCGCCCGTGCTCTCTCCCCTCTGTTCCCGTCGCCCTCTCGTTCTCCCCCTCCCTTTCCATTGCCCTCGCTCTCTTCCCTCCCTATCCGTCTCCCTTGCTCTCTCCCCTCCTTTTTCGTCGCCCTCGCTCCACCTCATCTGACCCTCCCCCATGCCCCTCCCATCTCCCTACCATTCCGCAGATTTTGCTCACGCATCTCTCTTCCCGCGTCCTCGTTTCTGCTGCACTAAGTGTCTCTTCTCTCGTGCCCTAAAATTCTCTGTTTTTTTCGCTTCTTGTTTTTCCCATGTTATCGCCTCCCTTGCAGGCCCATGTCTAAGGCATTTGCTTTGCGTGCGTTGGGCTTGCTTTGCATGAGTTGGACGTGCTTCACAATCCGAATTTGGCACTGGATATGAATGAGACTTGCGCATCGCAATGTTTTGAGCGACGCATTTGCACATGCTTGCGACGATTTTGTTTGAGTTGAAGTTTGGAAACTCGATCAGCATCATATGCGCTTGGAAAAAAAATAAAGAAAAGCACTTCAACTTTCAAGTGGACCCAACTAGAAGGGGGGGGTCACTATTTTAGCTGCTGGCTTTAACCTCCTTCACCTGAAGTCGAGGAAGAGCCACACCATCTGCAGATTATGCAAGGTTCGCAAGCTTGGACTCTCCCGACTCGAGGTAAGTTTTTCTCGCCTAAGTCCCCTGTCTGTGTTTGTTTTTGTGCTTGTTTTGGGTGTTTTCTCTCACCTCACATGCAGCCACACGGTGCCCCCAAACAGTCACTCGACTCCCCGCCAACTCGTGGCAACCATCATCCGTGCCTGCTCCACGCAACTTGGCCACCCCACGCCAACCCCGAGAACTGCTCCACACCTCCGTTCCGACAAAATCTCCCTACGCCGTCATGATGCCTTCGAGTTATGCTGGCAAATACATACGTCACTTGGCCCACCTCCCGCCGCCGCATGCGAACTTCATCTCTCAGCCCAGAGACACCAACAAACGCCCCTCGACAATAATTTCGCCCTCGCGTGGCGAACTCCTCGAACCATCGGTAAGTCTTCTTCACACCCCCCCGTGCACGCTTACACGCTCTCCCCACACAACGTGGAACAATTGTCTAAGCAACAACCCTTAAACCGCCTCTCTCGGTCTCATCGACTTATACCCTGGCACTCGCCACGCAAGCGTCAACTACCCCCAATAAAGCGCACCGCCACAACAACCACAGTTCCACGCCCTCAGAAGGTGCGCTGGCAGCCCCGCTGGAGCAGCTCTGATGCCCTGCTACCCTTTCGTCTAGATACAGGCCGCTAACCATCACAAGGTGAGCCCGACTGCCATTGCCACCCCTCCTCTCATCCACCAGTCACAGGACACCACCGCGACATCAGGTTCCTCTCCACGCCTCTGCCACCAAGGTACGTGGAGGACCATGCTCCGCCCTGGCCTTTGCTCTCCGTTCCCTCTCCGTGTGGCCTCCCTCCCACGCCCCTCCGCACACCGAGAGAATTGCCATCCCGCTCACGCTCTCCCTGCTTGCCCTCGAGGTTTGTTTCTCTACCTCTCAGGTGTCAAACTCAAACCTTCTCCCCTCTCACGATACCTCGAAAACTGCTCACTCTCTCAACCCCACGCCGTGCTTTCAAGCCGGTATGGAACCCAGACCTGGAACACCGATCAGGCTGCCGGTCACCTCCTCGAAATTGCTATGGCCAACGCCTTTGCATCCGCTTCGCTCAATTTGACCCCGGCCTTGATCGGACGCGGCAACCCCCACACACCGCTTACCCCAAAGCACCGCCTTCTGCATGTGATAACACACACGTGGGCCGGGCGGCCAACTTTTCTCTTGCCTTCTCGCGACCTCTACGGTCCCCGGCTCCTTCACCCACCGGTACAATGCCTCAGCCAAACTTTGCTTCCTTCCCATGTGCGCTGCCTTATCTCTCCGGTACGTGCTGTCGCGTGAGACTATTTCTAGCCCTCCGTCCTTCTTTCTCATCACTCATCTCCCTGTTTGCTCCCACACCTTTTGCCTCCCCGCCTCACCGTTGAGCCATGGCTGAAATCCCGCAGTTCGATGAGGACATGGAGCTCACTGATGAGATGCTCGAAGCGATGGAAATGCCGGACGAACCCGCTGGATCCAACTTCCCACGCACCCGGTCTCCCACCGACGCCCCCGCCCCCAAGAAGCCTTGCGTCGCCGCCGACTCCAGCATCCCCCCCCCCATGAGACGACTGCCGCTACCTCTGAGGTCACAGAAGAACCCGCGGACACGCCCACGATGCCCGCAGTGCAAACCGCCAGCACCACGGCCCCCTCCGCGACCGACTCTACCACGACACCGAGCGATGCTGTTCCCGTTCACCCCGCTCCGCCGGCCACCGGTCCCAGTTCCTCACCCCCGCCCGTTCCCTGTGCGACCGCCGAGACGACCGCTCCGATGTCCCCGCAGATGGATCAGACTCCCGAGCCGGAGCTGCCCCATTCCCACCACCAAGCTGCCCACCCCCCCCCCCCCCCTTGCTCTGATCCCTCGTGTCCTCCCGATGAGCAGCCGCCACGTGGTTACCCTGATCTTCCCCGAGGCCGGAGCCGACGCTATCCGAGCCACCCTTTTCTCCAAGATCCGCGCGAAGCTGAGCCCGTCTCTCTTCGACTGCGGCTTCATTCCTGATGCCCGCCCTACCAACGGAGAAACCCTGCGCTTCCCCGGGCGGGCCTATGCATCGATCTACTTCTCCTAGCCGACCAAGCAGTCTGCTGACGAATTTCTCCCCATCTTCAACCACCCCATCGAGCTCTCCCCCGGCCGACACATCTTCGTCAAGCCGTATGTCGACCCTCAGCCCGATTTCACGAAGGCCAAAGCGAATGGCGCCCCAGTCCTCTCCCTGCGCAAGGTCCCGACCCGCTTTGAGGAGTCGGATTTGCTCGCGTACCTGGTACCCGAATGTCTGGCGGGTATCGCCCACTTCCACCGCATGAAAGATCCCTATGACGGGGTCTTCCTCCCCATCATGACAGGCATCCCCACCCCCCTGCCGGATGACCCCGACTTCCTCAACATTCCGGCCCTAATCCCCTCTGGCGGTACCGAGCCGGACATTCTCGTGAATGTCTCCACCCATGTCTGCTCTATTTGCTCAAGCAACCACCGGGTGGAGGACCATGCGATCTACCAAGCGCAAGGGTCGGCTCTGTCAGATTTATATGACATAGTTGCTGTAGGCTATAGTGGGGTAGCACATATGGGGTACAGGGTTTCTAGGGTTGTATTTGTACCCAATCTTTCCTTAGTCATTCTCATTCCTGTTTTCCTTACTTCACATGGTATAGAGCGGGTCCTGCCTTAGGACCGTTTTTTTTAGGGCCCACCGAAGCGCGCCTCGAGGCGCGCCTTTTTTTTAGCGACCCCTCGGGTCGCCTTTTCCCTCGCGGCCCCGCTGTCCCTCGGACGCGGCCCCGCCACCTCTCCTAATCGCGGCCCCGCCGCCTGCTTGACGCGGCCCCGCCGCCTCCCCTGACGCGGCCCCGCCGCCTCCCCTGACGCGGCCCCGCCGCCTCCCCTGACGCGGTCCCGCCTCTACTGCCGCGGCCCCGCCACCGCCTCTGACGGCCCCGCCGCTGCACCCTACGGCCCGCCGCCTCTGACGGCCCCGCCGCTGCACCCTACGGCCCGCCGCTGCTCCTGCCGGCCCGCCCCCTCACCTGACGGCCCCGCCGCTGCTCCTTCCGGCCCGCCACTGCTCCTGCCGGCCCGCCGCTGCACCTGCCGGCCCGCCGCTGCACCCAGCGGCCCGCCGCTTCACCTGACGGCCCCGCCGCTGCACCTGCCGGCCCGCCGCTGCACCCTACGGCCCGCCGCTGCACCCTACGGCCCGCCGCCTGCACCTGCCGGCCCGCCGCTGCACCTGCCGGCCCGCCGCTGCACCTGCCGGCCCGCCACTGCACCTGCCGGCCCGCCACTGCACCGGTCGACCCGCCGCTGCACCTGACGGCCCCGCCCCTGCATCTCCCGGCCGAGCTGCCCCCGCAGCCGAACCGCCCGGGAGCTGAGCCGCCCAGCGCCGAGCCGCCCGGGACCCGAGCCGCCCTGCCGCCGAGCCGCCCGGGAGCCGAGCCGCCCTGCACCCGAGCCGCCCAGCCGCCGAGCCGTCCGGAAGCCGAGCCGCCCTGCGCCCCAGCCGCCCAGCCATCGAGCCGCTGTGCACCCGAGCCGCCCGATCGCTGAGCCGCCTTTCTGCATACCTGCACGACCTGCCCTGCCTGGTGAGCACAGTCCCACTGACACTGCGAGCTCTTTCCCTACTGCTTGCACTGCGTCGCTGTCGTCGCCATGGCTACCCCTAGTGTCCTAGCTTTTGACGCTGAGGGTCGCGCCATTGATTTTGAGGTCTGGTTAGACGACCTGCAGCTGTTCTTACAGTGCGACAGGGTTGACGACCTTTCTCTCTTTGACCTCACCTCTGGCGCCTCTCCTGCTCCTGCTGCTGATGCTGATCCCACTGTCCGCTCTAAGTGGGCCACCCGCGATGCTGCTGCACGTCTTGCTGTGCGTCGCCACCTCCCTATCTCTGAGCGTGCCCACTTTAGTCAGTACAAGAGTGCTCAGACCTTGTACGACGCTGTAGTTGCGCGCTACTCCTCCCCTGCCACTGCTGCACTAAGCCGTCTCATGCTTCCCTACCTCTTTCCTGACCTCTCTGCCTTTCCCACTGTCGCTGACCTCATTACTCACCTCCGCACTTGTGACACTCGCTACCGCGCCGCCCTTCCTGCTGAGTTCTGCGCTAAGAACCCACCCCCCATGTACATCGCTCTCTACTACGTAGTCGCGCGCCTCCCTGACTCCCTTCGCGTCGTCAGGGACCACTTTCTCGCAGTCTGTCCCACCACCCTCACCGTCGACCTCCTCGAGAAGGCCCTCCTCGCAGCGGAGAAGAGCATAGTCGCTGTAGGTGCTTCTCGTGGTGACCCTCGCACCCCCATCTTTGAGGGGTGCTCTCCTTCCCCCTTGCTGCCCTCTGTTGCCTCTGCTGCTGCTGCCGACCTGCTTGGTCTTGAGTCGGTCGGCGCGGCGTCTGCCCCTAGTGGGAGACGTCGCTCCAGCAAGGGCAAGGGGGGCAAGGGCGCGGGTGGAGCTGGAGGGGGCGGTGGCGGTGGCGGCGGTGGCGGCGGAGGGAGTGGGGGTGGCGGCGGGACTAGTGGCGGGGGTGGTGGTGGTGGTGGTGGCAGCAGTGGCGGAGACGGTGGTGGTGGTGCCAGCGGTGGTGGTGGAGGCAGCGGCGGTGGTGGAGGCGGCGGAGGTGGAGGCGGTGGAGGCGGCAGCGGAGGAGGCGGTGGTGGTGGAGGAGGTAGAGCTGGTCGAGGTGGTACCCAGCAGCGTGGCGGCGGTGGTGGTGGCCAGCGCTCGCAGCGGCAGCAGCAGCAGCGCTCGCGGGACATCCCTCCGCCTCAGCAGCTTCGTGAGTGGTACGCTGGGCGTCAGAGGGGTGGGGGTACTGGTCCCTGCACCTACGTTCTTCGTTCCGGCGACCGCGCGGGTGAGCAGTGTGGGGGTGCCCACGCCACCCAGCGCTGCTTTGGCCGCCTGACGGACGCTTGGCGTCAGCAGTTCCCTGGGGCTAGTGAGATCCCTCGCTGGGATGAGCTTCTCAGGGCTGGTGTAGCGATCTTTGATCTTGATTTTGATGCTATCCTTGCTGCTATGTATGTTGTGGATTATAGTGAGGAGAATGAGGGTTACCGTTGTTTCCAGCCCGACCCGGGCATTGGTACTGCTGCGCTAGGTGCTTGTGAGGCTGCTGCTCTAGGTGCCAGTGCGTCTGTGCTCTCAGGTACTGGTGAGACTGCGCTCTCAGGTACTGCGTCGTCCTCGTCCTCCCTCACTTTCACGCTTGACTCCGGAGCTTCTCGCTCCTTCTTTCGAGACCGCACTACCCTTACGCCGCTCGGCCGGCCGGTTGCGGTCTCCCTTGCTGACCCCTCTGGGGGTCCTGTCCTGTCTCACTTCTCCACTGTCCTCCCGTGTCCGGCTGCCCCTTCGGGCACCCTGTCGGGTCTGTACCTTCCCTCGTTCTCTACGAACTTGGTGAGTGGAGCGGACCTGCAGGATGTGGGGATTCACCAGTTCACTCCTGCGAGTCAGCGGGTGACCCACTGCACGGAGGCACGCACAGGCCGACACCTGGCCACGTTCTCGCGTCGGCCGGGGTCGAGTCTCTACACCCTGACCGTTGAGTCTCCTCCTGTCCCTGCGTCTGGTCAGGTGGCTTCGTCGGGTCAGGTGCTTGCTGCTGCGTCCCGGTCAGGTCCTGAGTCTGCCCCCTGTTCTTGTCGCCTCCTGTCTCACGAGACTCTCCTGTGGCACCACCGTCTTGGCCACCCCTCCTTGCCCCGTCTTCGGAGCATGGCTTCCCGTGTCCTTGTCTCTGGTCTTCCCCAGTCTCTCCCTCCTCTCCCCTCCGGGCCAGGACCTTCCTGTGTCCCCTGTGTCGAGGGTCGCCTCCGGGCTACTCCTCACTCCTCCCACTTCCCCCCGACAGAGGCTGCCCTGCAGACGCTTCACATGGATGTGTGGGGCCCAGCCCCCGTCCGTGGGCAGGGTTACGAGCGCTACTTCCTGTTGGTGGTTGACGACTACTCGCGTTACACCACAGTCCTCCCCTTGCGCAGCAAGGGTGAGGTCACTGAGGTGCTGATCGACTGGATCCGCGAGGCTCGTCTCCAGCTCAGGAAGAGCTTCGGCTCGGACTTTCCTGTTCTGCGTCTGCACTCTGACAGAGGCGGAGAGTTCTCTTCTCGCCTTCTGCGGGACTACTGTCGTGCACGGGGGATCCGCCAGACATTCACGCTTCCGGACTCACCACAGCAAAATGGGATTGCTGGGCGCCGCATTGGCATGGTCATGGATGTCGCTCGGGTGTGTCCCAGGTAGACGCCGTTGACCCGGTCGAGGTTACTGGTGACTCTGGTGCTGCTGCGGGTGCTGAGCCTGGGGGTGCTGACTCTGGGGGTGCTGTACGCGGGGGTGCTGAGCCTGGGGGTACTTTTGCTGGGGGTACTGGGCCTGAGGGTGCTACTGCGGAGGGTGCGGAGCCTGGGGGTGCTGAGCCGGGGGGTGCTGTGCCTGGAGGTGCTGGGTCTGGGGGTGCTGGGTCGGGAGCTGCTGCACCTGGGGGTGCTGAGCTGGGAGCTGCTGAGCCTGGGGGTGCTGCGTCTGGAGCTGCTGAGCCTGGGGTTTCTCCTGCTGCTGCGTCTTGCCGGGAGCCCCTCCCTCCACAGGAGCTGCGTGAGTGGTTCGCTCGCCGCTGGAGGCGTGCTGCTGAGTCTGGAGGTGCTGCTGGAGCTGGAGCTGGAGCTTCTTCGACCGTCGAGGGTGCGGGTGCTGCCGGTCCCGGAGCTGCTGGACCTGCGGGTCCTCCTGGAGCTGGAGCTGCTGAGGGCGTTGGTGCTGAGTCTACTGCTGTTGGTCCTGCCGCTGGAGGTGTGGGTGGCGCTGGTGCTGTCGCTGAGGGTGCTGGTGCTGTCCCTGCTGAGTCAGGAGCTGCCGCGCGGCCTTGACCGTACTTCGTTCCGCTCTTGCAGCAGGTTCTTGGTCTTTCTCCTCCTGTAGAGGGTCCACCGCCTGTCCAGTCGCAGTCCCTGCTGGAGCCTTCCTCTCCACTGCCTGCTCCCTCTCCTTACACTGGTCCTACTGGAGGTCTTGCTAAGCGTCGTGAGCCTGCGTCTCGTCCCGCGTCGCCTGTTCGCGCTACTCGCACTAGTGGTCGCAGTTCGCGTCAGCGTCCTCCTCCTGTCCCTGGCACGCACCGGATGTCTCTGCGTCCGTCCACTGCTCCTCTGCGTGCCCCTTTGCCTTCTCCTCCTGATTCCTCTCTTCCTGTGCTTGCCGACCCTCAGTCAGACTCTCTTCGTGCTGCCAGTCCTACTGTCACGCGTCTCCTTGCTACTGTCGTCACTGACCCCTCGTTTGAGTCCACTGCTGCGTCTGCCCTTGTCGCTGAGCTCGTCGACTTTGCTGCTCGCTGTCGTCTCGACTACGCTGCTAGTCTTGTTGCTGAGTCTGCGTCTGTCTGTCCTCCGTCCGTCGGGGGTGAGTGTGCTCTTAGCACGGACGTCCTAGAGGACAGGCAGGAGGAGTTACAGTGTCTAGCGGCTGCTTCACCTCATCTCGTGTCTGTTCTGCTTGCCCCTGAGGGAGACCCGGATGCACTAGACATCCCGACTCCGCGTTCTTACGCGGAGGCCGTAGAGGGTCCCTACTCCTCTCAGTGGCAGGCAGCTATGGATGCAGAGATGGCTTCCTGGAAGTCCACAGGCACCTACGTTGACGCGGTTCCCCCTCCTGGGGCGAACATCGTCAGTGGCATGTGGATCTTCAGGGTGAAGCGGCCGCCGCGCTCTCCACCTGTCTTCAAGGCACGGTACGTTGCTCGTGGCTTCAGTCAGCGGCAGGGAGTTGACTACTTTCAGACCTTCTCTCCCACCCCGAAGATGACTACTCTTCGGGTGCTGCTGCACATAGCCGCTCAGCGCGACTACGAGCTTCACTCTCTCGACTTCAGCACTGCGTTCTTGCAGGGTAGCCTGCACGAGGAGATCTGGCTTCGCCGTCCACCTGGCTTCACTGGGACTTTCCCTCCTGGCACCCAGTGGAGCCTCCGACGGCCAGTCTACGGTCTCCGCCAGGCACCGCGTGAGTGGCACGACACACTGAGGACTACGCTTGCGGCTCTTGGGTTTGCTCCTTCTACTGCTGACCCGTCGCTGTTTCTTCGCACCGACACTTCCCTGCCGCCGTTCTACATCCTCGTGTACGTCGACGACTTGGTCTTTGCCACAGCAGACACTGCTGGACTCGCCTACGTGAAGTCCGAGCTGCTGAAGAGACACACGTGCACAGACCTGGGTGAACTGCGCAGCTACCTTGGCTTGCAGATCACTCGGGACAGAGCACGCCGCACCATTACCTTGACTCAGTCACACATGGTGCAGCAGGTCCTTCAGTGCTTCGGCTTCACGTACTCCTCGCCTCAGGCCACTCCTCTGCCTACTCGCCACTCACTCTCAGCTCTGCCTTCGGATGAGTCCGTAGAGTCGAGTGGTCCGTATGCAGAGATTGTTGGCTGCCTCATGTACCTGATGACCTGCACACGACCTGACCTTGCATACCCTCTGAGCATTCTTGCTCGCTATGTTGCTCCTGGGAGACACAGACCGGAGCACATGGCTGCAGCGAAGAGGGTATTGCGCTACCTGTGCAGCACGTCGGGCATGGGGCTAGTGCTTGGAGGGCGGAGTCCAGTGGTCCTTACCGGCCACGCGGACGCTTCTTGGGCTGACGACCAGGCTACGCAGCGGTCGTCACAGGGTTACACCTTCAGCCTTGGTTCCGGCTCTGTCTCGTGGCGGTCTACTCGCTCGTCTTCGGTTCTTGGCTCCAGTTGTGAGGGTGAGATCTACGCCGGGGCCATGGCTGCACAGGAGCTTCGCTGGCTCACCTACCTGCTGAGTGACCTTGGAGAGCCGCCTCGTTCTCCTCCAGTGCTGTACGTAGACAACAAGGCCATGCTGGCCTTGTGTCGAGAGCAGCGCTTGGAGCACAGAACGAAGCACATTGCTCTCCGCTACTTCCTTGCTCGTGAGCTGCAGCAGCGTGGTCAGTTGCGACTTGCGTACGTGGCCTCTGAGGCCAACACTGCTGATGTGTTCACCAAGGCACTCGCGCCTTGTGACCATCAGCGCTTTTGCACCCAGCTGGGTCTTGTGTCTGTCTTGCCTCACTTGCTCTCCTCTTGATTTCACTTGTACTGTGACATATATATATGCCTGCTCTTGCTTGTCTAGTTTTATATATATGTCTGTACTCCTGCATGTGAACTGGCCTCTGGCCCTACTCTTGTGCTCGGACTGTGTGGTGACTTTGTGATCCACCCTGAGCTTGCTTTGCTTTGCTTGACTGGTCTTGTGACCCCTTGTTCTCCCCCACTTTGCCTATGGGGGTGTGTCAGATTTATATGACATAGTTGCTGTAGGCTATAGTGGGGTAGCACATATGGGGTACAGGGTTTCTAGGGTTGTATTTGTACCCAATCTTTCCTTAGTCATTCTCATTCCTGTTTTCCTTACTTCACAGGCTCAACAAGAAGAACCTCCCCGTCGCCCAACTGCAGAAGGCAAACGGTAACCCGTCCTGCCCCACCTCCTTCCCCCCTGCCCCGCTCCCCTTTCGAGTCCCCGAATTCTGATGTTTTGCCTTTCTGCTCCCATGCTCCCTTTGCATCAAATATCCTAATCCACCCCCTTTCCCCTCCCCCTCCCACCCTCGACCTCTGCTCACCCGCCCTCTCCCTTCTGGCCTCGGCCTTACCCCCCCTGCACTGCCCCCCAGGAGGTGCCTTCGGAGCTTGCGCCGCGTCCAACGCCTTCCGCGCCGACCCCGGCCTCCTATTCATCGGCGCGGATCTGGATATCGAACCTTGGACCTGCGTGTCCTGCAACTTCGAATGCGGCCCGACGCTGGACAGCGCGCTGAAGCACATGGAGTCGGCACAGCACCGCGCCCAGCTGCTCGCCAACGCGCACAACACCGCTGCCAAGGAGACTTACCTCACCTGGAGCTTTGCTGCCCTCCTGAAGAAGGGAGGAATCGAAGCCTTCCTCAAGAAGCTGAAGAATACGACCCGTGCTTAGCTGCCCCATGCACTTGCCTTGTTTGCTGCATATGTTTGTTGGGCCTGAGTTGTACTCCTCATAAACATCTAATGAAACTCGACCTTGCATGCTCGTTGCGCTCCGAACATCCTACTTCCCCTCCCCCCTCTCCGAGAAAAACCGCCCCTCCACATGCAACATGCCCCCCAGATCAAAATAAAGGATCAGGCAAAAGTCTGGCCAGAGAATTTAACAATTCAAAACACCCACACGACTCGAAGGAACTTTAGCCCCACCCCACCTACCCGTTGACTGTACGTCCCCTATTCGACCAAGAAACGGATACACTAACCGTTCACAGATCACACAGCCTTGGCTCCGCTCTCGTAAGACCCCCCTTCCCCATGACAACACGCCAATGCTCAGCTCACCGCCTCCCCCAAGGCTCCCACGGAGAGCTTTATGGTACCCCGTCACCCCATTCCACCCCATTTCCGCCCCGGTCGACCCTGCTACCGACCCCTATACGACCAAGGCCGTGGATACGCATGATCTCTCGTGCGGTGGCCTCCACAGCATGGCCATGTTAACACACCTACGCATCCTATGCATCAATGTGAACGGAATCAACGAAACCCGCAAAATGGACGAGCTTAAATTGTGGCTATCGCGCCTCCCTGCCCCCACCGACCTCGTCATCCTTATCGACACCCGACTTATCCGCAGAATCCCCAACCTTGACTTAAAGTTTCGACCGCACGCCTCAGCGCACGCCCCAGCACTACCTTCTACCGACAGCGCTACAGGGAGGCCCACGCTCATCGGTGGCATCTCCATCTTCTCTTTCAACAGGGCCATATCAATGTCCTCTCCGCTTCCCTCCGCAGATGGAAGACTTCTCACCGTTCACCTCAATTATCTTCGCGAGCAAATCCGCCTTATCGCCATCTACGCCCCCACACAGTTTTACGAACGCCGGGTGTGGTGGACCACCACGCTCGCCCCGGCATTGGAAGCCCCAACCGCTGCTGCTGCATCCATGCTTGTCGGAGATTTCAATTCGGTAGTCCTTCCCATCGACAGAAACCGCCCACTCAAAGATTTCGAAATGCGCGAGGGCACCTCTTTCGCCAAACTCATGGACGACCATGCACTGGTCGACACCTTCCGCACGCTCTACCCCACGCCGATTGACGTCTTCTCCTTCTATGGGAGGCAACGTCATAACTGTGCAGCACCGCCCACCTCCTCACGACTCGACATGATTTACATCTCTCGGGCCTTTGTACCCCGCTTCGCGGCAAGCCCGTACATCCAAACCCGCACTTCAATCACGGACCACCTCTACGCCCCCCTCTGGTCGCTCACATTCATCAACCTCACAATTGCACCCCGACCGTAGCGCCTCCGACAGCATCTATTCATGCGCCCCCACGTCCCACAGATCATCGACTCCGCCCTCGCTGTCTTCCCAAGCACCCCTTCCCCGGACCCCTGGGACACATGGAAGCTCGACCTCACCCTTAACCTCAAGCGCTTCTCCAACCAGGAGAGACGCCGAGTCGATGGCACGATCGCACATTTGGAACACACCATAGGCTCACTACAGCGGCATGTTGCGTACACGGCCCTGACGTATGCTGAATCTAATCGCCTTGACCAAGCAAGACTCCATCTGGCCAGGTATGAAGCCTCGAAAGCATCCGAGATTGTGCTCAAGGCCAAGCTCAAAGTGGAAGGGCACAGAGAAATGGGTTTCGCCTCCCTGATCTCTAACCTCAACTCGCAAATCAAGGGCTCGATCATCAGCTCCCTGACATTACCAAATGGACAGACAACGTCGGACCTCCCCACCATGACCAACCTGTGCTCTAACTTCTTCCAGACACTCTACAGCGGAAGCAACCCCGCTGTCAGTAGATCTGCACTGTGGATGCCCGATTGATCCTGGAGAGGGTTACAGGCGCGTTCGCCTGGGGGGTTATGGGCGCACTGACCCGCTACTGAAACAAGCCCTTTTATCCCTATGGTCTAGTGGTTGGGATTCTGACATGGTATCAGAGCGGTCTCGGGTTCGATTCCCAGTGTATGCACATGTAGGCCGTTGTCGCTGTGCTTAGTCCTGGGCCTCCCAGTGTGGGGGGGTGTCAGTAGATCTGCACTGTGGATGCCCGATTGATCCTGGAGAGGGTTACAGGCGCGTTCGCCTGGGGGGTTATGGGCGCACTGACCCGCTACTAAAACAAGCCCTTTTATCCCAATGGTCTAGTGGTTGGGATTCTGACACCCGCCACACCTAACAGTGCCTTCTGGCAACACATCCCCCCCTCCTCCATCCCGAACCCTCTATTCCTACACCTCGGCGCCCCCTTCTCCCTAGCCGAAATCGGAAAAGCGCTGCTCTCTCTGTCTCGAGGAAAAACCCCCGGCCCAGACGGCCTACCCGGTGAACTCTTTCGGCAATTCGCCCCGCGTTTTGCACCGGTCTTCCACTTCCTGCTCTCCCCACCACAGCCTCTTTCTCGCCTACCCCCGTCCATGCTGACCGGACGCACTGTCCTTATCCCCAAAAAGGGTGACTTCTCGCTAGTAGAGAATCTCCGCCCCATCACCCTCATGAACGCTGACTACAAAGTACTCGCTCTGTGCTTGGCGAACCGTCTTCAGCTCGCTCTCCCCCAGCTCATCCATCCATTCCAAACCGCCTTTATTTAACACAGGAAAATCGGGGACACAATCAATGATACCCTCGACATCATGGACTGGGCAGCCTTCTCCTCGACCCCTCTTCTTGCTCTTACGGTGGACTTTCGGAAGGCCTACGACCTTGTCGATCGCCCCTTTCTCCTCCAAGTCTTAGCAATCCTCGGGCTCCTTGCACCCTTCATCCATTGGGTACGACTAATGTACTTCGACACGAACACACGAATCTCTGTCAACAACATGCTCAGCCCCACCTTCCCCGTCCGTACGGGCGTCCGACAGGGCTGCCCTCTGGCACCCTTACTCTTCGTCTGTGTCATCGAGATCTTTCACCGTTACATGTCCCTCTTCCTCCCCGGCTTCGCTCTGTCCCCCGTTCAGCGCCGTCTCATGGCATGCTACGCCGATGATGTCACTCTCTTCCTCACCTCAGACACAGAGCTCGGCCTTGCAGTAATACTCATGTTCGGATCCGTATCTGGGGAGATCCCCAATTGGAACAAATGCTCCATTATTCCTTTCAATATCCCCCCCACCAATCTCGTGCACGCTGGACCTATTCCCGTCCGAGCCCCCAATGAAGCAAAACGCATCCTTGGAATTTATGTTGAACGACTACACCCCGGATCCACCACCTGGACTAAAGCGCTTGCCCGTATACAAAACACCGCAAAATTCCTAGCAGCCTTGCATGCCACTGTCACGTGCCGCAAATCTCTGTCCTCGATCTTTCTGAACTCTGTCATCTCCTGTCCCGGCCGCTTCCAACCTGTACCACCCGACACCATCAAGCGACTAAACATATCAGTCGGGAACTTCCTCTCGTCCTCGAAACATAAACAGGATGGCCTTGCACAACGCTTCCTCCCCAACGGTCTCCTCTACAATTCACCCCAAGACGGCGGGGTTGGGGTGATCGCCCCATCTACCCAAGTCAAAGCCCTCACTATTCAGCGTGCCCTGCGCAGATTTGGACCCACCCCGTCCGAGGAAGTCACGCGTACCCTGACCCCTTTCCCCTTTGGGCTTCACGGTCTGCTCTCCCATAAAGCCATCCTTGAACGTGACTATCTTCCCTCCTTCATCCCCCCGCGAGCAGTGGACGAACTTAAAGCCCTCCTTTCCCTCCCCCTGATAATTCATGGCCCCCCCCTACGCATGCAATGCATCCTCACCGAGCCTCTCGCCTTCAACCGTTCGCTTCTTAAACCCGACGGTCGACCGTTCGCCACCCGCCAACACGAGCGGTTCCTACTTACGAGTCAGCTCCGCGTCGGACACATTGTCCGAATCACCAACTCTGACGTTGGCCCCATTTCTGTTCAAGAGTTTTGCTCCCAAGTCCCGGAGGAATTCCACGACGACGCAACACGCATCCTCCCAGAGCTCATCAAAGCTATCAAGCGTCCCTGGTGGACCGCCCTCCGAACCCCTCACGTCTCCTGTGCCTCCTCCGGAGACTGGTTCATGCTCTCGGACGACCACTATTCCATCTCTCATCTAGCCCTCCGTGTCATCGCCTACATCCCCCCTTCCTCCGTCTCGGCTAATGTCCACCTCGTCTCGCCAGACCATCACATTACCCACACCCCAGCAAATACTGGACTCTTCCGTCTACAGGACCTCATAGAGGTGCACGTCAGGGACTGGTGGCTCGCAGGGCCACTTCATACAGGTGCAGGGTTAGGAGCTAGGATAGATCTTCTACAGGACGGCGTCCCCAGCCTCGCCGACATCCGCCGCCTCCTCTACAGAGCACAACCGCTCACCCACCACAGCCGATGGACCCGCGACCTCACCCTTCCTCCTCCTCCTCTCCCTGGCCTTAAGGACCCCTTTCTCAAAGACCAGCCGAGCCGCCAACGGGACATCCTCTTCAGACTCTACACACTCACCCTTCCCTCTGGGTCACGCTTCCAATACTTTGATGATCGAGGGGTTTGCCCCCGATGCCTAGTTGCCGTCGTCGAGACGCTACCACATATCTTCTTTGAATGCTCCTCCGCTGGAAATGTCATCTCGGCCCTCCGCAGAGTCGCTGACCTCCACCTCAGTCAAACCACCCCCGCCGAACACATTTTCTTCCCGATACAATCACGGGTTGGACAGTCCCCCCCTTGGAGTCTACTAGTTGGAGCTGCAGTCAAGACGCTGTGGAACAGCCGTTGCGACCACAAATACCGCAACTCCTCCTCCTCCTCGAGCTTCGAGATCCTGCAGCTGATTCTAGCCCAGTTCCTCATCGCCTTCAAAATTTTTATGTGGAGAGGCAGACGCCAATCCACCAAGAAGCGTCAACGCATATCTTCTAGCATCAGGCGAGCTCAGAAACTCCGACTCCTCCTTTTCGACAGGTCCGGTACACCCTCCATTCACCCCGACCTCAGATTCTCATGGCTTCTGGGAAACCCGTTCCGACCACCGTATCAGGCACTGCATAGAGCGTCTCCCCAGGCTGCTGGCGGTTGTCCGAGAGGACAAGGAATAACGTGTGATCCACGTGCTCCTTTTTAGGATGCTGGCCACCTCGGCCATGTTTCTAGACAGCTCTAAGTTTTTAATCATTGTACATTGATTACGATCAATATATAACCTTAACCTTAACCCCGTCGATTTGACAAATCTGAACTAGAGTTGGAAAGCCATCACGCTACTAAGAAATAGTTCAAGACGCTACGGCGACATAGTACGTACGAGAATGTCACACCCCACATGTGTTTAGGGTTTCGTCATCGCATTCGAATGTCGATAGCACGGCACGAGCGCGTAGTGACCAGGAAAGAGGCTCGTTGTTCTCCCGTCGTTCCTGCACGACGCCGTGGCGCAACATAAACGGCATGATCCCCCATTAGCCAGGTTCACTGCGCATTAGCCACTCGCCTCCCCACCAAACTCGCCTCCGCTCTGCATCACGCCCTGGTCGTGCGACCTCCAGTGCCGCCTCGCACCTTCTTTGCCGCCAAATCGCCACCTCGCCTTCCCATATCCACATCGCAACCACAACACCGACTCGCCGCAGCGATTTGTCATCGCCGCCGGATAGGAGCCTCGCCGCCACATCGCCGCCTCGCCGCCTGGCCTCCTCAACGGCGTGCCGCCTCCAGGTCGCCGCCTCATCGCCACCCACAGAGGACCTTCTCACTCCCTCACAATGCACTACCCCTCCCTTCCCTTTGCTCCCATTCCCCTCCAATCCCTTCTTTTCCCTTCGCTTCCCTTCTTGACGTCCTCGTCGCACATCCCTTCCCCTCTCCTCCCTTCCCTTCTTTTGCCCTCCCTGCACTTCCCTTCCCCTCTCCTTTCTTCCCTTCTTTTACCCTCCCTGCAATTCCCTTCCCCTCTCCTCCCTTCCCTTTCCTTCCCTTGTTTTGCCCTCCCTGCACTTCCCTTCCCCTCTCCTCCCTTCCCTTTCCTTCCCTTGTTTTACCCTCCCTGCACTACCCTTCCCCTCTCCTCCCTTCCCTTTCCTTCCCTTCTTTTGCCCTCCCTGCACTTCCCTTCCCCTCTCCTTTCTTCCCTTTCCTTCACTTGTTTTGCCCTCCCTGCACTTCCCTTCCTCTCTCCTCCCTTCCCTTCCCCCTTTATTCCCTTTCCCTTCTCTTCCCTTCCCTTCCATTCGCGTCTCTTCACCTCCCTGCCCTATCGTTTTTCTCCCTACCTCCCCTTTTTTCTCCCTACCTCCCCTTTTTTCTCCCTACCTCCCCTTTTTTCTCCCTGCCACCCCTTTTTTCTCCATGCCTCCCCTTTTTTCTCCCTGCCTCCCCTTTTTTCTCCATGCCTCCCCTTTTTTCTCCATGCCTCCCCTTTTTTCTCCATGCCTCCCCTTTCTTCTCCCTGCCTCCCCTTTTTTCTCCCTGCCTCCCCTTTTTTCTCCATGCCTCCCCTTTTTTCTCTCTGGATCACTATGTAAGCATGCCATGCCATCTCCTGTAGTGTCTTGCTATGTGCAGGACGAATCCGTGCCTTCACAGGTGGGGACTCGCCTCCGGTGCAGCAGCAGGCGCTAGAGCACATAGAGAAGCTCAGGCACTGCTTTGTACATCGCGATATTTGTAAAACATTACTTGGGACGGAAATTTTGTAGGGTACTTCACATACAGTAAAGCATTGTTGCATAGAAAAAGAAACCTTCAAAGGAAAAAGAAAAAATCACCAATGCCATCATTATTGGATATCCTGTTTCCTAATGTGAATGTACACTCTGTTGCATCATTCGAAGATTCTCGACACGGAGAGGGTCCAGACAATCCTAGGTTCAACTAAATGTCATCTTGGGTGCTTCATGCTCGACGAACTGCACCACTGAAGGGAGAGGGAAGGTGCGAAGGAGCAGACAGGGGAGCATAATCAGATTGTAAGATACCGAGTGGCATAGGGACAAGGACGGTGAGAGAAAGAGCATGGGAAAAAGAAAAGAGTGAGCAGAGGGGAACAAAGGGTAAGCAGGGGATAAGAAAGATTGAGCAGGGCGGAAGCAAAGGGTTAGCAGGGGGAAAGGAAAGAGAGGGGGGGAAACAATGGTAAGCCGGGGGAAAAGAAAGAGTGAGCAGGGAGGGGAGAAATGACAGGGGGTGGGGGGAGAAATGATGAGGGGAGAGGGGTAGGGAGAGGGATCTCACTGTATCCTGGCAGGGGCTGGCCGAGGGGGGAGAGAAGGGTGGGGGAGAGGGGTAGGGCGAGAAGGGTGGGGGAGAGGGGTACGGCGAGAAGGGTGGGGGAGAGGGGTGGATGGGAAGGTGGGGGAGAGAGGGGGGTCGAAAGGGCACGGTGAGAGGGGAAAAAGGGAAATGTTCTTAGTTGTCGCAAAACAAGCACCAAGCGGTCTGCGGGTCCTCGAACACGTAGGGGGTGGGGAAGGGGGACACAGAGGGGAACGGGCATGGAGACGAGGGGAAAGGGTGGGGAGGGCAGTGAGAAGAAAGGGCGGGGAGGGAAGCGAAGGGGAAGGGCGGGGAGGGCAGTGAGGGGGAAGGGCGGGGAGGGCAGTGAGGGGGAAGGGCGGGGAGGAGAGTGAGGGGAAAGAGCGGGGGGGGCAGTGAGGGGGGAGGACGGGGAGGGCAGTGAGGGGAAAGGGCGGGGAGGGCAGTGAGGGGAAAGGGCGGGGAGGGCAGTGAGGGGGGAGGACGGGGTTATCGAGATGTCCCTAAACTAGCTTGCGCCGCAGCATGCTGTACTTGCGACAGGGAGGGGAGAGGGGAAAGGGAGGGGTGGGGCAGAGGGGGAAAGGTTGGGGAGGGCACGAAGGGCTAAGGGTGGGGCTCGACGCACGATGTGCACACCTGCGCGCCCAAGGACGGACGGGAGCAGGAGAGGTGGAGCACGGCGCTGCAGCTTGCGACTTTGACGAGCATCCCCTTCACACATTCCTCACCAACCAACCTCCGCCCCCTCATTTCTCTCCACCCTCTCCCCGTCCCCACCTCTCCTCCACCCTCTTCGCACGCTACGGCTAGCTCTCCTTCTTCCCCTCCCCTTTCTACCTCGCGGAATGCATCGGCGATCTCGTCACAGGAGCACCCGCTTTCATTTCCCATCTGCCGCCGCCGCTCCGCCTCGCGCGGGTCCTCGATCATCACCACCAGGCATATCTGCACGCGGCAGGCGCGCGGAGATTGGTGGGCGGCAGAGTAAGCGGGGGGGGGGGGGGGGGGGGGGGGGGAATGGGAGGGGTGGGGGCAAACGCGGACAGTAGGGAGGTGAGCGAAGCGTGCGATGTCACTAGAGTCCTGAATGTCGCGAAATTTTACGAATGTTGCGAGAGCCTTAGGCAAGCGTGAACCACCTTAAGAATGTCCTGTACGCCTACTCAGGACATGCGCCTCCTCCGCCGACAGCTGCGCCTCCCCATCCATCCCCTCCGCCGCCGCCGCTACTGGCCGCACGGGCCGCCTAGACGCCGGAACCGTGAGTCGCGATGATACGCTTTGCTGCGATTGGCAGCGGCATCGGACGGCTAGCGATCGCTTGGACGAGAAAACGACGGGTCGCGACAGGCAGGAAGCGCCGCGCCAGTGAGCGAGCGACAACGACCCGTGTGGAGAGATAGACGTCGCCATTGGGGACGATGTAACGGACTAAAGTAAACTCCACCTTTAGAATGAATCTACGGAATTGGAATTTACTTTATCGTCCAAAAATCCATGCTCTGTGGGTGGCGGTGCGCTGTGGGCTGTAGTTGCTAACTACTTCGTTGCTTGGAGTATGTGTGTTGTGGAACGAGAGTCGCTGCCGTTTTGGTTCACTAACTGCCTGTCCCAACCTCAAGTTCCCAACTCCAATTCCCCCCGTCGCTACTGACGGGAGCGAGACTACCACCGCAACTCCGCCAACACCGAAACATCGTTCGCGTCTCACCCACAGCCACAAACCGGGTAACCACGTGGAGGCAAGTGATAAACCTTTGCCCCCACCCTCCCCAAAGTGCACCCTTGCTTTAATGTCAAATATACCGCACTTAGATTTACTTTACGTAGGACTTGGTCCGGGGGAGGCTCAGCCTGCCAGGGTGTCTGCCGGAAGAATGCATTATTCACAGGAGATGAGGACGCGGTCAAAGTAGACGATAGATCGTCAGTAGCGGTCGATGTACAAATCGGTTACCCTACTAACTTTGTTGTAGCCATGCTACAGTACACTTTCTGGCCAAAATTTCTGTACAGTGTGAGAATGCGACTGATCACAGCTCGCGGGAAATCTGTCAATTTTCAGCCGCGATCGTGACAACGTCGCGGTCGCCACGTTTTGCCAAACGATCTGCCCACTCGATTGTGGGGATCGATATATGCAGACGATCCTGCGATATTTTCCTGAGCTCCAGGAAGAAGTGCAAAAAAACAGAGGTACCAATTAAAAATACTGTCTGAACCCGGAATCGAACCGGAGACCTCCAGTGTGTGAGACTGGCGTGATAACCGACTACACCATCCAGACATGTCGTAAAGGTTAAAATGACATACTATATTTTAAAATTTTGTTTTTTTCAGCTTCAGCTGTCCACTTCATCAGACACCGTCAAGCCATCACACAATGGCACTCCGGGTCAGCTCTCCCGTTAGCGTTTCTATTCCCCACAGTACCCAGTGGGTAGGACGAGAGGCTCGGGTAGCCAATCAGGCTCGATTAGACACGCAGGTTCGGGTAGCAGGCGGGCAGGCTCGGCAAGTTAGAGCTGCTTCAGCATACCCCAGACGAGCCAGCCTACGTGACTCTGCGCGTCACGAGTTCAACCCCGAGCTGCGGCACAATCGATGCTGGGTCAGTCACGCGTCGCCTGCACGAGGTCGCGTTTCCACCGCCGCGTCTTCAGGGGACAATGTCGAGGCTGCTGCTACCGAGGCTGCTGCTGCTGCTGCTACCGAGGCGCATTCTCTGCCTAGCGACGCTCCGTCGCTAAAGGCCGCGCTTTACTCCGGTTTAGAAGGTGGAAATTGTATTAAGCCTTACTAATATCATTAATTTCTTAACAGGGATTTATATGAGAAGCGGCTGGTTTGATTCTGACGGTAACCAAGTGTTTAATTCCTGGGTTAAATGTCAGGGAGGTGTAACTTTGTGCTTCATGTCCCCCCCACACCCCTCATTTCCCCCCGACACCCCACATTTCCCCCCCACACCCCTCATTTCCCCCCCATATCCCTCAATGTCCCCCCCATACCCCTCAGTGTTCCCCTCATACCCCTCAAACTCCCTCCATACTCCTCAATCTCCCTTCATATCCCTCAATCTTCCGCTTTACCTTCCCTCGCCCCTCCCTCCATCCCATCCCTTTCCCCGCCCTCCGGTTTAGGGTTCCACTCTCCCCTTCCCCCGCCCATTCCTCCCCTCCTCTCCCCACCCAGGCCTCAACTGGGGCATTTTTGGCATGCCATTGGCCAAGCGGGCTTATTTGCACGCTATCATCGATGATCGAGCGATTGGGGTATTTGATTGAACCCGCGACCTCCCCTTCCCCTGCCCCTTTCCCCCCTATGATGCTGCAGGGTGTTTTTGAGAATTCTCAGAAACACCCTGCAGCATCGATGATCGAGCGATTGGGGTATTTGAACCCGCGACTTTACCTTCCCCTGCCCCTTTCCCCCCTATTCTCCCCACCCAAGCCTCAGCCGGGGCATCTTAGGCATGCCATCAAGCCCTTCCCCTTCCCATCCCCCTTTCCCTTCCCCTTCCCCTCCCCTTCGCCGCCCCCCCCCCCCCCCCCCACCCGCCTCCCGTCATTCCCCCAGGCCTCAACCGGGGTATATTTGGCATGCCATCGGCCAAGCGGGCTTATCTGCACGCAATTATCGAGCGCCTGGAGGAATTGAACCCGCGACCTGCTCCCACGGAGCACATAGATGAGGTGAGAGAACACAGGTGCCAGGGCGACAATCATGGGAGCTTATTTGCACGCGATAATTGAGCGCCTGGAGGAATTGAACCCGCGACCTGCTCCCACCAAGCACATAGATGAGGTGAGAGAGTTTGAAAGAGCATACTTGTGCGTGTCACGTGTGTGTGGTACCTTCACTTTTGAGCCAACTCTTCTCCCCTCTTGACTCTGGAACTCACTTATACGCCACCATACTTAACCCATATTTACCCCTACTTACCCATGCCTACCCATCCTGGGCTGTCACCAGCAGCCACGCACAGTCCACCCCCGCCCCCCTTTTGCTTTTCCCTCTTTTCCCCCCAAGAACTAGATCCCAGGAGAGTGGCTGCTGCTCTACAGCACCATCGCCATCCTTGGTTCCTTCCAAGCAACATAGTCTCTATTCCACTCTCCCACACACATCCTATGCCCCCATTCCCACGTATATGCTCCTAGATCACAAGCGAGTGGCGTCTCCTCCACAGCACCATCTCCATCCTCGGCTCCAAGCAACTCGGCCCCCAACCCCAATCCCACTTCCTCTTCCCCCCCCCCACCCCAACAACCACACTCCCGTTCACACCCAGATCACAGGCGAGTGGCGGCTGCTATACAGCACCATTGCCATCCTCGGCTGTATGCAACGAGGTCAACATTACCACCCCGGCGAATGGCGCCTGCTCTACAGCACCATCGCCATTCTCGGCTCCAAGCGCACCAAGCTGTTGCCTCTGTCTGTCCCAACCCCCACTTCCCCCCACTTCTCTCTTCCCTCCAGCCCTTCCTTCCAGATCACAGGCGAATGGCGCCTGCTCTACAGCACCATCGCCATTCTCGGATCCAAGCGCACCAAGCTGGGCCTAAGAGCTTGAGAGACTGACGTACCTCTTCTTTTCTCCCTGGCCTCCTGCCCTCCTTCCTTCCCGCCCTCCTGCCCTCCTGTCCTGTCCCTTCTTTACACCGCAACACCCAGATCACAGGAGAGCGGCGCCTGCTCTACAGCACCATCGCCATCCTCTGCTCCAAACACACCAGGCTGGGCCTCAGAGACTGTCTTGCTTGCCACTCCTGCCCTCCCTGCTCTCCCGCCCTTTCCTCCCCCCTCGCAAACAACAATCAGATCACAGGAGAGCGGCGCCTGCTCTACAGCACCAACATCGCCACCACCATCGCCATCCTTTGCTGCAAACGCACCAAGCTGGGCCTGAGAGACAATCGTCCCACTTCTCCCTTCCCTGCCCTCGCTCCCACCCTTTCTTCCCCCCCCACCTCTCCCCAACATGCAGATCATGGGAGAGTGGCGGCTGCTCTACAGCACCATCGCCATCCTCGGCTGCAAGTGCACCAAGCTGGGCCTCAGAAACTGTCTTACCTCTCCTTTACTGTCCCCACCTCCGACCTTTCTGCCCTCCCCCTCCCCTCCAACATTCAGATCACGGGAGAGTGGCGGCTGCTCTACAGCACCATCGCCATCCTCGGCTGCAAGTGCACCAAGCTGGGCCTCAGAAACTGTCTTACCTCTCCTTTACTGTCCCCACCTCCGACCTTTCTGCCCTCCCCCTCCCCTCCAACATTCAGATCACGGGAGAGTGGCGGCTGCTCTACAGCACCATCGCCATCCTCGGCTGCAAGTGCACCAAGCTGGGCCTCAGAAACTGTCTTACCTCTCCTTTACTGTCCCCACCTCCGACCTTTCTGCCCTCCCCCTCCCCTCCAACATTCAGATCACGGGAGAGTGGCGGCTGCTCTACAGCACCATCGCCATTCTTGGCTCAAAGCGCACCAAGCTGGGCCTCAGAGATTTCATTTCTTTGGGTGACTTCCTTCAGATTGTGGACAAGGATACGGTACGATCTGGCTTAAGAGGGAGATAGACCAACTTGGTTGAACTTTTGAAAATTCTCAAAAGGTCTCAGGGACTCCATTTCTCCCCTGAGGGGAACTTCTTGAGATTGTTAACAAAGACACGGTAAGTTGACAAATCCCTGAGGGAGTTCTATCCTTGGGGGGGGGGGGGGGGGGGGGGGGGGGGGGGGGGGGGGGGGGGGGGGGGTGGGTCTCCATGTGAAAAATGGGTTTAGGGTTTTGAGATGACTCAAAAGCTGTCGGATTTCAAAACCAGTCATTTTGGGAGGCTTCTTCTAAGATGCAGGCACGGTTGCGGCGTGAAATGAGAGTGCTTTTGAGACGTCTCGAAACCACTCTCATTTCACGTGGCTGTTTAGAATGCGGCACGGATGCGGCGCGATTGCCAGCCATGATTCGTTACCAGTGACGGTCACACTGTGCTGTTGAGGCGCCTAAAACGTCGTTTTCAGTGACGGTCACACTGTGCTGTTGAGGCGCCTAAAACGTCGTTTTCAGTGACGGTCACACTGTGCTCAAGGAAGCTTCTTATACAGCCCCCCCTGCGCCCGTCAACCCCCCTTGTCTCACCCCTCGAGAGGCGAGCAGCCAACATGGTGGAGTTCGCAGTGAGGGGCCTGGGGCTGCTGTCAGGGAAACTCACCATTGAAGCCATGTGCTTCGTCTTCCCCTCTCCTCTCCCCCCATGCATCGTCGTCACTCACGGTTTTGGAAGAGCAGCAGGGCTAGAGAAGGCGTTTAGCAAGTAAGAAAGAGATCAAAACCCCGGGGCTGCTGTCAGGGCATCTCACCATCGAAGCCACGTACTCCGTCTACCCCTCTCCTCTCCCCCCGTGCGTCAATTACCTACAGAGGCGAGCAGCCAACGTGGTGGAATTTTCAGTGAGGGGGTTGGGGCTGCTGTCAGGGAAACTCACCATCGAAGCCACTTACACGGTTGCCTCTCCCACTGTAAGCGCCACATGCCAGACGTAAGTGCCACCTGCCAGACGTAAGTGCCACATGCCAGACGTAAGTGCCACATGCCAGACGTAAGTGCCACATGCCAGACGTAAGCGCCACATGCCAGACGTAAGCGCCACATGCCAGACGTAAGCGCCACATGCCAGACGTAAGCGCCACATGCCAGACGTAGCGCCATACGTCTTTGCCCTCAGCTCACCATCGAAGCTACCTACACTGTTTTCTCTCCCACTGCGTTCCAAGGTCGGTTAATACTCTTAGCAGGCTTGCTGCGATTCGAATCGAAGCCAGCCTTTTTCAGCACTGATTCCGCGAAGCTACCTACACTGTTTCCTCTCCCACTGCGAGCGAGCGCAATGCAGCATAAGCGGTGTGTCTTTTGCCACATGCATTGTGCCTTACGCCTCCTGCAAACCTTGCCCTGTAAACCTCAGCTCAACTTCCTCGTGTGATGAGTCGGTTTTTGAGTCGACTCAAAAACCGTGCCCTGTGAACCTCAGCTCTAACTTCCTCTGTGCTCTGTGCTCCTTGCTCTATCCAGTTCTGCTCTTCTCTCTTCTCTCTTCTCTCCTCTCTCCTCTCTCCTCTCTGCTCTCTACTTTTCCTCTCTGCTTTCTGCTTTCTGCTCTCTCCTTCATCGTGTTGACATCATCTTCAAGAGCTCCCTCCCTCCTGTCATCTGCCCATCTCACCCTTCGCAAAACCCTGCCCCCCCTGAGTACCCCTTTTCTCTCCTTTCTCTGTTGCAGCGGGTGGACATCAAATTTGAGAGCTCCAGCATCGTACCAGACCAGGTGGGTTTCTTGGTAAGGTTTTTTTTGTTGACTCGAAAATCAGCTTGCCCCAGGTGGGGTAATTTCCAGGTGGGGTAATTTTCCAGGTGGGGTAATTTCCCAGGTGGGGTAATTTTCCAGGTGGGGTAATTTCCCAGGTGGGGTAATTTCCCAGGTGGGGTTATTTCCCAGGTGGGGTAATTTACCAGGTGGGGTAATTTCCCAGGTGGGGTGTACTTGCAGGTAGGATCTGTACAGCTCCCGTCCTCCTCACTGCCAGCCTTTTCCTTTGAGAATCCTTTTGAGAATACTCAATGTGGAGATTGCTTTTGAAAATTCTCATTATGGAAAGTATTTTTGAGAATTCTCAATATGGGCAAGCTGTTTGAGAAGAACTATGATCTGCTTCTGCTGGTTTCTTCGTTTACTAAAAAGCACTCCCCTATTGACCCCCTTCTCTCTCCCCCCTTCAACTACCCCCCCAACCCCCTGTCTCCCCCTCCACCTTTTTTGTCCCCTACACACGCCCTTTCACAGCTAAGCAAGCTGTTTGAGAAGAACTATGACCTGCTTCTGATGCTTTCTTCTCCTCTTCCCCCGCCCCCTCTTTCCCCAAAAACACCCCCCCCCCTCCCCCCCCCCCCACCCTTCCCCCACACCGTTTTCACAGCTGAACAAGCTGTTTGAGAAGAACTACGACCTGCTTCTGCGGATGATTTAGTTGCCGCACATGTAATCCCTTTCCCGCTCCCTTCCCCACCCCTTTCCCCCTCTCCCCACACCCTTTCACAGCTGAACAAGCTGTTTGAGAAGACCTACGACCTGCTTCCGCGAATCTGCGGATATTCAAGTTGACTAGAAGAATCGCCACTGGAAGAAATTCTTATCCCCCACCCCCCCCTCGCTCTCCCCCCACCCCGTTTTGACAGCTGAACAAGCTGTTCGAGAAGAACTATGAAATGGTTTTGATGCTTTCTTCTCCTCTTCCCCTACTCCCGCCCTCTTTCCCCAACCCCCCCCCCCACCCCCCCCTTCCCCCTCTCCCCCACCCCGCTGTTCCCCCCTCCAACACCGTTTTGACAGCTGAACAAGCTGTTTGAGAAGAAATATGACCTGCTGCTGCGGAGATTCTTGTTGACTGAAAGAAAGTATTCCCCTATACCGCTCTCCCACGCCCCTATCCATGCGACAGCTGAACAAGCTGTTTGAGAAGACCTATGACCTGCTGCTGCGGAGATTCAACCCGGATGGATGGCTGTTTAGTTGCCCCACAAGTAACTCCTTCCCCTCTCTCTTCCCCGCCCTCTCCTCCCCCCCCCCCCCCCCACCACACCGTTTGACAGCTGAACAAGCTGTTTGAGAAGAACTACGATTTGCTCTTGAGGATATTCAACCCGGATGGATGGCTCGAGATAACGTGAGTGCTTCTGGTGGTTGCAAGTGGCGTCTGTGCACTTGATGATTCAAATTCGTTTGGAAGACCTACGATCTGCTCTAGAGATAACGTGAGTGAGTGCTTCAACCCGGATGGATGGCTCGAGACAACGTGAGTGCCTCTGGTGGTTACATATAGCGTTTGTGTACTTGATAATTTAGCGGAGGGTGTATGCATTTGCACATGCATACACATACACATGCATACACATACACATGCATACACGTACACATGCTTGACATATGAGAGTATAAGAACCTTGATACACCTTTGTGGTAATCTCCAACCAATTACGAATCTTGGGAGTTGTAGTCCTTGTGAGTGATTTTTGAGAATTCTCAAATTTCACTCACATGCATACACACACACATGCATACACATACACATGCTTGACGTGTGAGAGTATAAGAACTTTGATACACCTGTGCTGGTTGGTTAAATTGGAGTGGTTGCACGATTTTTTTTTTTTTTTTCTTTCCTTTTTTTTCTCCACACGTGTATGTGCTACATGTACACGTGATTATAATTCTACTACAACTGTTTCCCCCTTTGCTAAACTTTCTGTACTGCTGCTCCCTGGAACATGTCGAATAGTCTGCTCCACACCTGCATGTGCTATATGTACATGTGATCATGGACGGGTTTTGGGTCCACTCAGAACTGGCCAGGGACGCCTCACCATTGCACATCATTTTAATGCATTTCGTGCATTGCTCTCTATTGCTCTGTGCGCAACCCCCTTTATTGTCACACAGCTACGTGGACGACACTGTGCGAATCGGGCGAGACGACAAGGGAAACATCTTTGTCGTGGAAAGGCAACTTCCAAGTCAATAGGCCAATCATAGGCTGTGAGCTACAGTGTGGTGTGGTGTAGATAAGTCGTTATCACTTACAATGAGCATGGTACCTACTACCTACTCTGGCTGTACTACTCTTGGGGTGATGTGATAGGCTACTGCTACAGCAGTGCAGGCATGTGCTTTGTTTTTAGTCGATTCGAATGCAGGCAGTTCTCTACAATACAAGACTTCAGATGTCAAGCATAACAGGCATGTGCTGGTGTAGAGGCCTCTGACTTCTTAGTGTTCTATTATTCCTCTGATAACTCCTCACATCCCGCCCCTGTTCTCCTGCAAGCTGTGAGATGGAACACAGCATTCCAGATCAATTCATATTGCATAATTGCATTAGTTACATGCCACAAGATACTAGTGGCAGAAAGAAGGTACATTCAGCACTGCTGATTTATAAGGGTGGCATAAAAATGAAACTCGGGGTTGGGGAGTCATTAGCAGCTCCAGCATTGAGGACCATAGCACTCTACTACATTCCCTTGCAGAAGAAACCCGATTGAAGATAAGCAGAGCCTGTCTACACTCTATGCTCTTCATTCCTCTGTAGAGCGAGCTCTAGCATTGATGCTGCACGGCGCATGTCCTCCATACAAGCATCCGCGGTAAAGCAAAGCTCCATAGGAGAAAACGGGTCCTCCATGACAAGGTTCGAAGATCTCATTATGCCGGAGTCAGGCTGCGGGTGTGTGTTTCTTCTCATATTCCTTCTGGTATTCCCAACGTGATCCCCATTCGCGGTGCTGCTGGCGCTACAGCTGGCGCTTCTGGGCGTGTTGTTGTCGAAGCTGCTGCCTGTGCTGCATCTGCTGACGGTGTGGGCGGTCTTGCTGTTGCTGATGACGTTGCTAAAGCTGTACCCGTTTATAGCCGACTCAAAAGGAATATTTAGAGCATTTGAGCCCTCATCCCACTTGAGAACGTTGTTTTCCCTGACTTCACAACAGTCGCCACTGCCGTCGTTGCCGCTGCAGCTGCTTCTGTAAAACCACTTGCATAAAGCAAAAAGATTCACTTTCCGCAGAAGCCTTCTAGAGCTCGAGCTAGCAGATGTAGAGGGCGGATATGTCAATGATGACGATGCCAATAATAACGGGGATGGTGCATCGCCCGTGGCGCGCGAACCGACTCCGTTGTTCACGCCAACGGCTGCTGGTACTACTGGGGTTCCTCTCTCCCGTAATCCCGAAGGCGATTCACACGTTGTGTAGGAGATTGGCGTCACGTCCGTCGCGTGCGGACCGGAATAGCTAACGGAACGGCTTATCGTGTTCCCTTGCGACCAGTTGCGAGGACGATTTCCGTGATGGAGCTTGTATCGCGTACAGCTCTGGGAGTAGGTATTATTTCCGGGGGATTCAGCGCGGCCGTCGCCGAAACCACCGCTGGATGTCGGGCATACCGCTGATGACGCAGTGCCGATAGTGGTACTTAACGCTCTCCTAGAAACTGGCTTATTTTCGGCGACGAGAACGGCCACTCTGCTGCTCTCGTCGCCGAGGATCGCGGAGTCAAATCTTTCGGGGCACGACGCGAACATGCGCAGCAGCGAGCGCGACGAGACTGTCCCTTTGCGCAGCGCGTGCGGAACGGGCTTCTTTTCGGCGACGGAAACGACCCCTCTGCCGTTCCCGTCGCCGTGAGTCGCGGAGTCAAATCTTTCGGGGCACGACGCGAATGTGCGCAGCAGCGAGCGCGACGAGCAGCCTTGCCCCGCTTGGCGCAACGTCTGCGGAACGACCTGATAGGTCGCGCCGGGAATCAGCGGGCGCCAGGCGGGAAGCGGAATGTGTTCGTCCGGGGAGATGTCTGCGGAGACTCCGCGCCTGAGGGGACTCCCCGGCGGAGGGGCGGCGGGGGAGAGCGCGAGGTTATGGCGGGGGAAATCGCGGAGAACGTCGCCCGCGGTCAAGATACCGGGAGTCCGCGGAGACTGCAGCGACGCGCAGCGGGGGTAGGTTTGCGCCCAGTGGGTATGCGCGCGCGCGTCTTCATAGTCCGCTTCCGCCGGCTCCCCGCACCGTGTTTCCGCACGCGGAGTTGGCGGGGGGCTCAGCCTGAGCCCGTCGCTCCTTCCCCTGGCGGGCGTGCCGCCTTCCATCGAACAGGGTTGGTACTCGGCCGGCGGCGGCGGCGGCGGCGGCAAATCTTCCGTTGCCGCCGCGAGATGCGGCGTGATTAGGCGGATGGTGCCGTCCGGAAGTACGACGATGGCGGGATCGGCGTCGGTCACCATGATGGCGCGCGGCGCGTTGACGACTCACGAAGGCCCCAAAGAGTACAGTAAAGCTATCGTAAGCTTTTAAGTCGTGACGACGTTGCTGATAGTACTTATGGTTACGCAGCGCCTCAAGACGTGACGCCACACGTGACGGCGACGGTGATGACGCTAGTAGAGCGAGAACTGGTTGGTTAAACAAGGCGAATGAGAAATGGTTCGCGTCATCCCGCACTTATGGAGGAACGTCGTCCCGCGCATTGTACTACACGTGACTGCGTTAGCGTGGCGTGTGGTCTTGCTGCAAAAAACCTCCGTTGAGGGAGAGAATAGGCGTTTCGGTGCGCGTACTAAAACTTCGCGAGGCAGGGCTGTAGGTAATCATTAACTCGTCTCTTCGGATGAGGACGGAAAGGACAGAGAGTCTCTTTGCGCGTGAGGATCCCGCAAAACAGATCTGCCAGCTGGATCTGCCATTAGCAGGAGAGGAGAGAGGGTCCGTACAAAGAGACCTAATTACAGTAACGACGAATGGCGGCCGGCGTCGTTTTCCGTTGAATGTGCCGTTGGGCCTGAAATAGTGCTGCTGGAAGGTATGTCTGTTAGCAGCAGGTCTCTCCTCTTTGTTTTAGACGACCATTCAAGGATGTAGGTGTGAGTGTAGCAGGGCTGTTCTGTAGGTCAGCCACCTGTGGGCTGGTTCGGCCTAGAAGTGTAAGAGTCACGGCGGTTTTTGTAATGGCGGTGCTGTTGCTGAAACGTGGGGGCCTGAGTCGAGGCGAGATCTCTCTCCGATAGCCATGTGATTGTTGCGATCGTGAGACTCTCGACTGAGGGTTGAGCGGAGACGAAAGCGACTTGAGGGGGGAAGAATGCTATGGGCGGCAATTTTCATCTCTTCCTTCACCACGTCGCGAGTGATTTGCGTGTGCTCAAACGTTTGCGCCTGGTTGTGCATTGAGGGAAGTCGACGAGTAGCGAAGTCCTTTTCTTCTCCGAGCCGCGATGCTGAAAAGGACCTTTGCGCGTGATGGTTCGGATTCAGCAATTGTAATCGATTTGATGGGAAGGACGATTGGAAGAATCTCGAAAACATCCACGTATCATTACAAGAAGCTATTCGTTTCGTTGTAAGCTCTGCTAAGAGATTTCAGCAGATTTTGTAAACTGGTGCATGGGGGGACAAGAGTCTGGAGTTTGAATTGAACTTGGCCAAAGTCTGCCATAACATGACATGGTTGTCAGTTCAACCACTGAAAAAAAAAAAAAAAAAAAAAAACCCATTAGGGAAAATTGTGTAAGAAGCACATTCGTCACTGGGTACTCATCAATCTAGCGTTACACACAATTCCACACAAATCAAAATTGAGCACTAGTTCTCAGCTTCAGCAACCCATGCTTTTGCAAAAGCGACTTCACTCGAGCCCATAACGGCATGGCCTCGGGTAACCGCATGGTAACCACAAGGGCGCAGAAGACAAGGAATCCTGCAGCAGCTGTCGTTCCAAGTGCTGCCGCATCTAGCAACCACACCCATGTGGGTTGCAAGGAGAGCAAGTGAGAGGCGGTTGTAAGTGCGGCAGAGAGGAGCTTATGCATGACTGTGACTGTGATAGCCGTGGCAGCGGCTGATTGGAAGAGGATGGAGAAAGAGGGCCACCAGAGCGAGAGAGGGAGGCCTGCAGAGGGAGGGGAGTGGAGGGAGAGGTGTGAGGAGGGACAGAAGCAGGTGAGTGTGTGGCAGTGACAGTGGCAATGGCAGCAGTGGCAGCAGCTGATGGTAAGAGGATGAGAGAGAGAAGGCTCTAAGCCAGCATGAGCTGACGTAGAAAACTCAGAGCAGTCAGAGATTCATTCACCTCCCATTCTCCTGGGCGGCAGCCACAGCAGCGCTACAGCCGGAGCACTGTTCACAGCGGCTGTAGCGAGCACAGCACAAGTCCTGAAGGGAAACATAGAGCACAGCCAACCAACCGTCCACTAACCTCCCATTCTCCTGTGCGCCAGACACAGCAGCGCTACAGCCGAAGCACTGTTCACAGCGGCTGTAGCGAGCACCAGCCCCTGGGGTCCAAACTTCCAGCGGCTCACGAATAGGAAATCCAGGACTGCATTGGCTGCTATAGCGAATGTGCTTATAAGGAAGGGCGTGGTGCCGTCCGCGAGGGAGTAGAAGAGACGAACGAGCACGTCCCGAGCCAAGTAGCAGGGGGAACCGAGGAGGTCTGGGGGTTAAAGAAAAGGGAAAGAGAGAGGGGAAGAGAGAGGGAAAGAGAGAGGGGAAGAGAGGGGATGAGGGGCGTGGTGCCGTTCGCGAGGGAGTAGAAGAGCCGAACGAGCACGTCCCGAGACAGGTAGCAGGGGGGACCGAGGAGGCCTGGTGATGGGAAAATAGAGAGGGAAAGAAAGGGGGGGACGGGAAGGGGGAAAGCACTTTTGAGGCGCCTCAAAAGGAGGTCTGGTGATGTGAAAATAGAGGGGGAAAGAATGGGGGGGGACGGGAAGGGGGAAAGCACTTTTGAGGCGCCTCAAAAGGAGGTCTGGTGATGGGAAAATAGAGGGGGGAAGAAAGGGGGGACAGGAAGGGGGAAAGCATCATGTGCTGAAAGGCAAGGGGCATGTGCGTGGGGAAGAGAGGGGGCAAGCAGAGTGTGCCACCAGCTAGGGAGTAGAAGAGCCGCACGAGTTCGTCCAGAGCCAGGTAGCATGGGGAACGCAGGAGGTCTGTGGGGGGGAAGAGAAAGAAGGGACAAGTGAATAGCGGACTTGAAGGCCAGTAGGCCAGTAGGCGAGTAGGCGAGTAGGCGAGTAGGCGAGTAGGCGAGTAGGCCAGTAGGCCAGTAGGCCAGTAGGCCAGTAGGCCAGTAGGCCAGTAGGCCAGTGGGCCAGTAGGCCAGTAGGCCAGTAGGCGAGTAGGCGAGTAGGCGAGTAGGCGAGTAGGCGAGTAGGCGAGTAGGCGAGTAGGCCAGTAAGCCAGTAGGCCAGTAGGCCAGTAAGCCAGTAGGCCAGTAGGCCAGTAGGCCAGTAGGCCAGTAGGCCAGTAGGCAATTAGGCCAGTAGGCCAGTAGGCGAGTAGGCGAGTAGGCGAGTACGCGAGTAGGCCAGTAGGTCAGTAGGCGAGTAGGCGAGTAGGCGAGTAGGCGAGTAGGCGAGTAGACGAGTAGGCGAGTAGGCGAGTAGGCGAGTAGGAGAGTAGGCGAGTAGGCGAGTAGGCGAGTAGGCGAGTAGGTCAGTAGGCCAGTAGGCCAGTAGGCCAGTAGGCCAGTAGGCCAGTAGGCCAATAGGCCAGTAGGCAAGTAGGCCAGTAGGCCAGTAGGCCAGTAGGCCAGTAGGCCAGTAGGCCAGTAGGTCAGTAGGCCAGTAGGCCAGTAGGCCAGTAGGTCAGTAGGCCAGTAGGCCAGTAGGCCAGTAGGCCAGTAGGCCAGTAGGCGAGTAGGCGAGTAGACGAGTAGGCGAGTAGGCGAGTAGGCCAGTAGGCGAGTAGGCCAGTAGGCCAGTAGGCCAGTAGGCCAGTAGGGGAGTAGGCGAGTAGGCGAGTAGGCCAGTAGGCCAGTAGGCCAGTAGGCCAGTAGGCTAGTAGGCGAGTAGGCCAGTAGGCCAGTAGGCCAGTAGGCCAGTAGGCCAGTAGGCCAGTAGGCCAGTAGGCCAGTAGACCAGTAGGCCAGTAGGCCAGTAGGCCAGTAGGCCAGTAGGCGAGTAGGCGAGTAGGCGAGTAGGCCAGTAGGCCAGTAGGCCAGTAGGCCAGTAGGCCAATAGGCCAGTAGGCCAGTAGGCCAGTAGGCCAGTAGGCCAGTAGGCCAGTAGGCGAGTAGGCGAGTAGGCCAGTAGGCCAGTAGGCCAGTAGGCGAGTAGGCGAGTAGGCGAGTAGGCGAGAAGGCGAGTAGGCCAGTAGGCCAGTGGGACAGTAGGCCAGTAGGCCAGTAGGCGAGTAGGCCAGTAGGCCAGTAGGCCAGCAGGCGAGTAGGCGAGAAGGCGAGTAGGCCAGTAGGCCAGTAGGCCAGTAGGCCAGTAGGCCAGTAGGCCAGTAGGCCAGTAGGTCAGTAGGCCAGTAGGCAAGTAGGCCAGTAGGCGAGTAGGCGAGTACGCGAGTAGGCCGGTAGGCCAGTAGGCCAGTAGGCCAGTAGGCCAGTAGGCGAGTAGGCCAGTAGGCCAGTAGGCGATTAGGCGAGTAGGCGAGTAGGCGAGTAGGCCAGTAGGCCAGTAGGCCAGTAGGCCAGTAGGCCAGTAGGCCAGTAGGCCAGTAGGCCAGTAGGCCAGTAGGCCAGTAGGCCAGTAGGCGAGTAGGCGAGTAGACGAGTAGGCGAGTAGGCGAGTAGGCCAGTAGGCGAGTAGGCCAGTAGGCCAGTAGGCCAGTAGGCCAGTAGGCGAGTAGGCGAGTAGGCGAGTAGGCCAGTAGGCCAGTAGGCCAGTAGGCCAGTAGGCTAGTAGGCTAGTAGGCCAGTAGGCCAGTAGGCCAGTAGGCCAGTAGGCCAGTAGGCCAGTAGGCCAGTAGGCCAGTAGGCTAGTAGGCCAGTAGGCCAGTAGGCCAGTAGGCCAGTAGGCCAGTAGGCCAGTAGGCCAGTAGGCCAGTAGGCCAGTAGGCCAGTAGGCGAGTAGGCGAGTAGGCGAGTAGGCGAGTAGGCGAGTAGGCCAGTAGGCGAGTAGGCGAGTAGGCGAGTAGGCGAGAAGGCGAGTAGGCCAGTAGGCCAGTAGGCCAGTAGGCCAGTAGGCCAGTAGGCCAGTAGGCCAGTAGGCCAGTAGGCCAGCAGGCGAGTAGGCGAGAAGGCGAGTAGGCCAGTAGGCCAGTAGGCCAGTAGGCCAGTAGGCCAGTAGGCCAGTAGGCCAGTAGGCCAGTAGGCCAGTAGGTCAGTAGGCCAGTAGGCAAGTAGGCCAGTAGGCGAGTAAGCGAGTACGCGAGTAGGCCGGAAGGCCAGTAGGCCAGTAGGCCAGTAGGCGAGTAGGCGAGTAGGCGAGTAGGGGAGTAGGCGAGTAGGCGAGTAGGCGAGTAGGCCAGTAGGCCAGTAGGCCAGTAGGCCAGTAGGCCAGTAGGCCAGTAGGCCAGTAGGCCAGTAGGCCAGTAGGCGAGTAGGCGAGTAGGCGAGTAGGCCAGTAGGCGAGTAGGCGAGTAGGCGAGTAGGCGAGAAGGCGAGTAGGCCAGTAGGCCAGTAGGCCAGTAGGCCAGTAGGCCAGTAGGCCAGTAGGCCAGCAGGCCAGTAGGCCAGCAGGCGAGTAGGCGAGAAGGCGAGTAGGCCAGTAGGCCAGTAGGCCAGTAGGCCAGTAGGCCAGTAGGCCAGTAGGCCAGTAGGCCAGTAGGCCAGTAGGCCAGTAGGCCAGTAGGCCAGTAGGCCAGTAGGCCAGTAGGCCAGTAGGCCAGTAGGCGAGTAGGCCAGTAGGCCAGTAGGCCAGTAGGCCAGTAGGCCAGTAGGCCATTAGGCTAGTAGGCCAGTAGGCCAGTAGGCCAGTAGGCCAGTAGGCCAGTAGGCCAGTAGGCGAGTAGGCGAGTAGGCGAGTAGGCGAGTAGGCGAGTAGGCGAGTAGGCGAGTAGGCGAGTAGGCCAGTAGGCCAGTAGGCCAGTAGGCCAGTAGGCCAGTAGGCCAGTAGGCGAGTAGGCGAGTAGGCGAGTAGGGGAGTAGGCGAGTAGGCGAGTAGGCGAGTAGGCGAGTAGGCGAGAGGGCGAGTAGACTAGTAGGCCAGTAGGCCAGTAGGCCAGTAGGCCAGTAGGCCACTAGGCCAGTAGGCCAGTAGGCCAGTAGGCCAGTAGGCCAGTAGGCGAGTAGGCGAGTAGGCGAGTAGGCGAGTAAGCGAGTAGGCGAGTAGGCGAGTAGGCGAGTAGGCGAGAAGGCGAGTAGGCCAGTAGGCCAGTAGGCCAGTAGGCCAGTAGGCCAGTAGGCCAGTAGGCCAGTAGGTGAGTAGGCCAGTAGGCAAGTAGGCCAGTAGGCGAGTACGCGAGTAGGCGAGTAGGCGAGTAGGCCGGTAGGCCGGTAGGCCAGTAGGCCAGTAGGCCAGTAGGCCAGTAGGCCAGTAGGCCAGTAGGCCAGTAGGCGAGTAGGCGAGTAGGCGAGTAGGCCAGTAGGCCAGTAGGCCAGTAGGCGAGTAGGCCAGTAGGCCAGTAGGCCAGTAGGCCAGTAGGCCAGTAGGCCAGTAGGCCAGTAGGCCAGAAGGCCAGTAGGCCAGTAGGCCAGTAGGCCTGTAGGCCAGTAAGCCAGTAGGCCAGTAGGCCAGTAGGCGAGTAGGCCAGTAGGCCAGTAGGCCAGTAGGCCAGTAGGCCAGTAGGCAAGTAGGCCAGTAGGCGAGTAGGCGAGTAGGCGAGTAGGGGAGTAGGCGAGTAGGCGAGTAGGCGAGTAGGCGAGTAGGCGAGAGGGCGAGTAGACCAGTAGGCCAGTAGGCCAGTAGGCCAGTAGGCCAGTAGGCCACTAGGCCAGTAGGCCAGTAGGCCAGAAGGGCAGTAGGCCAGTAGGCGAGTAGGCGAGTAGGCGAGTAGGCGAGTAAGCGAGTAGGCGAGTAGGCGAGTAGGCGAGTAGGCGAGAAGGCGAGTAGGCCAGTAGGCCAGTAGGCCAGTAGGCCAGTAGGCCAGTAGGCCAGTAGGCCAGTAGGTGAGTAGGCCAGTAGGCAAGTAGGCCAGTAGGCGAGTACGCGAGTAGGCGAGTAGACGAGTAGGCGAGTAGGCGAGTAGGCCAGTAGGCGAGTAGGCCAGTAGGCGAGTAGGCCAGTAGGCCAGTAGGCCAGTAGGCCAGTAGGCCAGTAGGCCAGTAGGCCAGTAGGCCAGAAGGCCAGTAGGCCAGTAGGCCAGTAGGCCTGTAGGCCAGTAAGCCAGTAGGCCAGTAGGCCAGTAGGCGAGTAGGCCAGTAGGCCAGTAGGCCAGTAGGCCAGTAGGCCAGTAGGCGAGTAGAGGAGTAGGCGAGTAGGCGAGTAGGCGAGTAGAGGAGTAGAGGAGTAGGCGAGTAGGCGAGTAGGCGAGTAGGCGAGTAGGCGAGTAGGCCAGTAGGCCAGTAGGCCAGTAGGCCAGTAGGCCAGTAGGCCAGTAGGCCAGTAGGCCAGTAGGCCAGTAGGCCAGTAGGCCAGAGGCCAGTAGGCCAGTAGGCCAGTAGGCGAGTAGGCGAGTACGCGAGTAGGCGAGTAGGCGAGTAGGCGAGTAATCGAGTAGGCGAGAAGGCGAGTAGGCCAGTAGGCCAGTAGGCGAGTAGGCGAGTAGGCCAGTAGGCCAGTAGGCCAGTAGGCCAGTAGGCCAGTAGGCCAATAGTCCAGTAGGCCAGTAGGCCAGTAGGCCAGTAGGCCAGTAGGCCAGTAGGCCAGTAGGCCAGTAGGCCAATAGGCCAGTAGGCGAGTAGGCCAGTAGGCCAGTAGGCCAGTAGGCCAGTAGGCCAGTAGGCCAGTAGGCGAGTAGGCGAGTAGGCAAGTAGGCCAGTAGGCCAGTAGGCCAGTAGGCCAGAAGGCCAGTAGGCCAGTAGGCCAGTAGGCCTGTAGGCCAGTAAGCCAGTAGGCCAGTAGGCCAGTAGGCGAGTAGGCCAGTAGGCCAGTAGGCCAGTAGGCCAGTAGGCCAGTAGGCGAGTAGAGGAGTAGGCGAGTAGGCGAGTAGGCGAGTAGAGGAGTAGAGGAGTAGGCGAGTAGGCGAGTAGGCGAGTAGGCGAGTAGGCGAGTAGGCGAGTAGGCCAGTAGGCCAGTAGGCCAGTAGGCCAGTAGGCCAGTAGGCCAGTAGGCCAGTAGGCCAGTAGGCCAGTAGGCCAGTAGGCCAGTAGGCCAGAGGCCAGTAGGCCAGTAGGCCAGTAGGCGAGTAGGCGAGTACGCGAGTAGGCGAGTAGGCGAGTAGGCGAGTAATCGAGTAGGCGAGAAGGCGAGTAGGCCAGTAGGCCAGTAGGCGAGTAGGCGAGTAGGCGAGTAGGCCAGTAGGCCAGTAGGCCAGTAGGCCAGTAGGCCAATAGTCCAGTAGGCCAGTAGGCCAGTAGGCCAGTAGGCCAGTAGGCCAGTAGGCCAGTAGGCCAGTAGGCCAATAGGCCAGTAGGCGAGTAGGCCAGTAGGCCAGTAGGCCAGTAGGCCAGTAGGCGAGTAGGCGAGTAGGCGAGTAGGCGAGTAGGCCAGTAGGCCAGTAGGCCAGCAGGCCAGTAGGCCAGAAGGCCAGTAGGCCAGTAGGCGAGTAGGCGAGTAGGCCAGTAGGCCAGTAGGCCAGTAGGCCAGTAGGCCAGTAGGCCATTAGGCTAGTAGGCAAGTAGGCCAGTAGGCCAGTAGGCCAGTAGGCCAGTAGGCCAGTAGGCCAGTAGGCGAGTAGGCGAGTAGGCGAGTAGGCGAGTAGGCGAGTAGGCCAGTAGGCCAGTAGGCCAGTAGGCTAGTAGGCCAGTAGGCCAGTAGGCCAGTAGGCCAGTAGGCCAGTAGGCCAGTAGGCGAGTAGGCGAGTAGGCGAGTAGGGGAGTAGGCGAGTAGGCGAGTAGGCGAGTAGGCGAGTAGGCGAGAGGGCGAGTAGACCAGTAGGCCAGTAGGCCAGTAGGCCAGTAGGCCACTAGGCCACTAGGCCAGTAGGCCAGTAGGCCAGTAGGCCCGTAGGCGAGTAGGCGAGTAGGCGAGTAGGCGAGTAGGCGAGTAAGCCAGTAGGCGAGTAGGCGAGTAGGCGAGTAGGCGAGAAGGCGAGTAGGCCAGTAGGCCAGTAGGCCAGTAGGCCAGTAGGCCAGTAGGCCAGTAGGCCAGTAGGTCAGTAGGCCAGTAGGCAAGTAGGCCAGTAGGCGAGTACGCGAGTAGGCGAGTAGGCGAGTAGGCCGGTAGGCCGGTAGGCCAGTAGGCCAGTAGGCCCGTAGGCCAGTAGGCCAGTAGGCCAGTAGGCGAGTAGGCGAGTAGGCGAGTAGGCGAGTAGGCGAGTAGGCCAGTAGGCCAGTAGGCCAGTAGGCCAGTAGGCCAGTAGGCCAGTAGGCCAGTAGGCCAGTAGGCCAGTAGGCGAGTAGGCGAGTAGGCCAGTAGGCCAGTAGGCGAGAAGGCGAGTAGGCGAGTAGGCGAGAAGGCGAGTAGGCCAGTAGGCCAGTAGGCCAGTAGGCCAGTGGGCCAGTAGGCCAGTAGGCCAGTAGGCCAGTAGGCCAGTAGGTCAGTAGGCCAGTAGGCAAGTAGGCCAGTAGGCGAGTACGCGAGTAGGCGAGTAGGCGAGTAGGCCGGTAGGCCAGTAGGCCAGTAGGCGAGTAGGCGAGTAGGCGAGTAGGCGAGTAGGCGAGTAGGTGAGTAGGCGAGTAGGCGAGTAGGCCAGTAGGCCAGTAGGCCAGTAGGCCAGTAGGCCAGTAGGCCAGTAGGCCAGTAGGCCAGTAGGCCAGTAGGCCAGTAGGCCAGAAGGCCAGTAGGCCAGTAGGCCAGTAGGCCAGTAGGCCAGTAGGCCAGTAGGCCAGTAGGCCAGTAGGCCAGTAGGCGAGTAGGCGAGTAGAGGAGTAGGCGAGTAGGCGAGTAGGTGAGCAGGCGAGTAGGCGAGTAGAGGAGTAGGCGAGTAGGCGAGTAGGCGAGTAGGCGAGTAGGCGAGTAGGCCAGTAGGCCAGTAGGCCAGTAGGCCAGTAGGCCAGTAGGCCAGTAGGCCAGTAGGCCAGTAGGCCAGTAGGCCAGTAGCCGAGTAGGCGAGTAGGCGAGTAGGCGAGTAATCGAGTAGGCGAGAAGGCGAGTAGGCCAGTAGGCCAGTAGGCGAGTAGGCCTGTAGGCCAGTAGGCCAGTACGCCAGTAGGCCAGTAGGCCAGTAGGTCAGTAGGCCAGTAGGCAAGTAGGCCAGTAGGCGAGTAGGCGAGTAGGCGAGTAGGCGAGTAGGCCGGTAGGCCAGTAGGCCAGTAGGCCAGTAGGCCAGTAGGCGAGTAGGCGAGTAGGCGAGTAGGCGAGTAGGGGAGTAGGCGAGTAGGCGAGTAGGCCAGTAGGCCAGTAGGCCAGTAGGCCAGTAGGCCAGTAGGCCAGTAGGCGAGTAGGCGAGTAGGCCAGTAGGCCAGTAGGCCAGTAGGCCAGTAGGCCAGTAGGCCAGTAGGCCAGTAGGCGAGTAGGCCAGTAGGCCAGTAGGCCAGTAGGCCAGTAGGCCAGTAGGCCAGTAGGCCAGTAGGCCAGTAGGCAAGTAGGCCAGTAGGGCAGTAGGCGAGTAGGCGAGTAGGCGAGTAGGCGAGTAGGCGAGTAGGCGAGTAGGCCAGTAGGTCAGTAGGCCAGTAGGCCAGTAGGCCAGTAGGCCAGTAGGCCAGTAGGCCAGTAGGCCAGTAGGTCAGTAGGCCAGTAGGCCAGTAGGCCAGTAGGCCAGTAGGCCAGTAGGCCAGTAGGCCAGTAGGCCAGTAGGCCAGTAGGCCAGTAAGCCAGTAGGCCAGTAGGCCAGTAGGCCAGTAGGCCAGTAGGCCAGTAGGCGAGTAGGCCACTAGGCGAGTAGGCCAGTAGGCGAGTAGGCCAGTAGGCCAGTAGGCCAGTAGGCCAGTAGGCCAGTAGGCCAGTAGGCCAGTAGGCCATTAGGCCAGTAGGCCAGTAGGCCAGTAGGCGAGTAGGCCAGTAGGCCAGTAGGCCAGTAGGCCAGTAGGCCAGTAGGCCAGTTGGCCAGTAGGCCAGTAGGCCAGTAGGCCAGTAGGCCAGTAGGCGAGTAGGCGAGTAGGCGAGAAGGCGAGTAGGCCAGTAGGCCAGTAGGCCAGTAGGCCAGTAGGCCAGTAGGCGAGTAGGCGAGTAGGCGAGTAGGCCAGTGTGCGGCGTGGAGAAGGGAGTAGAAGAGACGCACGAGGACGTCGCGGGCCAAGTAGCATGGGGAACCCAGGAGGTCTGGGGGGAGGGGTGCACCAAGCGAGGGGGGCAAAGGGGGAGTAAGTGAATAAGGGCGTTGAGACAGCATGTGCCGTCAGCGAGGGAGTAGAAGAGCCGCACGAGAACGTCGCGGGCCAAGTAGCAGGGCGAGCCGAGGAGGTCTGGGGGAGAGGGAAAAGAGAGGTGAGGGGATGAGGAGTGGAAGGGCATTATCATCATTGGAAAACCTATCGGCCTCACCCATAGCTCATGTCAATAGGAATAAGCATTGGGAGTAAAGAAAAAGAAGCAGCTTTGAGGGCGTGTTTAGATAGAGAGGGGAAGGACCGGCAAGGAAGTACTGACAGCAGGAGAGGAGCTAGGAGACGAGGGAGGTGGCAGAGGCATCGAAGGAGCGACACTGGAAGACAATGCGAAGGGGGAGAACTACTGAGAGCAAGCGAGCAGAGACTGAAGAAGTGTTTTGAGATGTCTCAAATCGCGACACTGGAAGTCAATGCGAAGGGAGAGAACTACTGGGAGCAAGCGAGCAGAGACGACACAGCCAGAGAACACTGACAACATGTGAACAGAAATGTTAGTGGCAGGAAATACTGACAGCAGGAGAGCAGCGAGGAGACGAGGGAGGTGGCAGAGGCATCGAAGGAGCGACACTGGAAGACAATGCGAAGGGGGACAACTACTGAGAGCAAGCGAGCAGAGATGACACAGCCAGAGAACACTGACAGCAGGAGAGCAGCGAGGAGACGAGGGAGGTGGCAGAGGCATCAAAGGAGCGTCGTTGGAAGACAATGCGCACGATGGGACGGGCCAATGGGAGCATGACAGCTGTCATCGGGAGAGTCACGGCCTGTGAGGGGCGAGGGGAGGGAACAAAAGAGGATGTGATGAGGTGAGGTGGGGTGTGGTGGGGTGTGGTGGGGTGAAGTATGTTGAGGTGGGTGGGATGGGATGAGATGCGGTTGGGTGGGTTGAGAGAGGATGCCGATGCTGAAAGAGAAGCGGTGTGACACATGGTATCAACCATGTGGCATATGGTATCAACCATGTGGCATATGGTATCAACCATGTGGCATATGGTATCAACCATGTGACATATGGATAGCATCATCAACAGCAGTTGTTTTTTTGAGAATTTTCAAAAAACAAATTCAGCCTCATATGGTATCAACCAGGTGGCATAAGCAGAGCATCATCAACAGCATGCCATGCTGTGCCATAGCCATGCATGCCATACCATAGCACTGCCATAACATCCATACCACACCACACCACACCACACCACACTACACCACACCACACCACACCACACCGCACCATGCCATACCAGTGCCATGACCAGCCCTCGTCGCAAGCTATCCTTCAAGAGAGGTCGATCCTTAGGCTGAATGGGGAAGAGAGAGGGGGGATGGGATGGGGGAGAGACACGACAGGGAGGAGAGAGGGGGAAGAGCGATGCAACTAAGTAGACTGGGATGGTCAGGATGAGCAATGAACACTCACATGGAAAAGGATCCACACTCTGACACACTCACTCACTCACTCACTCACTCACTCACACACTCACTCACTCACTCACTCCCTCACTCATTCACTCACTCACATGAGCGAGACGAGCAAAGGCAGGCAGCAGCGGCACGAGGAGGGCGGTGGAGAGAATCCCAAGCGGTGCCATTACCAGCAGATTGGCGTCTGGGAAGGGGAGGAGCAAAAGGGGGGGTAGGTTGGGGGAACAGGGAAGGGTAGGGATTGAAGAGGGGACAATGACAAGAGGAGGCACGGGGAGGGCGGTGGAGAGAATACCAAGCGGTGCCATGACCAGCAGATTGGCATCTGGGGAGGGGTGTGGGGAGAGGGGGGGACAGGTTAAGGGAGACGGGGGGATAATCCCGAGGGGACAGGTTAAGGGAGACGGGGGGATAAGGATCAAGGAGGGAAGGACAACGAAGGCACGAGGAGGGCGGTGGAGATAATCCCGAGGGGTGCCATGACCAGCAGATTGGCGTCTGGGGGGGAAGAGCAAGAAGAAGGGGTAGGTTGGGAGGTGGGGAAGGGGTAGGTTGGGAGGTGGGGAAAGGGCAACACCAGGCAGCAGCACAAGTTGACTTTTGAGTCGACTCAAAAGGGGCAACGACAGGCAGCAGCACAAGCAGGACGGTGGCGAATGCTGACCAGAGCAACAGCTCCGGGAGCAACACAGACCTGTTTTTTTAGAATTCTCAAAAAACATAAGCAGCACAAGCAGGGCGGTGGCGAATGCTCCGGGAGCAACACAGACCTGGTGGGGGGGAGCAACAGCGGCAACAACTTTGACTGTATCAGCACTCACAGCCGAGAGCAGCGGCTGTGCCGGGAAGGAATGAGGCAAAGTAGAGGTCTGTGAAGGTGGCGGTAAGGGTGATGAGTGAAGGTGGAAGGTATTAGTTGCTTGGAGTGCTGATCCAGCAACACACAGCACCCAGAGGCAGGAGGGTGGTGCTACAACATACAACACTCACAGCCAAGAGGAAGCGAAGTAAAGGTCTGTGAAGGTGGCAGCGAGAGTGGTGAGTGAATGTGGAAGAAATACACAGCAGCACACAGCACTCACAGCCGAGAGCAGCAGCAGTGCCGGGAAGGAAGGAAGCAAAGTAGAGGTCGGTGAAGGTGGCGATTTGAAGCATGCCCGATGCAACTGTTGCTGGAATCAGAACGCCAAAGACCTAGTGGGAAGAGAAAGAGACAGAGCAGCCGGAATGAGCCTTTTGAGACGTCTCAAAAGAATGAGCCTTTTGAGACGTCTCAAAAATCAGAACGCCAAAGACCTAGTGGGAAGAGAAAGAGACAGAGCAGCCGGAATGAGCCTTTTGAGCCGTAATAAACGGATGAAATGAGAGAAGCATGCAGTGAAAAATACGACTGTGATTTCTCACCTCTCTCAGTTGCTCGCTATGTCGTGCAAACAGCGCAGTTAGAGGCAGCCAGCTGGGGGCATGCACATGAGGCGCTGTGGCTGCTGCTGCTGCTGCTGCTGATGGTGGAGGTGATGGTGCTGGTGCTGGTGCTGTTATTGCTGCTGTTTTTGCTGTTGCTGGTGGTGCTGGGGGTAGCGATGGTGCTGTTGCTGCTGCTGGCGACGCTGCTGGCGGTGCTGCTGGTGTCGGGTCCTCTGGTTGTTCGGTTGTCACCACCACTTGCACTGCTGATGCTGCTGCTGTTGTTTCAGGAAGTGGTGTCGCTGCCAGTTGCTGTGGTGCTGGTGCTGATCGAATCTCAGCTACAAGCTGCGATAGGCACAGGCAGAGGGGGTTGGAGAGTGTAGACGAGATAAGCATAGGGATATTGTCACTTGCTGTGCTGCTGTTTCAGGAGGTGCTGGAACTGCCAGTCACTGTGGTGCTGGTGCAGAGCGGATCTCAGCTGCAAGCTGCGATAGGCAAGGGCAAAGAGGGGTTGAATCGCTTGTAAGGAATAGGCAGGGAAGGATGACAGAGAAGAGTTCAAGAATCGGATAGACAATGATTTTCATAGAGCACCTGAAAGGAGAAGAGAGCACCTGAAAGTGAGCGAGAGCACCTGAAAGCATACAAGAGCACCTGAAAGCATGCAAGAGCACCTGAAAGCATGCAAGAGCACCTGAAAGCATGCAAGAGCACCTGAATCAGCCACTGCAGGAGAGCACCGGCAGTGAAGCTGACAGCCAGACACGTTCCACCTGCCATGGTGCATACGGAAACAAGAGATGGGAGAGGCGTTCAGGACACGTGTCAGATTGTACGAGATGCAAGAACCAACACCAGCAGCAGGAGAGCACCGGTTGACTTTTGAGTCGACTCAAAAGTCAACTCAAAAGTCAACTCAGATTGTACGAGATGCAAGAACCAACACCAGCAGCAGGCGAGCACCGGCAGTGAAGCTGACAGCCAGACACGTTCCACCTGCCATGATCCACATAGAAAAAAGATTAGCAAGTCAAACAAGGGTAGCAAAGAAACGAGATACCAAAGAGCCATTGAGAGCACAAAGAGAGAAACAAGTGGCTGAGAGTTTGTTTGCGAACAAGCATAGGAGTGCAAGGGTCACGGGCCTATCCTAAACCTATCACCGAACCTATCACCGAACCTATCCCGAACCTATCACCGAACCTATCCCGAACCTATCACCGAACCTATCACCGACCTATCACGGACCTATGATCTCGCGTTGAGGTGAGGCAACGGGAGACCAGCGACACAAGGCGAAGTAGACAGCAATCTGGATGGAGTGAGGGGAGTGGTGGAAAAAGGAGTGTCGTTGAGGGGGCATGAGAGGGACCTTGGTGAGATTTGAGGCAAGGGGGGACCAGCGGCATAGGGCGAAGTAAAAGGCAATCTGGATGGAGTGAGGGGAAGAGTGGGTGGAAGGGGGAAGGGGGTGTTGACCAAGGAGGAGGGGGGTGTGGGGAGAGGCACGAGAGGGGCCTTGGGGGAATTTGCGGCAAGAGCGGATCAGCAGCACAGGCAGAGCGGTAAATCCCCTCATTGGCATTTGAAAGAAGGAGTGTTTTGAGACGTCTCAAAACACTCCTTCTTTCACGTGAATTTGCGGCAAGAGCGGATCAGCAGCACAGGCGGACGGAAAATCCCCTCATTGGCATTTGAGTCGACTCAATTGGCACAGGGCAGTAACAGAGTATTATCTCTGGAGCTTGAGAGGAGAAGAGCATAGCACTTTGTGGGTTCTTCAGCCTTACCCCGAGCAGAACTGAGAGGCTGGAGAGAGAAGGGGAGAGGGACGGAATGGCAAACTCCCCTCTTGCACTGTGGGATGTGATGGGTGGTGGTGGGGGCCAATGGGGGAGGAAGGAAGGGGTGCTGAGGGATGATGAGGGATGCTTAGGGAAAGAGCAGACAGACAGACAGGCAGGACGCAGGCGGGCAGGCAGGCGGGCAGACAGGCGGGCAGGCAGGCAGGACGCAGGCGGGCAGGCAGGCAGGCAGGTAGGCAGGCGAACGGGAGGGCCAGCGGGCGAGCGAGCGGGCGGGCGGGCAAAACAGGCATGCAGGACTCACCTGAGAGTTCCAAAGCCGATGCCGATGAGAGGAGCGAGGGCGATGGTGGGGGCCATTTGTTGCAGCTGCGGGGGTAAGGGGAGCACGGTTTATAGAGAGTAAGGCATGGGGTTAGGGGCGCAGGGGCTCATAGAGAACGGTCAAGGTCTCATAGAGAACGGTCAAGGTCTCATAGAGACTGGTCATTGTGTGCACAGGAGGAGTAGAGGAGCGAGGGCGATGCCATTTGTCGCAGCTGCAGGGGTAAGGTACGAGGAGCACGTTATATAGAGATTGAGGCATTGTGTGATTAGGAGGAGGAGGAGGAGGAGGAGGAGGAGGAGGAGGAGGAGGAGGAGGAGGAGGAGGAGGAGGAGGAGGAGGAGGAGGAGGAGGAGGAGGAGGAGGAGGAGGAGGAGGAGGAGGAGGAGGAGAGGAGCGAGGGCAACGTCTCGAAAAGAGGAGGCTGCGGGTGAGGGCAATGCAGGGTGAGGGCAATGCAGGGTGAGGGCAATGCAGGGTGAGGGCAATGCAGGGTGAGGGCAATGCAGGGTGAGGGCAATGCAGGGTGAGGGCAATGCAGGGTGAGGGCAATGCAGGGTGAGGGCAATGCAGGGTGAGGGCAATGCAGGGTGAGGGCAATGCAGGGTGAGGGCAATGCAATGAGCCATTGTCTGCAGCCGATGCTGAGATTGAGGAAATGATGGTAAAGCATGGGAAACATCTCACATAGAGGCATGTGTGGCACTTGCCTGTGAGATGGCAACGTGGCGAGTCAGGGCGAATGATGCGACTGCGGATGGATCACTTGCGAGAGCCCTTGGATCACTTGCGAGAGCCCTTGGATCACTTGCGAGAGCCCTTGGATCACTTGCGAGAGCCCTTGGATCACTTGCGAGAGCCCTAGTGAGCAGCACTTGGGTCGCATTGAATCTACGGCTAAACTGTTTGGTAGCAGCGTGCATGCATGCTTGCCTGTGAGATGGCGACATGGCGAGTCAGGGCGAACGATGCCACTGCTGATGGATCACTCGCAACGGCTGCTGGAGGGAAAGAGAGGCTGCACAGAAAAAGAGAAAATACCAAAGGAAATGGTAGAAATGGGAGAGGAGCGCAAATGGGGGAGGAACGCAAATGGGAGAGGAACACAAATGGGAGAGGAACGCAAATGGGAGAGGAACGCAAATGGGAGAGGAACACAGAAGAACAGCTAGCACGTGGTTGCCAAGCGGAAAGACAGTCATTGAACCGCACACCACCACACATTGCCACACACCACCACACATTGCCACAAGCCATGCTGTACCGTCTGAGTGCAAGGAGGTTTACAGAACTCAGGTGGATGGACTGCCATGATGCCATCCCATCCATGCCATGCCATGCCATGCCATGCCATGCCATGCCATGCCATGCCGCATTACCCGGGTGCAAGAAGATCAATAATGGGTCGTGCACAGAGGAAAATCAGCACTGCTGCGACTATTGACGCCTGGAGGGCGGAGAGGGAGAGAGAGGCACGGAGGGGCGGAACGGGGAGGGAGTGGGGAGAGCAATAAGAGATCAGCGGAGTGCATTGGATGTTCAGGGAAGATTGGTGAGGCTGCGCTACTGATGCCCGGATGACAGAGAGAAGGGCAGTGAGGGGTGGAACGGCGAGTGCATGTTTTTTTTTTCTCTCTCTCTCTCAAAAAATATATGGAGTAATTAGAGTTTGCAAGGACGACCAGTGAGGTGTGTGGCTACTGATGCTGGAAGACGAACAGAGCGTGTTTTTTGAGAATTCTCAAAAGACCAGTGAGGTGTGAGGCTGTTGATGCTGGAAGACAAACAGAGGGGTTTGGCTTTTGAGGCGCCTCAAGTATTGAGTAGAGTACAGGAAGGGAAGTGGGTGGGTGGGAGCTGAGGCACTACCAGGGCTACGAGCACCGACACCAGGACCAGCAGCTCCTGCTGCATCCTCGCTGCATTCAGGCTGCTCCTTCCCCGACCCTTCTCACTGTCTTTCCCAGTATCCTTCTCACTGTCTTTCCCAGTATCCTTCTCAGCAGCTTTGCTGGGCGGGCGGGAAAGACACACACGTCACGTTGGAAGGAGGCAGAGTTATGGTATTAACTCAGATAGAGAGGGAGGACGGCGTTTTTTTCAGGCGAGAAGTGCAGGCGCTTTTGGAAGAGAGGGAGGACGGTTACAGTGGGTAATGACCTGGTTTTTACAAGAGCTGACTCACTAAACGGAAACAGCTGCTTATTTCATCTATATTCATCAGATAAAAACATAAAGAACACAGCAAGCAAATTCCTTATAAACAGTTGCAGTACCTTAGGACCGAGGCAATGGCGCTGTGAAAGGGACCGTTTACACCTGCAAGGATGGTTGCAGAGGAGGAATGGGTATGTGGGGCAGGTGGTGTGTGTGTGGGGCAGGTGGTGTGTGTGTGGGGCAGGTGGTGTGTGTGTGGGGCAGGTGGTGTGTGGTGCAGGTGGTACAGAGTGGATTGTGACTGTATTGGAAAGTGCACGAGGACTATATAGTGAATTTGGTGCAAGGAACTGACCTCCGAGCAGCGACAGGCAGAAGGTTGGGATGAGCGACGCATAACTGATATGGATAGAAGGGGGAGGAAGGTGGGGATTGGGGGAGGGGCGAGGGGAGCAGGAGTGAGAAGGGGGTGGAAGGGAGCGAGTAGGCAGAAGGTTGAGATGAGCGACACGTAACTGATATGGATAGAAGGGGGAGAGTGTGGGGGAAGGGAGCGATGGGAAGAAGCGAGAGGGTGAAGAGGGGGAGAGAAAAACACAGGAGTTTGAGGATTGGAAGCACCAACCTGAAACCATTTGGAAGCACCTGATTCACCTGGAAAGGCACCTGGGGCACCTGATAGTCACCTGAGTGACGGCACCTGAAAGCACCTGGAGCACCTGAGGCACCTGAACGCACCTGAAGGCAGTCATGACTGGACCAACGCCAAATGCAGGAAGAACCTCAGCCCACCTGAGCCCACGTGAGGCCACCTGAACCCACCTGAAGACACCTGAGCCCACCTGAGGCCACCTGAACCCACCTGAAGACACCTGAGCGCACCTGAAGACACCTGAATTCACCTGAAGACACCTGAACGCACCTGAAGACACCTGAATTCACCTGAAGACACCTGAACGCACCTGAAAGCAGTCATGACTGGACCAACGCCAAAGGCAGGAAGAACCTGAGTCGACCTGAGGCCACCTGGGCCCACCTGAACCAACCTGAGCTAATCAAAGGGCACCTGAGCGCACCTGAAAGCAGTCATGACTGGACCAACGCCAAAGGCAGCAGCAAGCACCATCTCTCGCATGAGGCCCTGAGGAGGATTTCAGGTGGGTGGGGGTGGGGGAAGGAGGGGAGGAAATATTATCCAATTCATCCCCTGTCCCCTGTCCCCTGCCCCCTGCCCCCTGCCCCTTGCCCCCTGCCCTCCTGGTACCCTGCCCCACTGCCCCCCTGCCCCCGCGCCCCCCCCCCCATAACTCCTAGCCCTCAGCCCACCACCACCACAGCTTACCAGGACCTTGCTGGCAGCTGCTGCTGCGCCCGCTGTGCTTGCTTGCACAAGCACAGCCTATCCCCTCACACGCCGCACATGCACTCACTATAAACAAGACCTGCCCCCCCCCCTCCCCCACAGCTTACCAGGACCTTGCTGGCAGCTGCTGCTGCGCCCACCGTGCTGGCTGCCCGAAGAAAGGAGACTGGAAGGCACGAGAGAAAAGGGGGGGGGCAACGGGCAGGTGGGGAAGAGGAAGGAGCGGGCGAGGGGGCTTGAGGGGTGGGGGTTCCGGGCTAGCGTGAGGGGACCCACGCAGTGGGGGGACCCAAGCACGGGTGGCGGCAGAGGGAAAGCGGAATTGGGGAAGGGGAAGGGGAAAGGGGGGAAGGGGAAGGGGAAAGGTAGAAAGGGGAGGGGCGAAAGGGGAGGGGGTAAGGGGGGGGCGGGGAAGGGGGAAAGAGGAGGGGGGAAGCGGGGAGGGGGGAGGGGGGGAAGGGGGCGGAAGGGAGGGGGAAGGGGAGGAGGCGTTGCGCTCACTCACCGTCGTCCCGCCCACCAACAGCCTCTCGCTCCCCACCGACTACATCTCCCTTTTCTACGTCTCCTTTTTCCACGTCTGCCCACTCGCCCCTCCCCGCACTTCCCGCCGCGACTCGCGCCACCAAGCGCGTTTCCCGCCCGCGCGACCCGCCTGTGAGCAAACCCTCTCCCCGCACGCCTCTCCGCCCATTTTCCGCCTCCGCCGCTCCCCCATGCCTAACACCGCCTACCCGCGCCAGGGCCAACCACCGTCCGCCACGTGTCAGACCTACATTAGCTACTCTACCCCACAAAATCCTGCCGAAACCGCTAACTATACCGCTGAGGCTACCGCTGCTGCTGCTGCGAGACGAAAGGGGAAGAGAGAAGGGAGGATCACCGCTACCTACACGGCTGACGCTACCGCTGCTGCTGCTGCGAGAGGAAGGGGGGAGGGAGAAGGAAGGATCGGTTGCGGAAAATAAGGAGCTTCGAGTGGAGAGACGAAGGGCAACGGACGACATTGCGCGCCTAGTGGGACCTTCGTGGCGAATGTGAAACCGTGTAATTTGCGAAACCTGCAAAAACATAATGTTACTTATTTTATTGCGTATTCATTTGTACGTGCTCTCGTAGCTCAGTTGGTTAGAGCGTGTGGCTGTTAACCACAAGGTCGGTGGTTCAAGCCCACCTGGGAGCGCTTTTGTTTGCTTGGGCTGTGTGTACCATTATGCATAAGTTTTCAGAATGTGTGATGCCCTTTACACCACCGTACTGTATTTCTGACATGTTGCACTCTGCAGACGTGTCCGAGGTCACTCAAGACCTCACATGCTTTACCTCCCATGCTTTACTTTCTCTTCAACACATGACAAGACTGTCTTGCTCCCATTCAAATTCAAATCACACGGATGGGTGTAAATAAATCATGAAATGAAAGGTTCTGGAACGGGATTTAATCCAACCCCCCAGCTGGTTGTGTTGCAAGAGCTTCATGGAAAGCTTTTGCATGCTTTGCTGTGGGATACATCATGGTGCTTCATGGCGATGGATATTAAGCCCCTGAACGACTTTGAGGTGACAAGAGGTTTGCTTGCGCCTGTTGCTTACAAATTGGTCCATGCACTTGCAGATGGGTCCATGCACTTTCTGCTTCGGGAATTCCGCTGGGATTTCAGCTGCACTAAAGCTCCTGATGTGAAAGTGTTTTGCTTCGCATTGCACCCATTCTCCCCCTTCTCTCCTTCCCAATCCCCCCACCCTCCCACACCTCCCCCCTCCTGCCCACTCTTTCCCACCACTGGTTCACTCTTCCAGCCAGCAAGCTCCTCCTAGGTGTTGCCTAACACAGTCACTCCAGAGTCATTGTCCCCTGGATATTCTTCATAATTTCAGTGATGTAAAGACTCAGGGTCGTTCATCTTCGAAATGACAGCAGAAACAATATAGCCCAGAATGATACAGTGTGCGACAAATAAAGCTGTAGTGGTAAATTATGTCAACCATACACAGTATTGAGGAGAGCAATATTGCCACTCCCGTGGCCACCGACCACAAAAATGAAAATTGGAAAATTGCTACAATTTGAGACATAACCCGATCCAATCAGACTCTACAGCTCAACCTGTCACTCCCTACACGCAGGCAACCTGGGAGATTTGATCAACAGGGTTAAGTGTCTCTGAGGTGGCAGAATCAAACCTCGCTGTGCGATGCCACGGGACTGTCCTGTGAGCTTCCTATGAATGCAAGAGATTGGCATTTTCTACGCGATAACAGCCTAATCGATAAGTGCTTCGTATGTGTGTACCACGGGTTACGTACGCTGTATTGGCGTCTAGTTGATGCCGGTAGGGAACACAACAGCGTCGGTCGTATGAACCGCAAGTTTCTTCGCCATGTAGAATACGTCGCCATTGACTATAGTGATTGTGCTTCTAGGCGCCGCCCTCCCTTGAAGCACAACGCGGTTCTTCGCGTTCGGCTTGGACGCTTTCACGAGAATGAGAGGCTTCTTGTCGCCACCGATCGCGACGGTCGCGACAGGCGTGTTCATTCGCAGCATCTGAAGCTGGCGAAAAGTGTACACGCCCTGGATCGCCTGGTAACCGACGAGCGTCGCGAGCTGGCTCGCACTGTAGCTCGTGACTTTCACCTTATTGAGTGCCTCGTTGCTCGGTACGAGCAGCGTGAGAGGCTGCTGGAGAGCGGAGCTAACCTCTTTTATTTGGCCTGGAATCAGAGAACCCGAGGGGGGGAGCAAGATGAGAGGATGAGAAGGGATGAGCGGGAGAGAAAGATGAACGCAGCAGGAAAAAGAATCAGAGAGGCGAAGGGAAGAAATGTAACCCGTGTTGTGCGCGAATTCGTGGTCCAGGGTCTAGACCGTGACATCAAACTCACTGTATAGCTTCGCGAGGGCCGCGAACTGCGTGTAACCCGTTTCGTTGAGCCTCTGCACCGCTTTGTCGAAGGCCGAAATCGAGCTGTTCGTTTTCCCCGAGTTTCCGGGATTAGTTGAGCCATTTCCTGCCCCCTTCGCGCCAGTCCCAGAGCTCTTATTTCTACCGGTAGAGCCAGCAGGTGCGGCCTTCGCGGAGCCCTTTGCGGCGGTCGTTGCGGCGCAGAAAGTTAAGAACGAAGACGCCGCGAGCACGAGGACGAGAAGACATAGGATTCGATTAGAAGCCATAGCAGGATGGGTTCTACGGTAGTTTCGAGGAGCAGATTCGTCTACGGCTACTCGGCAGTTTCAAAAGATCACTTTAAGTCACAAATTTTGAAAGATGGGAGGGCTAATCGTTGTCGCGAGTGAGTTCTACTAGGGAGGTACAGGACGTGTGCAGAGAAGGAACCGTCGATCTGTTTTGCTGGAGGAGCTTGATGAGTGAAAGAGGTTGATGCTTGCTTTATGTAGTGCTGGTTTTGCGATGAATGAATATGGGGGCTCACATGGGTATTTGTAGTAGGAGTGGATATGAGCATGAGCCCGCCTGGTTGTTGCGGTGTATGAGTCTGCAGCACGGTTCAGTGCGGGAAAACTTGGTGTCACCTGCGCCTGCTTTTCACCGCATTAGACCCGAAATAACCGAAAAGACTCCTGAAATCTGACTCACTGGGGCCATCAAGGGCATTGGAATTGAAATTGGAGAGTTGCTGGCGGTGGCGCCACGGCTTGAGCACATTGAAGTGATGGAAGCGCGTGTTGATCAACGACGGCTCACGATTTCGTTAACGTGGTGGTGGTCTGTCGCTTGGTGCCTGCTGGCGACAGTTTGGGTCGCCGACAGGAGGGAGAGATAACGGCGGAGACAGCGAAACAGACGGTGATGACGACGTGGACCGTCCGCTTCAACGCTCTTAGCTGTGAAGAAGACAGTCGGCGACGCAGATTCAGGACGACGACGACGGAAATTTTGCATGTCGGTTGGTATCGATGGCAAATTTTGGCACATTGACATTTTCGCGGTTCTTGCTCACACAATGAGCCCGTACATTTTACAGAGCTCTCCGTTTTCAGCTGCCGTCAGTGCCAGTGCACGGCTTACCTCGTATTCGCGACGATGAGGACTACTCTTTTCCATCCCACATCCACGAACTGATCGGAGCCGTTTTCGCGATCAAAGCAAATCGCCTTTTTCGCAAACCGCACGGCGAAAGTCTTGGGCTAGGGTATCCCCAGCCAGTTTCTCGATTTCGCCTCTAGCATCACACACCACACAAATCGTAACTGCATTGCTGGTGTTTGCTCCCGCAAACCCCGAACCCCCGCCACCACAAAACCCCCTGCTTTCCTCGTTCTCCTGCCTTTCCTCCCGTCTGCTTCTGCCGGCGTTATCGTCACGCTGAGATATAGCAATTCGCTCGCATACCGCATTGCACGTAGGCGCGGATCGCTAACAACAAAAGGTACGTGATCATAGCCGTTGAGGAGAGCGACGTTCATTAGGGTTAGCGCACACATACTTCCACGGTTGCTTAGGCGCTTTTCGAACTCGGCACTCCGCGTGCACCATTCGCGCCGTCGCATTCGCCACGCCACAATCACGCCGTTTAGGTCGCCACGCCGCAATCGCACCGTTGCATTGGCGTATGCCACTTTCGCACCGTCGCATTCACTCCCCCTTACATCCCCGCTCCCTGAGTCAATCCCTTTCATCCCCTCTCCCTTTCTTGGGTTCCCCTTCCATTTCCCCACAATTTCTCTAGCTCCCCCTTACATTACGCCTCCCTGTATCATGGGGAGCTTCCCCCCTTCCCCCCGCGCCAACCCTCCCTTCCCCCCGCGCCATACCCTCCCTTCCCCCCGCGCCAAACCCTCCCTTTTCCTCGCGCCAACCCTCATTTTCCGCCACGCTAATCTTCCCTTTCCCTACCGCCAACCCACCCTCTACCCCACTCCCACCCGCCCTTTTCACCGCTCCCACCCTCCCTTTCCCCCACGCTACCCCTCCCTTTCCCCCACGCTACCCCTCCCTTTCCCCCACGCTACCCCTCCCTTTCCCCCACGCTACCCCTCCCTTTTCCCCACGCTACCCCTCCCTTTCCCCCACGCTACCCCTCCCTTCCCATTTGAGCCAGGTTACCGTCCCATACGCTAACCCTCCCTTTTCCCCACACCACCCCTGCTTTTCCCCCACGCTAATCCTCTCTTTCCGTCCCTACCACCCGCCCTTACCCCCACCGCCACCCGCCCTTTCCCCCACTCCCACCCGCCCTTTCCCCACTCCCCCTCGTCCTTTCCCCCACTCCTCCCTGCCCTTTCCCCCACTCCTCCCCGCCCTTTCCCCCACTCCCCCCCGTCCAATCCCCCACCCCCACCCATACTTTCCGCCACTCCCCCAGGTCCACACCTCCCTTTCGACCATGCATGCCCTCCGCTCCCCACACGCTCCCCACACGCTTCCCACACGCTTCCCCGTGCGGAGAGGGTGTTTTTGAGACCTCTCAAATACACCCCTTCTACTCGACTGTGCATGCCCTCCGCTCCCCACACGCTTCCCCGTGCGACCCATGTCATTCTCCCTTTCCCCCATGCTACCCCTTTCATTCTCCCTTTCCCCCTGCTACCCCTTTCATTCTCCCTTTCCCCCTGCTACCCCTTTCATTCTCCCTTTCCCCCTGCTACCCCTTTCATTCTCCCTTCCCCCATGCTACCCCTTTCATTCTCCCCTAATGGCGGGGATTACAGCGACTGCTATTTGCGGGATCCGCTAAGCGCAGGAAACAGGCCGCTAATGGCGGGGATTACAGCGACTGCTGAGAAGAAGGGCAAGAAGAGAAAGGAGGAGACAGCCGATGGGGTGGAGAAGACGAAGAAGGCTAAAAAGAATGTGACTAAAAAAGGGGATGCTAATAAGGAGAGTTGTCTGTCTTGGCTGTCCCGCGCCAAGTGCAGCTGAAGGTGAAGAAAGGCAAGGTTGTTGCGGAGGTGAAGAAAGGCAAGGTGAAGAAAGGCAAGGTGAAGAAAGGCAAGGTTGTTGCGGAGGATGCGAAGATTGCTGCGAAGAAAGCGAAGGTTGTTGCGAAGGAAACGAAGAGTGCTGCGAAGAAAGCGAAGGTTGTTGCGAAGGAAACGAAGAGTGCTGCGAAGAATGCGAAGGTTGTTGCGAAGAAAACGAAGAGTGCTGCGAAGAATGCGAAGGTTGTTGCGAAGAAAACGAAGAGTGCTGCGAAGAATGCGAAGAGTGTTGCGAAAGAAGCGATCGAAACGAAGGTGGTCAAGGCGAAGAAGGAGACCAAGGAAGTGAAGAAGGAGAAGGAGGGAAAGAAGGAGACGGAGACCGAGATTGTAGAGAAGAAAGAAAAGGAGACGAAAGAGGTTAAGAAGGGGAAAAAGGGTGAGGAGACGACGGAAGTAACAAAAACGACAGAAAAGAGAGAGACGACGGAAGAGATGAAGGGTAAGAAGAGGGAGAAGCGGGAGTTGAAGGAGGCAAAGCAAGTCATAGTGGAGACGAAGATTAAAGATGTGAAAGCGGAGAAGAAAGGAGCGGCGGAGGGGGAGAAGGGGAAGGGGAAGGGGAAGGGGAAGGGGAAGGGGAAAGAGGGAGAGAAGGCTGGCAAGAAGGGAAAGAAGGGCAAAAAGGAGGAGAGCAGTGATGAGAAGATGGAAGTAGCGAGTGAGGAAGAGAGTGAGGAGGAGGAGAGTGAGGAGGAGAGTGAGGAGGAGGAGAGTGAGGAGGAGAGTGAGGAGGAGGAGAGTGAGGAGGAGGAGGAAGAGAAGAAAGTGAAGGAGGAGAGTAGTGCGGAGGAGGAGAGCAGTGATGAGGAAGAGGAGGAGGAGAGTGATGAGGAGGAGGAGGAAGAAAAGAAAGTGAAGGAGGAGAGTAGTGAGGAGGAGGAGAGTAGTGATGAGGAAGAGGAGGAGAGTGAAGAAGAGGAGGACGAAAAGAAAGCTGTGAAAAAGGAGGAAAGTAGTGAGGAGGAGAGTAGCGATGAGGAGAGTGAGGAGGAGGAAGAGAGTGAGGAGGAGGTAGAGAAGAAAGTTGTAAAGAAGATAGCAGCAAAGGAGGAGAGCAGTGAGGAGGAGGAGAGTGAAGAGGAGGAGAGTAGTGAAGAGGAGGAGAGTGAGGAGGAGGTAGAGGAAGAGAAGAAGGTTGTGAAAAAGGAAGAGAGCAGTGAGGAGGAGGAGAGCAGTGAGGAGGAGGAGGAGGAGAGTGAGGAGGAGGAAGAGGAAATTAAGAAGTGGTAGAAAAGGAAGAGAGCAGTGAGGATGAGGAGAGTAGTGAGGAGGAGGAGGAGGAGGAGGAGGAGGAGGAGGAGGAGGAGGAGGAAGAGGAAGAGGAAGTTAAGAAAGTGGTGAAAAAGGAAGAGAGCAGTGAGGATGAGGAGAGTAGTGAAGAGGAGGAGTAGGAGGAGAGTGAGGAAGAGGAAGAGGAAGTTAAGAAAGTGGTGAAAAAGGAAGAGAGCAGTGAGGATGAGGAGAGTAGTGAAGAGGAGGAGGAGGAGGAGAGTGAGGAAGAGGAAGAGGAAGTTAAGAAAGTGGTGAAAAAGGAAGAGAGCAGTGAGGATGAGGAGAGTAGTGAAGAGGAGGAGTAGGAGGAGAGTGAGGAAGAGGAAGAGGAAGTTAAGAAGGTGGTGAAAAAGGAAGAGAGCAGTGAGGAGGAGGAGAGTAGTGATGAGGAGGAGAGTGAGGAGGAGGAGGAGGAGGAGGAGGAAGTTAAGAAGGTTGTGAAGAAGGAGAGCAGTGAGGAGGAGGAAGAGAGTAGTGATGAGGAGGAGGAGAGTGAGGAGGAGGAAGAGGAAGTGAAGAGGGTTGTGAAAAAGAAAGAGAGCAGTGAGGAGGAGAGTAGTGAGGAGGAGGAGGAGGAGGAGGAGGAGGAGGAGGAGGAGGAGGAGGAGGAGGAGGAGGAGGAGGAGGAGGAGGAGGAGGAGGAGGAGGAGGAGAGTGAGGAGGAAAAGAAAGTTGTGAAAAAGGAGGAAAGCAGTGAAGAGGAGAGTAGTGACGAGGAGGAGAGCGAGGACGAAGAGAGTGAGGAGGAGAGTGAGGAGGAGAGTGAGGAGGAGGAGGAGGAGAAACCGAAGAAGTCAAATGTGAAGGAGATTAAGAAAGAAAGAGGGGGTCGGCAGCAGAAGCAGAAGGAGCAGGAGCAGCAGAAACAGCAGGAGGAGCAGCAGCAGAATGGATGGCAGATGACACCTGCCAGGGTACTGGGTGGGCGGCAGGGTACTGGGTGGGCGGCAGGGTACTGGGTGGGCGGCAGGGTACCAGGTGGGCGGCAATGTACCGGGTGGGCGGCAATGTACCGGGTGGGCGGCAAAGCTCGGAATGGCTCGTGTGCTTGGCACTATCAGGCTCACATGTGCAGCGGTTGCCGTTGCAAGTTTGTATTCAAAAATCGTGTGTTTGGCATTGTCAGGCTCACATGTGCATGTGCATGTGCGTTCAGCATTTTAGTTCTGCAAGCTCTATTGCTCCTCTACGTCTCATATTCTAGGACGCCTCATGCTTCCTTCTGAGTCGACTCAAAAGCTCTATTGCTCGTCTACATCTCATATTGTAGGACGCCTTGTCCTTCCTTCTCATACTCCTTCCTTCACCCCCCACTCAGCTCACGGGCAGCAAGTGGGTCTTTGATGTCACCTCACCCGGATCAGGCAGCAAGCTGGGCAGCGCTGCAAGAGCACTATTCCCGTGCCCCTCACTAGTCCACTCCCCACTTATACGGCTATGCCCCACCCCACACTCCATTCCCCATGCCTCTTCCACTGCCCCTTCTCCCCATCCCCCGCCCAGCTCGCGGGCAACAAGAGGAGCTTTGACGCCATCTCCCCGGGGTCAGGCAGCAAGCTGGGCAGTGCTGCGAGATCTCCACCCCATTCTCTATTCCTATGCCCCAACCCATGCCACTTCCACTGCCCCTTCTACCCCTCCCCACCCCCCACCCAGCTCATGGGCAACAAGAGGAGCTTTGATGCCATCTCGCCAGGATCAGGGAGCAAGCTGGGCAGCGCTGCAAGAGCGTTCCAGAGAGTGAAGGTGTAGGAGGTGAGTGCGAAGCTTCCCTGTTCTTTCCAGTGTCTGCGAAGCTTCTCTGTCATTTCCAGGGCAAGACAAGGCCAAGCCGGGCAGCACAGCGAGAGCTATTCAGAATCACTTTTGAGAATTCTCAAAAGTGATGTCAACAGAGTGATTCTGGATTCAAAGTGATTCAAAGAGTGAAGCTGGAGGAGGTGAGAGCGAAGCTTCTGCGTCCTTTCCGAATAAGTCCGAGGCTTCTCTGTTTTTTCTTCCGAGTGAGTCACGGAGGAGGTAAGTGCCCCGTCACCAGCCTGTGCGTGTGCACCACCCAGAACCACCCTGCACCTGCTCATCATTTATTCCACTTTACTGCACATCATTTATTCCACTTTACTGCCCTGAGCAGCGTTCCTCGCTCTCTCTCCCTGCATGCTTCACCACCCAGAACCACCCAGAACCACCCAGAACCACCCTGCACCTGCACATCATTTATTCCACTTTACTGCCCTGAGCAGCGTTCCTCACTCGCTCGCTCTCTCTGCATGCTTCACCACCCAGAACCACCCTCCACCCGCTCATCAGCTCCCTTTCTTCTCTGCCATACCTGCTCTCCTGCGCTCCACGTTCTTCCTCCCCCCCCCCCCCCCCACCCCCCCACCCTCCTTCCCCTCGCGCCCTGCGTGTGCCCTGTCTACGCGTGTGATGTGCTATCCCCTGCAGGTGCAACTCAAAGATCCCCGCCTCATGGATGGATAACTCGTACTGGGCCAAGGTGAGAGGCTGGGGCATGCGTGTTGGGGCATGCGTGTCGGGGCATGCGTGTTTGAATATGAAGGGATGTGGCATGTGTGTTGGCTCAGGTGCAATTCAAGGACCCTCAGCTCATGAATAACTCGTACTGGGGCCAAGGTGGGTGTTATGGTTGTTGGGGCATGGAGGGACGGGCGGCTAAAGGTGGTGAGCGAGTGAAACGAGGGCGGCTGAATAGCCGTGGTGGTGCAATTGAATTGAAGAACCCCCGGCTCATGGATAACTCGTACTGGACCAAGGTGATAGCTCGTTCCTGTATGTGCCTAATCCATCCCATGCCACGTGTCCCTCCCATGCCACGTGTCCCTCCCATGCCACATGTCCCTCCCATATGCCACATGTCCCTCCCATATGCCACGTGTCCCTCCCATATGCCACGTGTCCCTCCCATATGCCACGTGTCCTGCTGTTTTCATTCCCCGCTTTTCTCATCCGCGTTTGCTGCCTCACGTCCATCATGCCCATGCCATGTGTCCCTCCCATGCCTCGTGTGCTTGTGCCAAGCAGAGCGGTGCGGGAAGTGGATGGGCCGCCAAGGCCCAGGAGGTGCTGGGTCAAGTCAGGGGCGGGTGAGAGATCCGAGACATTGGGGGGGGGGGGGAACAGGTGAGAGATCCGAGACATGGGGGTGGGGAACAGGTGAGAGATCCGAGACATGGGGGTGGGGAACAGGTGAGAGATCCGAGACATGGGGGTGGGGAACAGGTGAGAGATCCGAGACATGGGGGTGGGGAACAGGTGAGAGATCCGAGACATGGGGGTGGGGAACAGGTGAGAGATCCGAGACATGGGGGTGGGGAACAGGTGAGAGATCCGAGACATGGGGGTGGGGAACAGGTGAGAGATCCGAGACATGGGGGTGGGGAACAGGTGAGAGATCCGAGACATGGGGGTGGGGAACAGGTGAGAGATCCGAGACATGGGGGTGGGGAACAGGTGAGAGATCCGAGACATGGGGGTGGGGAACAGGTGAGAGATCCGAGACATGGGGGTGGGGAACAGGTGAGAGATCCGAGACATGGGGGTGGGGAACAGGTGAGAGATCCGAGACATGGGGGTGGGGAACAGGTGAGAGATCCGAGACATGGGGGTGGGGAACAGGTGAGAGATCCGAGACATGGGGGTGGGGGGGGGGGGCAGGTGAGAACAAGCAGAGCGGGGCGGGAAGTGGATGGGCCGCTTGCGGATTAAAGATGGGTTCGAAACGCAGCAAGCCGTGTGGTCGTCGTTGAAACGTTTAGCTAAGTATGGGTGGGTTGTTGACTAGGAAAAAGGGCATGAATAAGGACTTGAAAGTCTCAAAGTAAAAGTACTAAGTAGGCGTACGCGTTTCGGCCTGTGAGGCCTTCATCAGCGCCAGTTAGGATTGCTGCCTCACGTCCATCATGCCCATGCCATGTGTCCCTTCCATGCCACGTGTGCTTGTGCCAAGCAGAGCGGGGCGGGAAGTGGATGGGCCGCCAAGGCCCAGGAGGTGCTGGGTCAAGTCAGGGGCAGGTGAGAACAGCAGAGACATGGCAGTGGCGGGTGAGAACAGCAGAGACATGGCAGGGGCGGGTGAGAACAACAGAGACATGGCAGTGGCGGGTGAGAACAACAGAGACATGGCAGTGGCGGGTGAGAACAACAGAGACATGGCAGTGGCGGGTGAGAACAACAGAGACATGGCAGTGGCGGGTGAGAACAACAGAGACATGGCAGTGGCGGGTGAGAACAACAGAGACATGGCAGGGGCGGGTGAGAACAACAGAGACATGGCAGGGGCAAGTGAGAACAACAGAGACATGGCAGGGGCAAGTGTAATTGTGCTGTTGTCGTGTGACGCTGTGCTGTCGCTTGTCTTGTTTTGTCCAACACACGAAATGAATGCTTGTTTCTTGTTCTTGGTGTTCCCATGGCACCTGTAACACGCGGTTACCACAGGGGGTTCCGGCATGAGAAGACAAAGAAGAAGAGGGGCAGCTACAGGGGCGGCATCATCGACCAGGAGAGCCACTCCATCAAGTTTGCCGATTCCGACGACGAGTAATCGCATGTCATGTGCCTCAGAGCATTAGAGGCGCCTCAAAAGTCCTACAGGGGCGGGATCATCGACCAGGAGAGCCACTTAATCAAGTTTGCTGATTCCTGTTGGGCTGAGAAATAACCCTTACGATCTTTGCAGAGGAGAACTCTTGGGTAGAAGCTTGTAATAGCGGAAGCGTTTAATGAGGATTGTGAACCGACCTTGCACTGGTGTGTGAGAGCAAAGTAGATTGAATTAAACAAGCAAATACAAGGATTTATATAAGAGTACAGGGAATACGAATAGATAGATAACTGTATTGCTGTTGCGGTTCGATATAGTGCGACTCGGGCAACTGCTCTGTAATGAGTCAGTTGTGTGTCCTTAACTGTCGCGCTGTAACTGTCGAGTCAAAGGTCAGCGACCTTTGACTTTCTCGTAACCTCCAGGCGGTTACCCTAACCTCCGAGGTTGACTCGATGCTTCGATTGGGACTGCTTCGCTTGGTGCCTTGGGTTTTGGTACGACAGAAGCGCACTTAGGACTTATTGTTTCCAACACTCCCCTTCGCTTCTGGAGTGTCGCTGCTGGTGACGTGGCCTTGTCCAGTCAGCATCATGCAGTATTCGAACTTCTGCTTTCCGAGTTTCTTGGTCAAGTAATCGGCTGCCATCTCGGATGTTGGACAGTGTGACAGATCGAGTTTCCCCTTTTCTATCTCGTCCTTCACGAAGAAATAGCGCAGGGCGATGTGTTTCGTCCTGTTTGCGAAGCCGTTTTTGTTGGCGATGCGAATTGCCGACTGGTTGTCGCAGAACATGGTGAAGCTAGGTAACTCGGCTAGCTTCGCTTCTTCCAGTAGTTCGCGAAGGTAGAGTCCCTCCTTGGTGGCTGAGCAGAGTGCAATATATTCTGCTTCTGCTGAAGATAGTGCGATTAACTCCTGCTTGCTCGACTGCCAGGAGATAGGACCGATAGGCTCAAGGCGGTAGACATAGCCGGTGCGTGAGCGCCTGTTATCGGTGTCGCCGGCGTGATCGGCGTCGACGTAGCCGATTAGCTTGGTCGGTGTAGTCACGTTTTTGTGATAAGTTAGTCCGATCGTCGCGGTGCTGACGAAGTAGTGGAGAGCACGATCGAGTTCCGCCAGATGCTCTGCTTCAGGTCTCTTGAGATAGGTAGCGAGCTGACTCGCGGAGTAGGATAGGTCGGGACGGCATGTGACTGCTGCGAAAAGAAGGCATCCGAGCTTCTTCTGATAGTCGCGTATGCCGGCGGGTTTAAGTAGAGTAGATTGCCCTTTTTCGGTTCCTGACGCGTAGCGGTAAGGCGTGGAGATGGCGCTTGGTGTGAGACGAAAGCGTTTCGCGATAGTGTCGGCGTACTTCTCGGCGCTTAGGTAGATTGCGTTTTCTTCCTCACGGATGTTGAGCCCGAGGTATTGCGTAACCGTAGAAGAGACCGTGAGTGTGAGGTCTTTCTGGAGCTCCCCTTCGAACCACGTGGCGATGTCGTCGGTTGACCCAATGTAGAGGAGATCGTCTACATAGACGATTAGTAGGACGTAATCGCCTCCTTTTGTGAGGCGATACATGCCTTGGTCATGCGGGAGTTGTTTGAAGCCGATGCGGATGAGGCGGGCGTGTAGGTACTGCTGCCACAGTCGCGGTGCCTGCTTGATCCCATAGAGTGATTTGAGTAGTTGACACACTCGGTTGGGTTCGCCGTGGGAGCCGTGCGGGAGTTCGACGAAGATTTCTGCATCCACAGGTGCGTAGAGAAATGCGTTCGCAACGTCGATTTGTCGCAATTTCTTTTTCTTCATGGCGGCGACGGCGATGAGAATTCGGAGTGAGGTGTGGCGACTGACCGGAGCGAAGGTTTCGGTGTAATCTCTTCCGTGCTCCTGGTCGAAGCCACGTACGACCCAGCGGGCTTTGAATTTGTCGATGGTGCCATCAGCTTTCGTCTTCACACGGAAGACCCATTTCCCGGTAAGAATGTTTTTATTTTGAGTTACGCCGATGGGAACAATTTTCCAGGTGTTGCGCTCCTCCAGTGCCTTCAGCTCTTTGTCCATAGCTTCACGCCATTTCTCCCTGTGTTCCCCCCCCAGAGCCTGCTGAACCGTCGCAGGCTCCTTAGGAATGCCGGCGCCATGGACTGCGGTGACGAGACCAAGAATTTGCAGCCCAGTCTGTGAGTATCGAGGGAGTTCTGGATCCTCGGGATAAGCTGCTTCGTCTCCCGTTTCTGGGTCTGGCATGAAATTTGGCCCTACCCTTTCTGCTTCGTTGGTGTTGACTGTCACAGGTGTTACGTAACCATCGTCGGCGAAACGGTAGAAGATTTCGGCGTTGTTACTGTCGCGAGGATTATCCTCATCCATGGGCACGTCGACGGAGCAGTATGGGAGAGGTCCGGCTTCTTCCGAGGCGTTGTCGACGTTCTGTTCATCCCAGTCTGCTTCGTCCGCTGCTGACGCGAAGGCTCGGTCACCACGAAAACCACTGGTGAGGTCCCGATTCTCGTGCAAGTTGGCGAGGTACGTCTGAAGGGTGAGTCTTTCGTAGAAGATCACGTCACGTGCTGCTACTGTTTCCTTTGTGTGGACGTCGAAGATTCTCCATGCGTTGTAATTTTTCTCGATGCCGAGGTGTAGTCCCCACGATGCCCGTTGCGAAAATCTTCCCGCTCGTGCTTCTGGGGGTCTGTACTGTACCATGCACTCGAAAACTCGTAACATTTTCGTGCTGCCCTGCTTCCCTGTCCACAGCAGATGCGGTGATGCGTTGTTCGGGAGTGACGACGACGACAACAAGTTGTGCAGCATGACAGCGTGGTCCATTGCTGCTGGCCACTGGTGGTTGGGTAGCCGCATGCCACGTAACAGTTTGCGCATGCTGTTCTGCAGGGTCCTATTCAGTCGTTCTGCAACACCTTGCTGCTGATGTGCGTAGGGAAGGGAGAGGAGTTGCTTGATCCCCCTTTCCGCCAAGAACTGCTTGAAGCGCTGAGAGGTGTACTCGCCACCTCCGTCTGACTGGAAATTTTTCAGTTGTGTTCCAGACTCTCTCTCTGCTATCGGTAGCCAGGCGGCGAATGCTGCGAGCGCCATGTCGCGGCTGGGTAGGTTGCGGTGCCAGACGTATCGAGTTGCGGCGTCGATGAAGGTGATGGTGTAGTTGTAGTTGACTTGTCCTGGTTCGCGATTGTAGAGGATGTCGCTGTAGACTTTTTCGAGTGGTGCGTACGCTGGAGCGCTCGGGTTGTGATGTGAAGCAAACGGTCGATGAGGTAAGTCAGCTTCGGGACATATAAGGCAAGTCCCTCGTGCCTTCTGGAGTTCTCTGCCATCGGGTAGAAGTAGAGAGTCTTTGTCGAGGACTCCTGCTCTTATCGTGTTATTCAAAACCGTGTTGCTTGGATGTCCTGTGCGTGCGTGCCAGATCTCTTCAGAGGCGCGGTGTCCAGGTGAACGCTGATATGCGTCGGAGTTGGAGTAAAAGCTGGCGACGAGGTTGGCGCTTCGGTGGACTTCACGTTGAGTCGGATTCAGCTGTTGCGCGGGTGTTGGTGGTGCTTCATCGACTGTGACTGGTGTCGTTGGTCCTGCTGCTGCTGATGTTGTTGCTGCTGCCGATGTTGTTGCTGCTGCCGATGTTGTCGCTGCTGCCGATGTTGTCGTCTCTGCTTCTTGTTGAATCGTTGCTAACGCTCTTGTTCGCTCTGCTTCAGGGATAGTGTGGGAGTACCAGAAACCTCCCGGGCTGAAGTCGGGGTCGAGATCCGGAGGGTGTGTCCAATCAGCAAAGTTCACAATGGCGTCGCTGTCTGCAGTGCCGAGGTCAGGAACGAAGTCGAGGACGAAGACGTTGTTCTTCAGCACTGCTTTCCCGATGTAGAGACCGCCTCTCCCGTGGTAAAGCTTGAACTCCTGGGTCGAGCTGTCTGCTTCCAGATGAATTCCTTTCGCCATCAACCGGCTAACGCTTAGTAAGTTGTAGCCGAGTCCTTCAGCGATGAGTACCTTAGACATGTGCAGTATGACATTTGTTTCTCTTGACTGAAGCTGTACCACTCCTTGTCTTCGTGTGCGCAGGTTTTGGTTGTTGGCAACCGTGATGATCACTTCCCGTTGGAGTCTATGTTCGCGTTGTACGAAACGCCCGGACGAGCACATGTGTTGCCCGCAGCAACTGTCCAAGAACCAGGTGTCTTGGCCGGACGGTTCACTTTGAGCGATAGCGGCGTAAGTCGGATTTGGATGGAGTGATTCGCGACGAGGCGTCCTGTTGTCGAGCTCCTCTTCCGGTGAGTAATGGGGTGGTGACTCTGTTATGCAAGAGTCGGTTATCTTGACCATGCAGTTGACTATATGTCTTGCTCCTTATGCAGGTTGTCCAGTTGAGGTCGTTGAAGCTTGAATCGTGGTTGTCGAGCTTGCTTGTGTCGAAGCAACTTGGGTGCTTGAAGGCCGCAGTTGTCGCTGTGGTGTTGTCTGTCGAGACGGGCAGTGCGTGCGTGGGTGTCCTGATGTCTTGCAGATGTGACAAAATGGAGGTACTAGCTTCGGCTGCTGCTGTCGATTGTTGTAGTAGTTGTGTCGTCGCTGAGTATGGAAAGCAAACTCCGGTGCTAATGTCCTTTTCTTGTGTCTTTCTTCTTGCAGGTCCATATCCTGCTGCTCGGCGTGAATTTCTGCGCAAAGTGCCGCTTCGGAGATCCTCCCGTGTGCTCGAAGAATTGCTTTGGTGGCGCGCCACTGAGGACCGAGGCCACCGATGACGACTGTTACGAAGGCGTCTTCAGAGATTGACCCTCCACATCGAAGAAGCTTGTCGCGCAATTCGCGACATCGGCTGATATACGCCAACCCTTTTTCTCCTGGTTTCATTTCAACTGTTGTCAGCTGTGCCATTAACCTGCTCTGGTTTACACTGTCTTTTGCCTGGTACAGGTTCTTCAGATGGCCGTACGCGAGTTCCGCCGAGTTGCCGAAGTTCCGGTAAGAGCGAATGTTCTGCTGCTGGGTTGGTGTGATGTTTCTCAGTAGAATAGTATACGCCATCATGGATTGATACGTATACTGCTGCTTTTCATACTGTGTCCCGTTTGCTGGATACTGCAGGGATCCGTCGAAGAAGCCGAGTATCTGCGCGCCCTCCATCATCAACTCAAATTCAAAGGACCAGGTAAAGAAGTCCTTTCCGTCGAAAGGTCTTGACGTCTGTAGTCTCAGAACATGCGCGAACTGCGACTGTACTTGTAAGGCATCCATTGGTTTGTCTTGCGCAGGTGGAGGTTGAGGCAGGAAGCTGATCGACCCGCGTTCGTACGGGGCGAAGGTGGGTTGCTGCTGTTGATTCCCTCGCGCGTATGACGACCCGTCAAGGCTCATGGGTGTCGCTCCGTTGTTGCTGTTGTGTGTCTGTGCAGGTCCCGACTGCTGGTGTTGCTCGTAGAAGGACATGAAGGAGAAAAATTTCTCCATCATGCTCTGGTCGAAGTCAGAAGGATGGTTCGTGGGAGTCTCAGTTGACGTTCCCCTTGGTCTTGCTGCCGTGCCTTCCTCTGTCTGCAGGCCAGAGGCTGGCGGTGGAGTAGGAGTAGTGCCCGAGGAGCCATTAGGAGAGCTCCTTTCCTTGTTTGTTGCCATGTCTTGTAATGATAAAAAAATTAGAGTTTTCCCCTGTCAGCTCTCATACCATGTTGGGCTGAGAAATAACCCTTAGGATCTTTGCAGAGGAGAACTCTCGGGTAGAAGCTTGTAATAGCGGAAGCGTTTAATGAGGATTGTGAACTGACCTTGCACTGGTGTGTGAGAGCAAAGTAGATTGAATTAAACAAGCAAATACAAGGATTTATATAAGAGTACAGGGAATACGAATAGATAGATAACTGTATTGCTGTTGCGGTTCGATATAGTGCGACTCGGGCAACTGCTCTGTAACGAGTCAGTTGTGTGTCCTTAACTGTCGCGCTGTAACTGTCGAGTCAAAGGTCAGCGACCTTTGACTTTCTCGTAACCTCCAGGCGGTTACCCTAACCTCCGAGGTTGACTCGATGCTTCGATTGGGACTGCTTCGCTTGGTGCCTTGGGTTTTGGTACGACAGAAGCGCACTTAGGACTTATTGTTTCCAACAATTCCAACGACGAGTGATTCCTGAATGTCATGTGCCGTGGAGCATATTTGATCCGAGATGACGGGTATTGCAGTAGGGATGGGTGGAAAACTGTGACTAATAAGTTTGCTCGTTTGGGCTAGCTTTCGTGTGTCAAATTGTCTAGCATTATTGGTTGGATGACTAAAGAGGAACGCAGGGTATGATTTACCTTGCAAGTGATTAGCTTAATGCTGTCTCACTAAAATGCTTTACATTATTTTTTGTTGGATGAGAACTGGTGCTCAAATCTGCTGTCAAGACAGGTGTTGATGGTAGTGCTGGAAACAATAACAACTCTTTAGCGCTCCATTGTATAACGAAACATTATGTCCCGCCCTAGAAAATCATTATGTGAAGGCCTGAGGTGAAAATAATACGGAGCCTGTATCATGCGGAAAATGCTGGGTGTTGTGGGACATCTACTGCCATCACACCTGCCACGTCATTCCCAGGGCCTTGGCCTCGCAGCGCAGCACACTGCAAATGGGAAAGCGGACAAACTCCCAACAACCTGACTGTTGCTTGGGAGGATCATCCATATGCGACAGTCACTACATTCGAGAATTGTCTTTCGTAGCTTGTCGTTGAATTCAGCTTCCAAATCGCATTGAATGGTAACCAGTTGAGACAAGAGCGGAGCGAGCCAGGGAGTTGGGTACGAGGTGTTCTCTAATAGAGCGCGTATGAGATTGTGAATTGCTAACGTTTCACTTTCAGCTACCATTTCATTTCTGGGTTTTCCGGCAGCAATCCATGAAATTTGAATGCCTTACTCAGAAAAGAAGAGCGCAGCAGCATATTTTTTTTTCCGTGACATCCTCCAGTTGTCAATTCCTACAATTCGTCACACCTTGAATGCGACCCACTTCGGAATTTGCTGCAGTTTTTAGGCCTGGATGAGTCCTCGTCATTGCCGATGGGGTCACTGATGGGGCACGGACAAGTGCTAGTCATCATGGATAAAGTGTTCATTTCACTCCCGTAACCAGCCAGCTCGGTGAGTTGTTTTACGTGGACTTCTGTGTTTGAAAACGGTTAGGTTGGGTGTTGAGCGAATGCGATATATCGCATGAGCTGAGTGGAAGGACATTCCGTAAGTAAAAACGTACGAACCTACTTATCTAGGACGTTCTGCTTGGGCTTCCCCTTGCGGAAGTCATAGACGATTATTAGCTAGCTTCAAACATCCTCATGGGTGGTCTCAGTGCATGTCATGATCGTAAGTCAGGGTATCGCTGTGAGTAGTATTCGTATGTAGTGTCAAAGAGCGCGTGCGCTAACTCTTTTAAATTGGAGACTCTGGGCCTCGTCGCGTTATTGGCATACTATTTATCCGTGAGCTAACTTCGACTATAGCCATTACGTTGACAAGGTGTGACAATGCAATGTCGCTATCAGATTCCTTCGCAAGGTGACGTAGTCAGCAACCTCGTAACATTTTGCATTCCGATAGCCATGGTGGCGAACCGATTGGCAACAGCTCAGCTGTATTCCAGCCTCGTTTACAGTGACGTTTAAAATAGACTTAGCGAGTTACACTGTTACATCTAATTGTCATAATGTCGAAGCGAGTCGTAGCAGTACCGCGGTATTCTAGCCTCGACTCGGGGGACTTCCGCCGAACCCGCTCCCAGGGGGCTCCGCCAGCCGTGGACTCGCGGAACTGTTCCGCGGATACGCGCACGTCGTCCGCCGAGATGCGCAACCCTTCCGCAGATATGCGCGGCTCTCCCGCCTATATGAAGGGACAAGGCGGAACCAATCAGTGTTATTCCCGGGCACAGAATCAAGGTCAGGGCCAGGGACCAATGAGAATGAACCGATCGCGGAGCCACCAATCAAGTTCCGACGACTACCCGCAATTCTCGGCAGCAGAACTGGCAGAAATTGAGCACGAGATCGCTAGGTCGACCGTTAAAGTCGTCGCCTGGTTTCGCCGATCCGAGTGCGACGGTGCTGACGTGTACTTTCTCCCTCCCCCCGGCGCAACCCCATTTAACAGCGCTGGTGGTTTAGACCCTTCATTAGTCAAGCCTGCCACGTCAGCATTCCCAGGATCGTGTAGCGCAGGGAGCGGCGCAGCGACCAAGGGATTGCCGCCACGTTGGACAGAACATACGGCTGAAAAGAGTTTAGGATATGGGAGAAACCCGAATTCCCACTCGCAGGATTGGGGGAGCAGCAAACCCCCTCCTCCTCTAGACTCTAAAAAGGCCACCCCGGGTAAGAAAGCTAAGGAAAAGGGCCGGGTAGAGAGCGGGGCTAGCGGGAAAGGCGGGAAGGCGGGGGGAGGGGGGCGAGGCGTGGAGAAGGCGAAAGCGTTGCTAGAGACGTCTGTAGAGCGGCGGCTGGTGCGCTCTAAGAGCGCTGTGGGGAAGCCGCAGCAGGCGGGGAAGGGGGGCGCGGGGGGAGGCGGAGTGGGGGGGCAGAGCCCCGGGGGTGGCGGAGCAGGGGGAGCGTCGGGGGAGGGGGGAGCAGGAGCGGGAGGGGGAGGGGGGAAGGGAAAGAAGCGTGAGGAGGAGGGTGAGGGGCTAGGGTTGCGGCGGTCTCACTCTGAGGACCGGAGGGGGTTGCATGTGGGGGAGGGTGTATATGCCAAGGCGCTGAGGCTGCTGCCTAAGGGACTAGGCTTTGGGCGAGATAGCACTGTAACGAGTAGCGGGGATGGGGCTAAGACGCCAGGGAAAAAGAAGCAGCAGGCGCAACAGCAGGCGCAGCAGCAGCAGCTGGAGCAACAGCAGCTGGTGCAGCCGCGGAATGAGGAGTGGAGAAGAGGCAGCAGGGACGAAGTGGATGAGGAGGAGAGGGGAGGGAGAGGAGAGGAGGGTGCGAAGGATATGGTAGGAGAAGAGGAGGAGGCGAGTGAGGATGGGGGTTGGCGGAATGAAGGGGGGGAGCAGGGGCAGGAGAGGGGGAGAGTGCAGGCACGCGGAGGGGAGGAAGATGAGGTTGAGGAGGAGGAAAGAGCGCTCTATGGGGAGGAGTTGGACGAGAGGAGAGAGGAGGTAGGAGAGGAGGAAGGAGAGGAGGAAGAGGGTTACCGAAGAAAGGATGAGAGTAAGGGGAGGAGAGAGAGGGAATACGGTGGTGAGGGAGGGGAGGAGGAGGAGGAGGAGGAGGAGGAGGAGGAGGAGGAGGAGGAGGAGGAGGAGGAGGAGGAGGAGGAGGAGGAGGAGGGGGACAAGGAATGGGGAGAGGAGGGGAACGGACAGGGGGAGAGTGATGGAGGAGAGAGGGACGACAGAGGGGAAGCAGCTTCGGCTTTTGCCAAGGGGAGCAGAGGATTCGGTGGGGCCAGTCACGCGGCGACAGCTGGCAACGATGACCTTTATGGTGATTTTGACGATGACGATCATTACGGTGCGGAATCTCCTTTCAGGTCGCCTTATAACGAGGATTTTCGTAGCAGGATGGCAGGGCGGGATGGGAGCTCTGCAGAGCGTGACTCGAGATCGGATGGGGGTTGGGATGAGTATGGGGATGAGTATGGTGAGGAGGAGGGGAGAGAGGGGAGGGACGGGAGGGACGAGAGGGGAGGGAGGGAAGGGAGGGAGGGGATAGAGGGACAGATAGGGAAGGATGAGAGGGAGGAGGAAGAGCAGGAGGAGCAGGAGGAGGAGGAGGATGTTTTTCCAGTAGCCACACCCCCTGCTCTTGCAAGAAATTCGACTAAGGAAAAACAGAGGCCGGTCCAACGATTGCAGAAGCAGGAGGAGGAGGTGGAGGAGGAGGAGGTGGAGGAGGAGGAGGTGGAGGAGGTGGAGAAAGAGAGAGATTTATGGGAGGAGGAAGAGGAGAAGGGGAATAAGGAAAGGGATTTATGGGAGGAGGAGGAGGGCATGGGGGATGAGGAAAGAGATGGGTGGCAAGAGCAGCCAACGGAGAAGCAGCAGAAGAGGCACGGGCAGCAGCAGCAGCAGCAGCAGCAGGAGGTAAAGTTGGGGGAGGAAGAGGATGAGAAAGAAAGAAGATTATGGGAGGAGGAGGAGGAGAAGGAGTATGAGGAAAGGAATTTATGGGAGGAGCAGCAAGAGAAGGATAAGTGGGGTCGGCAAGAAAGGGACGAGTGGGGGCAACAGAGAGAGAGAGAGCAAGGGTTAGGGCAAGGGAAGCAGCAAGAACAGCGAAGGCAGCAGCACCAGGCGCAAGAAGAGGGGTATCCAGATGGCGGTTACAGGAAAAATGGGTTTAGGGCAGCAGACAATGGGGGGTACAACGAGGGCGATCGGTACAATGACTCTAACAACCATGCTTGTAACGAGGACGACAGTTTCAATGACAGCAAGAGCTTTGATAGGACCGAGTCTTACAATCAGAATGAGGGTTACAATAGGAGTAAGGGTTATAATGGAGACGGGGTGTACAGTGGTGAGGATGTGGGGAGAATTCGAAGAGAAGGCGAGAGGGGGGAAGGGGAGGGAGAAGAGGAGGAGGAGGAGGAGCATCGTGATTTGGATGATGAGGAGGAGGAGGAAGACGATGATGATTCTGATGATGATGATGATGTTGCGATAGCTGTAGCTGCAGATGCCATAGCCCTCGATGTGAACGGGCGGGAGCATGGGATGAGGGAAAGAAACTCTTACTCACACGCACAGGGGTTTAAGGAGCAAGGAAGAGATGAGTCAGGCGAGAGGGCGTGGGAGGTGGAGGAGGGGGAGGAGGAAAGGCGATCTTGGGTGGGTGGGCAGGAGGGGGGAGGGATGAATGGAGCTGGAGGGGTGAGTGGTGCTTTCAGGGAGTTAGGTGGTGGGATGGCGCAGGATGGGGAGGAGGAGGTGAAGGGGAAGGGCAAGAAGGGGAAAGTCAAGGGTGAGAAGGTTAAGAAGGTCAAGAAGAAAGTAAAGGAGGAGAAGGAGAAGGAGGGGAAGGAAGGGAAGGAAGGGAAGGAGGGCAAGGGGAAGAAAGTAGTAAAGGTGAAAAAGCAGGTGAAGGAGAAGGAGGGGAAGGAGAAGGAAGGGAAAGAGAAGGAAGGGAAGGAAAAGGAGGGGAAGGTTGAGAAGGTGAAGAAGATTAAGAAGAAGCTGCAACTGCAGCAGCCTTTGCAGCAGGAACAGGACGACGGGGAAATTTTCGACCGTCAGAGGGAGCAGTACAAGCGATCTCAGTCGTTAGATCACGGCAAGCATGCCGCCCAGCTGGCATCAGCTTCGGAACATACCCTGCCACACAATCTGAGCTTCGTGTCGCCGCCACATCATCATGCGAATCAAATCTCCACCCCGCACCGTGTGTCGCCGCCCAGTAACATCTGCATGCCGCCCCACCATGTGTCGCCGCCCAGTAACATCTGCATGCCGCCCCACCATGTGTCGCCGCCCAGTAACATCTGCATGCCGCCCCACCATGTGTCGCCACCGGCCGATCGCGTCTTCCCGCCGCCCAATCACGTCTCCCCGCCCCATTATGCCGCCATGCAACAACATGCATCGCCGGCCAATCACATGCCTCCAGCATACTACTCGGCCCCATCGCCACGTCATCACGGCATGGGGCAAGGCATGGGGCAAGGCATGGGGCAAGGGATGGGGCAAGGGATGGGGCAAAGCACAGGTTATGGCATGGAGCATGGGGTTGAAATGATGACAGCAACAGGCAATCATGGCAGGATGGGGAGCGATATGAGCCAAGGCATGGGGCAAGGCATGGGCTATGGCATGGAGCATGGGGTTGGGATGGTGGCAGCAACAGCGCATCCGCAGCATGGCCGGATGGGGAGCGATATGAGCCATGGCATGGGACATGAGCAGGAATTCCATACCCCCTATGGGGTAGGCATGATGGCAGCAGCAGGGCATCATGGTAGAATGGGAAGTGACATGAGTCACGGCATGGGGCACGAGCAGCAGGAATGCCAAACTCCCTATGGGTTAGGTATGATGGCAGCAGCAGGGCATCATGGCATAATGGGGAGTGACATGAGTCATGGCATGGGGCACGAGCAGCAGGAATGCCAGGCTTCCTATGAGCAACCTCAGAAAGCGTTCGGGGCACAACGAGCGGCTTTCGAGGCGCCTCCGAAGCAGGGATGGGATTCGAGGCGTGGCGGGGGGGGGCATGGGGAACAGAGGCAGCAGATGGGGGTTGGGATGGGTGAGGAGGAGATAAACAGCGGTGATGATGCACGGGCGGCGGACAGGCGGCGGAACGTGATAGGCCGGCCGTTGGAGCGGGTGGAGGAGAGATATGAGATGGTGGGGGAGGTGCTGGGGAGGGGGTACTTTGGGGATGTGGTGGTGTGTCGGGAGCGGCGGACAGGAGAGTATATGGCGTGTAAAGTGATCAAGAAAGCAAACATCATGGTGAGTTGGTGAGGAAGGGTGTATGAGGAGGGAATCAATGCGTGCAAAGTGATTAAGAAGGGCAAACATCATGGTGAGAAGATTATTGTCATAAGGCTGTCATCTATCACAGTTTTTTTCTTTTTTCTATTTTGCCTGTTCCTTCGCGCTTCTTTATCTCAATCTAAATTGCGCCCTGGAATGGTGTGTGCGTGCATGACATGGTGCATGGCATGGGGAGTGGCATGTGTGATGTTATGGCACGGGGGGCATGGCATGTGTCACGGCATCGGCATGGCATGGCGTGGCATGGCATGGCATGGCATGTGTTTGGATGCATGGCATGGCATGGCATGTGTTTGGATGCATGGATGGATGGTGCCGTGGCACTTCACATCAGAGCGAGGATGATGCAGAGGACGTGATGAACGAGGTGGCAGCGCTGGACACGGTGCGCGGGCACCCCCATATTGTGCAACTCGTGGAGACCATAGAGGACGAACAGGTGGGTGCTTTGGGTGAGGATAGAGGAGGGGGAGATGGGTGCTGCTATGAGACAGTAGGGGACGTGATGAATGAGGTGGCGGTGCTGGACTCAGTGCGAGGCCACCCCCACATCGTGCAGCTCGTGGAAACAAATTACAATAGAGGATGAACAGGTGGGTGACTGGGGTGAGGGTAGAGGAGGCGCAAATGGGTGCTTTAAGAGACAGTAGAGGATGAACAGGTGGGTGGGTGCTGGGTGAGAGTGTAGAGGAGGGGGAGATGGGCGCTGTGCTGGAAGACAATAGAAGACGTGATGAACGAGGTAGCGGCGCTGGACACGGTGCGCGGGCACCCCCATATTGTGCAACTCGTGGAGACCATAGAGGACGAACAGGTGGGTGCTTTGGGTGAGGATAGAGGAGGGGGAGATGGGTGCTGCTATGAGACAGTAGGGGACGTGATGAATGAGGTGGCGGTGCTGGACTCAGTGCGAGGCCACCCCCACATCGTGCAGCTCGTGGAAACAAATTACAATAGAGGATGAACAGGTGGGTGACTGGGGTGAGGGTAGAGGAGGCGCAAATGGGTGCTTTAAGAGACAGTAGAGGATGAACAGGTGGGTGGGTGCTGGGTGAGAGTGTAGAGGAGGGGGAGATGGGCGCTGTGCTGGAAGACAATAGAAGACGTGATGAACGAGGTAGCGGCGCTGGACACGGTGCGCGGGTATCCCCATATTGTGCAGCTGGTGGAGACAATAGAGGACGAGCAGGTGGGTAAGGGGTGAGAGGTGAGTGGGTGGTACTAGTGATGAACGAGGTGGCACGCAGGAGTCGGTGCAAGGGCACCCTCATATTGTTCACTTTTGAGGCGCCTCAAAAGGAGTCGGTGCGAGGGCACCCTCATATTGTTCAACTCATGGAAAGAGTGGAGGACGAGCAGGTGGGTGCTACTAGGCAGGTGAATCGTGGTGGAGGTGGCAACATTAGACACGGTGCAAGGGTATCCCCATATTGTTAAACTGGTGGAGACAATAGAGGACGAGCAGGTGGGTAAGGGGTGAGAGGAGAGTGGGTGGTACTAGTGATGAACGAGGTGGCGGCATTAGACACGGTGCGAGGGCATCCTCATATTGTGCAACTCGTGGAGACGATAGAGGACGAGATGAGCAGGTGGGTGTCAGTCGTATCCCTCCTTCTTGTCTCCGTCCCTTGCATCCCACTCTTGAATCTGGCGCCCGCTATATGTTCCCTGTCATCCCCCCATCTCTCCCCCAACCCCACTCCCCCCAGGCTAGGTACCTCATCCTCCACCTCTGTGAGGGCGGCACACTGCAGCATGCCGTCCGGAGCCAAGCGTTCTGGGGCGCTGTTAGACTTTGCCCCTGTTTGCATCTCCCCTTCACATCCCTCCTCCCCCCGTCCTTCCCCTCACTTCAACCCCCAGGCCGTCTACCTCATCCTCCACCTCTGTGAGGGCGGCACACTGCAGGAGGCCATCTAGAAGCAAGACTTTGGAGCTCTCGAATCTCCCTTCATATCCCCTCCCCTCCTCATCCATCCCATCCCATCACCCTCGTCCACCCATCTACACCATCCTCCATCTCTGTGAGGGAGGCACGCTGCAGCAGGCCGTCTGAAACCAAGGATTGTGGAGAGATGTTAGAAGGCGCATCCTCACCTATCCCCCCTTCTTGCCCTCTGCTTCTATCCATCCCCCAGGCCATCTACCTCATCCTCGACCTCTGTGAGGGCGGCACACTGCAGCATGCCATCGGCAATCAAGGCTTCTGGGGCATTGTTTGCTCCCTCTCAGATATTCTCCCCGTTGTCTCCCTCCCCATCTCTCTCCCCCTCTCCCAGGCCATCTACCTCATCCTCGACCTCTGTGAGGGCGGCACACTGCAGCAGGCCGTCCGGAACGAGGGGCCCTTAAACGAGCGGCGGGCGGCGGCGGTTTGTCAGGGAGTGGCGGCAGCGCTGCAGTGGTGCCACGGGTGTGGGGTGATGCACCGCGATGTGAAGCCGGATAATATTCTCCTCGTGCGGCGCGGGGATGATACCTACGTCAAACTCGCCGACTTTGGAATATCCCTCTTCTTCCAGCAAGGTGAGAACTGCTTGTATGGGATGGGAGTGGTGCATGGGGGCCTCTGCAGGAGTGCCACGGGTGTGGGGTGATGCGTCGTGTGTTTTGAGTCGACTCAAAACACACCTGGGGTGATGCGTCGTGTGTTTTGAGTCGACTCAAAACACACCTGGGGTGATGCGTCGTGTGTTTTGAGTCGACTCAAAACACACCTGGGGTGATGCGTCGTGTGTTTTGAGTCGACTCAAAACACACCTGGGGTGATGCGTCGTGTGTTTTGAGTCGACTCAAAACACACCTGGGGTGATGCGTCGTGTGTTTTGAGTCGACTCAAAACACACCTGGGGTGATGCGTCGCGATGTGAAGCCGGATAACATCCCCCTCGCGCCTCCCCTTATTCTCCCCCCTTCCTCCTCCCCTCCCCACATCCAGGCGTCTCCTGCAGGGAGACGGTGGGGTCAGCAGCCCTTCATAGCACCGGAGATGCTGCAGCACGCCTACTCCCACACAGTCGACGTCTGGTCCCTCGGCTGCGTGCTCTTCTTCCTCCCAACCAACCAGCCCTGCTTCTCTCCCCGCCCTTGCCCCCGCCCTTGCCCCCCCCTCCTCCAGGCGTCTCCTGCAGGGAGACGGTGGGGTCAGCAGCCTTCATAGCACCGGAGATGCTGCAGCACTCCTACTCCCACACAGTGGACGTCTGGTCCCTCGGCTGCGTGCTCTTCTTCCCTCCCACCCAATCCAGCCCATCCCAGCCAACCCTGTCCACCGCTCCCCACCCCTCCTCCCTCCCTGCAAATCTCCAGGTGTGTCCTGCAGGGAGACAGTGGGTTCAGCCGCGTTTATAGCTCCAGAAATGCTGCAGCGCTCCTACTCCCACACAGTCGACGTCTGGTCCCTCGGCTGTGTGCTCTTCTTCCTCCTCGCGGGGGTCGTGCCCTTCCGAGGCGCCTCCAAGGAGGAGACGTTCGAGCGAATCATGGAGTGCCACGTGGACAGGGCCTTGCGGTTACCGCCGTGGCCGAGAGTGTCTCCCGGAGCGAAGGACCTGGTGCGGCGGCTGCTGACAAGGGACCCGCGTGATAGAATCACCCTTGAAGAAGTTCTGTGTGAGTCTCTTAATCGTTCTGATACGTGTTTTCCCCGGTGCGAAGGACCTGGTGTGGCGGCTGCTGACAAGGAACCAACGTGATAGAATCGCCGTTGAGGAGGTTCTATGTGAGTTAATGATGAAGCATGGGGCTCTGTGGGAGTGTACGTGAGTGTATGAGAGTGTGTGTGAGTCACTTGTGAGCATGTCTCAGGAGTGTTTCCCGGGGCGAAGGACCTGGTGCGGCGGCTGCTGACGAGGGACCCTCGTGATAGAATCACTCTTGAAGAGGTTTTGTTTGAGTCTTTTGAAACTTCTGAAAGCTGACCCTTGAGGCAGAGGATTTGGTGAGGGTTACTCTTGAAGAAGTAAGTGTGAGTGGGAGTAGAGACAGGAGGCAAATTACCTGTGGGAGATTGCGGCCTGTTACGTGGCCCCTCCCCACCCCCATACCCCATACCTGGTACCTTTCATTTGGTGCAGTCGCACTGGCAGTCCTAGCAACCTCCCTCTGTCTGTGACCATCTGTCCCCTCTCTTCCTTGCCCCACCCGATCCCTTCCCCACCTCCCTTGCTCTCGTTTGTGCTGCGTCACGTCTCTGCAGGTCACCCATGGATCACCGGCAACTAGACTCACATGCAACCCCAACACAGGATAGCACATGCTGTCTCTTCTGTTTTACTCAACAATCTCCCTTGCCCCTTTTGTGCTGCGTCACGTCTCTGCAGGTCACCCATGGATCACCGGCAACTAGACTCACATGCAACCCCAACACAGGATAGCACATGCTGTCTCTTCTGTTTTACTCAACAATCTGTTTTACTCAACAATCTCCCTTGCCCCTTCTGTGCTGTGTCACGTCTCTGCAGGTCACCCATGGATCACCGGCAACTAGACTCACGCGCAACCTTAACACAGGATAGCGCATGCTGTATAGCTGTGAAAGGGCGGTATGGTGCCGAGTGGTGACATGACAAAACACAGTGTGTGGAACAAAGTGTACCTCCTGTTTATTGTGTGTGTTCGGGGTGAATTCAAAGAAATCATTTTTATTGGCTCCAGTATGCACAACGATGTGTGGTTACTCAAGCAGATATGCACCATAGCGTTGGTGGAAATAGTGCCTCAAAATGACTTGAATGATTGTAGATATGTTTAGCGTAACAAAAGAAGCACAGAGATAACACCACATTGATTTGTCACCCAGCTTAAGCTACTCTGCACCAAACATCCAAAGCACCTATCAATTGTCAATCCCAACCATGTGCAAGATTCTCCCCAACCTCCCTTCTTCAAACATCCAGGCAATGCAAATTACCCACACGCGCCTCCGTATCAAATCAACCGTCCACAACAGCCTTCCATCTCTTGGCAAAACCGTACTACCGTTATAGCATGGCAAGCCTCCCGCTTCCCCCAGCAAACCCCGTCCCCCCAGCTTCAAACAACCTCCCCAACAGCTCTCCCCTCCCCTCCCCCATTGCCACGACCGTAGCGGAGAGAAACACGGGGAGAGGAGAGACGGTGCAACAGCGTGCATCAAGACATTTGTAAGAAACCAGCAGCAGCATAGTATTAACCATCCAGATCAGGCTCCCATCGCTTGGCAAAACCACACAGAGAACCGCTGAGGGTTCAGGTGTAAGCAAGCAGCCTCAAAGCCAAAGAAATTCACTGACGCTAGTGATGTAAGTACCTAGTGAAAGCAGGTACGGTACCATACCGAAAGAAAAGGAGGAGTTTGTGCCATTGTTACGAGGTGAATTTTAAGTCGACTCAGAAGTCAATTTCGCTGACGCGACTGATGCAAGTACATAGCTAAAGCAAGTACGGTACCATACTGAAAGAGAAGGAGAAGGAGCAAAGACAAGTAGCAGCAGAGGTGAGAGTTTTAGGGAGGGGAAGGGACAAGAACCCTGGTTGGGGGAGGGAGGGGGGCAGAAGGGGGAACGAGCGGGAGAGGGGTGTGGAGGGAATTGAAGGAGAGCAGTGAGGAGGTGAGGGGTGAGTGGAGGTGGAATGAGAGGTTTGGGGGAGGAGCAGACGGGGAAGAGGGGGTATGCCTGGAGTGAGGGATGGATGGGGGATGCGAATGGTGAGAGGGGGAAAGCTGAGGGGAGGACGGGGGGATGAGGGACGGTTAGGACGGAGATAAAAAGGGGAGGAGGGTGAGGGAAATGAGGGGTGATGGGGGGGACGGTGGGAGGGGGAGGGGAGGGTGGGGAGGGAGATGAGGAGTGAGTGGGGGTGGGGGGAGAGGAGGGGGAGAGGGCTGGAACGAGGGGTGAGTGGAGGGGAGGGGAGATTGAGGAGGGGGGAGAGGGGGGGAGGGGGATGCAAAAAGGGGGCAGCAAGTGCGCGCGGGACGATAAGCGGTGCACTCAGGGAATTGAGGCGAGTGCAGGGAGAGGGGAGGGGGAGAGCGGGGAGATGAAGGGAGAGCGGGGAGATGAAGGGAGAGCGGGGGAAATGAGGAGAGAGCTTGGGGGTCACGAAGGGAGAGAGGTGGGAATAAGGGATGCGGGAGGTTTCTAGGCAAGGTCAGGGGAGGAGGGGCAAGGGGAAGGAAAGCGCAGGGAGGGAAAAAGGAAAAATCAGGAGAAATAGGCCACTCCGCCTGTCACCTCTCGGCAATCCTCTCCTTTCTGATTCCCCTTACGCGCCCCAATCAGGACTTTCGCCAGTCTCCCTCCCGAAATCCATTTTTTCCGCTGTCTTGCGCAACGGTCAGGGTTCGTATCATGCGTTTGCGCAATATGTCTCCCTGAATAAACGTTACAGAAGGTCTTCGCATACGAAGAAATAAAAATAAAGAATCCGACTCAACATAGCGTCAATAAATAATCTTTTCGAATGTGGCCGCAAGTCGACGCTGATACTCCGAACTTCGACGTACGTGTCTATTTCCTTCGCGAATACATGAGCTACAAAAATCATCTTACCACCACTGCCGCAAATCTGGAGAGAGCAAATAACAGTATCCTATTAAGATTCCACAGTAGTTACCGCACTGGATGTGTGAACGGGAGAATAAGGGCGCGTTTCTATCCCGCGTCAGACACGAAGCCAGACACGAAGTTGAGGTTGGGAAGACCCAAAGGGACTCGGAATGCTGGCAAATCTAGGTTCGGAAGACACAAACCGAGTCACTTGGTGTCTTCCGAAGCTTTGACCTGATGTCTGACACGGGATAAAAACACGCCCTGATGAAATACGACTGAAAGCACGATCGAAACAAGCTACGGTGCACGCGCTGTGTGGGGTGGTTCTATTCTGCCTGAACTCTGTCAGGGTTTGTTTTCTGCACAGCCCGAGAAAAGGTTCGTTTCATTTCCTTGCATATTCGTCTACTTGCCAAGTCACTTATAGTCGTAAAAGACAGATACTTCTTTAGCTGAATACAGAGTTAAAGTGCTTACTAAGATCCCTAGGATCCCTAAGTGTCAACCACAGTATCTGCAGATCCCAGCTGCTCGCCTTTCTTGGTTCTTGGTCTTCTTGACCCCTCTTGGCCGTTGAGGCAAATGCCTGTTGGGGAGGGAGCGGACTTATTTACAGGGCAGAAAGGAGGGGGGCGGTTAAAATTATATACAGGGCAGCACATTGACCACCAGGTTGACCACCGCGAGGAAGAGAGGGAATATCGAAGACAATCCCATCTGAACTCAACCACGTCCAACCACACCTGACCTTCCGAACCTAACGTCCTAGCTAATTCGAGCCTAGGTCTAGACTAGACCGTAACCCAGAACCGAGCCTAGCTAAGGCTAATGCGTCGCCTAGCTAAGCCTAATACGAGCCTAACGATCTGACTAACGCCCCTAACGTTCTGATCTGACTAACGCTCCTAACGTAAACCTAACCACCCAAGGACCCAGGGCCCAGACCCACTTACAGGGCTGGTTGCTCCAAGCTCGAACCTCCTTGCCCCGCGCACCTCGCCCGATCATGCTGCCCACAAAACAGAACCAACACAGGATGTTAGTGTTTTGATAAGGAAGAAAAAATAAATGAAATTGACGGAACCTACCAGGAAAAGGGAGACCACTCAGTTTACCCCCTTGCTCGCCGCCAGCTCCCCATCGCCAGCCGCCGCACTCAACCTGCACTAAGACAAAACACATAAGAGAAACTTAGTAAAGCGTAAACGAAATGGCAGCTTAAATTGATGATACTTACCAGAGAGGAAGATCTCGCCATGTGTACCTCCTCCGCCCGCTCCAGGTGTTGCCCCTGCTCCCTGCTCCTGCTCCTGCTCCCTTTGCATTTAAAAGGCAATGGCAAGGAAAAAAACGTTTGGTAACAGAAAACAGATAGTCGCTAAAGGGCAAAAACAGAAGACTGATGACCAAACAACGAGGTAACACAGGCGAACTTACCAGTAGATGGAAACCATTCCGTATCCCCCTCACTCGCCGTCAGCTCCCCATCCTGCTCCTCCTGCACTAAGACAGGACACAAGAGAAAAACTTAGTAAAATGTAAACAGAATACTAAACTGAACTGACGATGCTTACCAAGAGAGGGACAGCTCGCCGCGTACCTCCCCCGCTTGCTCCAGGTGTTGCCTGCGCTTCTCCTCCCGCTCCTGCAACGCGAAAGGCACGAAACTCGAAGTTAGAAATCTCGAAATAAAAGAAACGAACCAAAGCGGACCGTGCTTACCAGGAAAACGAGAGCATTCTTCTTCCTCCCGCTGTTGCCACGTGCTCCTCCTCCCGCTCCTGCTTCACAAAGCCACGGAACTTGAAGTTAAAAATATCAAAAAAGAAGTAACGAACGAAATAGGACCGCGCTTACCAGGAAAGCGAGAGCATTCTTCTTCCTCCCGCTGTTGCCACGTGCTCCTCCTCCCGCTCCTGCTTCACAAAGCCACGAAACTCGAAGTTAGAAATCTAGAAAAAGAAGTAACGCGGAACGAAATAGGACTGTGCTTACCAGGAGAAGGAGAGCGTTCTCTTCTTGTGTACCTTCCTTCACGCTTTTACCACACGCTCCTTCTCCCGCTCCCAGCATCCAGCTCCTCCTGCATCAAGACAGAGATCACACAAAAGAAAATTAGTAAAAAGAATACAAAACTATCTGAAATCGACGATACTCACCAAGAGAGGGAGAGCTCTCCCCGTGTGGCTTTCTTGCTCGCCGTCACCTCCCCATCGCGCTCCTTCTGCACTAAGACACAAGACACGAAAGAGAAAGTTAGTAAATCGTAAATGAAATACTAGCTGAAATTGACCATACTTACCAAGAGAGCTCTCCCCCTGTGACTCGCTTGCTCGCCGTCAGCTCCTGCGCTCCTTCTGCACTAAGACACAACACACAAAAAGAGAGTTAGTAAAACGTAAAGAAATTCTAGCTGAAATTGACGAGCCTCACCAAGGGAGGGAGAGCTCTCCCCGTGGGACTCCCTTGCTCGCCTGTCACCTCCCGATCGCGCTCCGTCTGCACTAAGACACAAGACACGAAAGAGAAAGTTAGTAAAACGTAAAGAAATTCTAGCTGAAATTGACGAGACTCACCAGAGAGGGAGAAATCTTCCCGTGGGACTCCCATGCTCGCCGTCAGCTCCCGATCGCGCTCCTCCTGCACTAAGCCGCAAGACACACAAGAGAAGGTTAGTAAAACGTAAAGAAATCCTAGCTGAAATCGACGAAACTCACCAAGGGAGGGAGAGCTCTCCCCGTGGGACTCTCATGCTCGCCGTCAGCTCCCCATCGCGCTCCTTCTGCACTAAGACACAAGACACGAAAGAGAAAGTTAGTAAATCGTAAATGAAATACTAGCTGAAATTGACCATACTTACCAAGAGAGCTCTCCCGTGTGACTCGCTTGCTCGCCGTCAGCTCCTGCGCTCCTTCTGCACTAAGACACAACACACAAAAAGAGAGTTAGTAAAACGTAAAGAGATTCTAGCTGAAATTGACGAGACTCACTAAGAGAGGGAGAGTTGTCAACGTGTGGCTCCCTTGCTCTCCGTCACCTCCCAGCTTCATATCCCGCTCCTTCTGCACTAAGACACAAAACACAACAGATAATTAGTGATTCGTAAAAGAAGTACAAGCTGAAATTGATGTTACATACCAGGAGAGGGAGACCACTCCGTTAATCCCTTTGCTCGACGCCAGCTTCCCATCCAGCTCCTTCTGCATCAGGACAGAGATCACACAAAGAGAAAATTAGTAACAAGAATACGAAACTAACTGAAATTAACGAGACTCACCAAGTGAGGGAGAGCTCTCCCCGTGTGACTCCCTTGCTCGCCGTCACCTCCCAGCTTCATATCCCGCTCCTTCTGCAGCAAGACACAGCGCACAACAGAGATAGTTAGTAAATCGTTAACAAAGTACAAGCTGAAATTGATGTTACTCACCAGGAGAGGGAGACCACTCCGTTAATCCCTTTGCTCGCCGCCAGCTTCCCATCCAGCTCCTTCTACAGCAAGACAGAGATCACAGAGGAAAAAATTAGTGAAAAGAACACAAAAATATTTGAGATTGACGATACTTACCAGGATAGGGAGACGGAGATGAAGGGCGATGCGGCAACCGCTCCGCATACGCCGTGCGACGGATGCCTCTGTCCTTGCCAGGTGCGCGCGAAGGACGAAGCAGGCCCATGCGAGAAGCTCTTGATCTAGAAGAAAGATCGTCTGCAGGAGTAGAGCAAAAAATACGAAATTTATACGTACCTCCACTCAACCAAGAAGATCGGTCCTCAAGAGACGAATGCCGTACTGAATCGTCATGGCCGTGCGTCATGTTGGTGCCGTGCGCCGTGAGCCGTGCGTAAGGAGAAGCAGATCCATGCGACGAGAGAAGCGACGTCCGGTAGAACCGCGTTGGCTTGAAGGCTCTGGGGCTTGAATGCGTCAAGGCGGTTGCCTGCAGGATAAAGTTAATACGTTAGTTCTTATCCAGGAAAAACATTACTATTGCGAAAGACATGAGCATGGCGTTGGACTTACCTCTACTCGAAGGGTTTAAACCCATCCGCCAGAAGTGAAGATCGTCTCCTCGTGGCGACGAAGAAGCGCCGGGCGAAGCAGACGACCGCGTCCGCGTCTGAATCACTCAAGCCAGAATCGTCGAATGCGGTCTTCCAGGCTCTTACGTGAAGTTCATCTTGAGAAGATCTCTTGATGATAATCGCGGTGAAGATACTGCAGTGGTAAACTTCTCGCGGCGGAGTTCTCGCGGTGGAGTTGTTGCAGTGGAGATCTTGTCAATGGAGTTTTCTCGCGATGTAGTTCTCGCCGCGAAGAACAGGGCATAGTACAAGGTTCCGGCCAAGGCTTGCAAGCAGCTCTCTAGACTCTCTACCCACCCACCCCACCCACGAATCTAGACTCTAAGCTAACTCTAACGCCTACACGAACCTACACGGACTCTAAGACGCGCTGCTGCTTGCCTTGGCCATCCCCTTGTACTAGCTTGGGTGGATTCATGGTGTAGTTTAGACTGCTCCATAGAGCTTCTCGCATGATATCCACAGTAGCTCATTGGGACGGAGCTAACTGAGACGGAGCTCTCTGGGTCGGAGATTATTGAGACGGAGCTCCTCTGAAAAATCCTTCCGACGGGATAACAGGGAAGGTTCTAATCCGAGAATGAAGTTGACGATAGGAACTTGTAGTGCCTCTGGTGGAAGGAAAGGAACGATCAAACAAGGTGGCTGGGAGTAGGAGACTGTCGATGAAATCGATCATCCGTTTCGGAAAATTCTGGGTGCGGTGCGAGCTATGCAATCGGCGCGGCACGTCTGATTATTTTCGCGTCGCAGCTATGCAGGTTCAGGAAGTATGATCTCAATCATCGATGATTCCCGCTCTGACTCAAGTTGCCGTTGACCTTCGCTGCTGCTACAGCGCGGGAAAGGGTGCGGCTAGTTTGCGGGTTACACGAGGTGACTTCATAATGAACGGATGGCTGCCGCCACCACAGATATTTTTCCACCTTGGAGATGTTGGAAATTTCCCACCATGGTTAATTCAAGGCGACTCGAATGTGTGTATGTGCTTTGGTCGACGATAGCCGCTGTTAGTCGCTGAGTGCGGTGCGCTGCGATCAAACGCGGGGGCTCTGGTGCCGTTACAATATCAAGGTAGTGTGCAAAATATGAACAGATGGCTGATGGATGGACGGTGGAGAATATGTTGGAGGGTGTGGTGTGGTGGCTGGCGCCGCCAAGAGATTTTTCGCCTAGAAAATGTCAGAAAGTGTTGCACTCAAAACTTGAGGCGGCCCAAATGTGTTCCTTCGAACTCATCCCAACGCGACTCGGTATCCTGAACCAATTTCAAATGTACAGTTCAGTGGGTGGTTGGTGAAGTTATGTGTTTTGGTGAATATAACTATAAGCGAATCTGCTGAGGGCGCGTATCATTGTGTTGTGGGTTGACGGGCACTCTGATATCGGGTACAGTTGACTTGGATCTGGGGCAGGAAAGGGTTTTTTTTAGGAGGTGGTGTGACGTGGCATGCGTATTTTACATCTATAGCCCGACTATGGGTATTCGCGAGAAAATTGTGCGTGAAGTGCGGGATTGCGTTGAAATCGTTACTAGATTTGTGAACGGAAGGTTCAGGTGCTCTCGCAGTTCCTTTTTGTTCCTTGCGAATATGATCGGGGCAGCTGAAAATGACAAAGTGGTGATTTAGAAAAGATCATGCGAGCCAATAGAATTGGGGGGTGTTTCTCGCCCTCATCCGCCACCCTCCAGCTCATTCCCCGTCCAGCTCATCGCCGAGGCTGGGAAGATCGATTACATTCTTGGATTTCATTTCGCCGATTAGCGCGAATGCTCACCCTCGACTCTGCTTGCCGTAGACTTATGTATCTCAGTCTTGCTATCGGTTCAGTCTTTGCCGCTTCCAACTGCTAGTACCAGAAGCCGCTTCCCACGTCTAGAAGCTGAACGAGTTATGGTGTCTGTTTCAAGTGAAATTAGCAGCCAGTAGTCGGAAGATCTAACGATTTCTAGGTTGCGAACCGCGGGAGCATTGACTTGCGGACGTATAATGTCGATTTGCGGATACTTATCATGCCATCGCTTGATCGGCGTCGACTTGAGAGCGCGTCGGCATTGCGGGCTCTGTCGATCTCGTTAGGCAAGCGACGCGCAGCGCTCTGATCTGAACCGTTGCACAAGACATGTGAAACGGGGAGGGGAAACATGAGAGGGAGGGAGGCACGGGATGCACTCAATATGGAAGGGAGGCAATAGACTGGCAAGAGGCGGCGAGGCAGGGCGGGTAAGGGAGAAGAGAGGTTCACGAATTTGTTACACACTCTCGCGAACCTCTGCTTTTGGCGAGCATGTTGCATGCCCTCGCGTAATGGAGAACGTTATATCGAAACACCATGTCGCGAGACCCCTCCGTTTCCCCCCTCCTCATCTTCCCTCGCACATCTCTCCTCCCTCTCTCCTCATCTCCCCTCGCTCTCTCGTCATCCCCTCCGCGCTCCCCTTGTCCCCCCCTCCCCTCTCCTCGCCTCTCCCCACTCTCACCACATCTCCCCCGCTCTCTCCTTAGCAACCCCCGCCCTCCCCTCGACTCCCCCCGCTCTCCCCTCATCTCCCCCCGATCTCCCTTCATCTCCCCCGCTCTCCCCTCATCTCCTCCGCCATCCCCCCATCTCCCTCGCTCGTCCCCCATTCGTCCCGAAAAAGCATCCCTCACCCCCCCCGCGTCTCACCCTCATCCTCCCCTCTGTCTTACCCTCATCCCCCCCGCGTCTCACTCTCATCCCCCTCCGCTCTCCGCCGCTCTCTCCCCATCTCCCCCGCTCTCTCCTCGTTTCCGCCCGCTCCCCCCCACCCCCTTGCTCTCCCTGTCATCTCCCCCCGCTCTCCCCTCATGTCCCGTTTGCCTCCCCTCATCCCCCCCCCCGCTCTCCTCTCGTCACTCTTCCGACTCACCCTAGTTCTTCTCCTGTTTACCTCTCATACCCCCTCCGATTCCTTCCTCCTTCCCCCTCCCCTTCTCGCTCGTCCCGCATCCTCGCTCTCCCCTCATCTCCCCTCGTCTCCCCTCATCTCCCTGCGATTTCCGCCTATGTCCCCGCCCTCACCCCTTCTTCCCCCTCAACCCTGTTTCCCCCCAAACACAGTCTCGTTCACCGCTCATCCCCTCCCCCCACCATGCCTCCTCTCCCCTCTCACTCGCTCCACATCCCTCCTCCCATCCACCCTGCGTCACCCCTCCCTCCCCTCGTCTTTCCCCTCACTCACCCCTCATTTCTCCCCATCCAGTCACCCCTCATGTTCCCTCCCATACATCCCTAACTCCTTCACCGCACCCCCCGTCGATCTATTTGTCACTCCCCCTCCGTTCACCTCTCATCTACCCCTCTCCCCCCAACCTTCCCTTGCTCTGCTCACGCCGCATTCACCCCTCAACCCCCTCCCACGTGACTCTCAACCCCCTCCCCCATGACCCCCAACCCCCAAATCCACCCCAAACACTGTCGACCATCGTATGTTCTTCGGCAATATTCCGTAACATTGTCGTACATGTGTCATAGCAAACAGGATGAGTATATCTATCCTTCTCTTTTCTCCCTCTCCCCTCCCCCCCCTCTTTAACACCTCCCCTTGGCCCCGTCCCTTCCTCCCCTCACTCCTCCCCGCTCCTCTATTGGATTGCTTGTCGCTGCAGCATGTGAACCAACCAACCAACGGCTGCTCAGTTGCTGGTCTGATTTACACATGGCTGCATATGACTGGTTGCCCTTGCAGTGTATGAAATTACTCCACAGGTACCTACCGGGTAGACCGTGACTGCATGCAACTGGTTGAAACGTCAGGGGAATTTGCCTCTGACGGCCAAGAGGGGTCAATAAGATGGTCAAGCTGCTGTGGAGGCGGAAGGGTAGGGAGCTAGAAAGCTGGCAACAAGTTTTGGTTCTGACGTGTATCTCGTTGTACTGTTGAAACTAAACAGCTGGAGAATGAAAGAGTGCCTCCCTTTTGACGGAGTTCTTGCGAAGTTGAACTGAATCAACTCTCAGACCATTTGGAGAGCTGGGAGGCACGCTTCCACGTGGTGACAGGCATGGCTAGGACTTTGAGAGTTACGCTTTTCCTAGTTCCTGAGTCCTAACTCCATAACTCCTCTGCGTCTCAAAAGCAACCTTTCTCGCAGCAAACCCCATCCCCCGCGCTTGGGACTCTGGATGCCAATCATCCACGTGAGAGAAACCAAGCAGCAGCCTCCATATCAACCATCCAGACCACCAGCCTCCCTTCTCTTGGCAACACCACAGGAAGAGCCAGCAGCACAGCACGCATCAGGAAACCTGTAAGAACCCAGCAGCAGCCTCCGTATCAACCATCCAAATCAGGCTCCCGTCTCTTGGCAACAGCATACTGGCAGGTAACCCAGTTCCCGCAGCAAACTCCGTCCCCCCTGCCTCAGACAGCCTCTCCAGCAGCTCCCTCTTCCCCTCCCCCCATCGCCACCACCGCCACCACCGGGAGAGACAGGGTGATAACGACCGGAGGAGCCAGCGTCACAACACGAATCAAGAATCTTGTAAGAACCCAGCTGCAGCCTCCCTATCAACCATCCATATCAGTTCTCCATCTCGTGGCAGAACCATACTGGCAGGCAAACCAGTTCCCACAGCGAACCCCGTCCCCCCTGCCTCAAACAGCCTCCCCAGAAGCTCCCTCTTCCCCTCCCCCATCGCCACGACTGCCACCACGGCAGCTGACAGCAGCACTGGGAGGGTCAGGGTGATTCGGCAAGGGGGAGGCTTGGGGGAGTCAGAGAGATGGCGGCACCAGTGGGGGGGAGGGGCGGAGGGGGAGGCGGATGGGGAGGGGGAGGCGGATGGGGAGGGGGAGGTGGAGACAAGGAGGGGGTGCGAGGGGAAGAGAGAGGCAACGTGGCCGTCCGGGCCCACCCCTAGAAGGATGAAGTCGAATCTGGGGAAGGGCGTATCTGCACAACAGGACAAAACGGGCAGACGCAAGGTGGTGTGGTTGAGACGAAGGGGAAGGGGGCAACCGTATGGGTCTGGTGCCACCCATCCCTTGAAGGAGACAGAAATAGCACGAAGATGTGGGTTCGAACCGCAGCAAGCGGACGAAGCAGGCCTAGCAGGGGTATAACAGGCCTAGCAGGGGTATAGCAGGCCTAGCAGGGGTATAGCAGGCCTAGCAGGGGTATAGCAGGCCTAGCAGGCCCAGGAGTCAAGCAAGCCTACCTGGGTGCATCAGGAGAACCCCAACATCCACACACTGCTTCAACTCGCGCTCGTATGCCTTTGCTGCTGCTTCAACTGAGGGTGACGGAAAGAGCATGCCTAGCAGGGCTAGCAGGATGAGCCACCCTACCTGGGTGTGTCAGAAGAACCCCAGCCTCCACGCACTGCCTCAGCTCAAGATCATACGCCTCTGCTGCTGCTGCTTCCACTGGGAGTGACGGAAACATCACTCCTAGCAGACATCGAGAGCAAGCCTAGCAATGCTAGCGGGATGAGCCAGCCTCCTGGGTGCATCAGGAGAAACCCCCGGGTGAAGGTGAACAGGCCTGGCGGGTCGAGCAAGCCTACCTGGGTGCATCGGCAGAACCCCAGCCTCAACACACCGCGCCATCTCGCGCTCATACGCCTCTGCTGCTGCTTCCACTGGGAGAGAGTCGTCGAGAGTGTGGATGTGGGCGGATGGAATGGGCACCTGGGGAGAAGACCGAGTTGTTGTGGGCATACAAGGCAAGAGGGAGGGGGAGGGGGGGGAGGGGGGGGGGGGGGGGGTGTAAGAATCGTGGAGAGTGTGGATGTGGACGGATGGAATGGGCACCAGGGGTGACGGCAGGGTAGTTGCGGGCATACAAGGCAAGAGGGGGGTGTAAGAATCGTCTGTGCTGTTTAGTTGCTGTCAGATGCACACTGTGGGGAAAGGAAGCACCTTGGAGAGCCAGTGCGTGTGCGCCAGCAGGTAGTTGCTGTCGGGGTGAGTCAGTGAGAGGGATGCTATTGGGGTGAGTCAGAGGCATGCTGTTTGCGTTGAATTACAGGCTTTCAAACGCTCTAGGACACACAGGGGAAAGGGAGCACCTTTGAGAGCCAGTGCGTGTGCGCCAGCAGGTAGTTGCTGTCGGGGTGAGTCAGAGGCACGGCCCGCTCGTCCACCCAGAACACATGCCACCTGGACCAATCACAGCGCGCCGCGATATCTGGATGCGCCAGCTGGCTGGTGTGGAAGAGGAGTGGGTTGGGGAGAGGAAGAAGGAGACTCAAAGAGGTAAGGTCCCCAGGAGGACAGCAAATTTGAAGACGATGTTTATTTACTCTCGAAATAAAATAATGTGTAAGGAACGGTGGGGCGAGAAACAACAGAGCAGCTCGGCGAGTTGGATAGTGACAGCTCAGAACGACAGCCTGGCAGCATGGCAATGCCACGTGGGTAATGCTTACCCCAGGCATTTAACGACAGATCCCCCTGAGATGGCGATGCTGAAAGAGCCATGCGCTGCTATGGCTGCCTGGATGGGCGGGTGTATGGATGGGGGTTGGTTGAGGGGATGGGGGGATGGACGGGACATGTCACGACGGACCCCCCTGAAATGGCGATGCTGAAAGAGCCATGCGCTGCTATGGCTGCCTGGACGGGCAGGGTGTGGGTGGGAACGGGGAAATGACGGGGATTGGCGGGCGAGGGGGAGGTATGGGATGGGATGTGGATTATGGGGTGAGCGGGGGGGTGAGAAAAATGAGGTGCGATTGGGGTGAAAGAGAAGCGGGCAGTGAAGACGATGTGAGAACCTGTGAAATTTGTAGTCGTTACACGCATGAGAGTCGGTATGCCTCTCCTGGCTGCCTCACCTCGGAAGCTCTCACGATGACGTCAGCCAGGCTTCGCGAGATGTCGTCAGCGGACTCATGCACGCGAAGCTCTCCGGAACTTTCGCGCCCTTGTGTTCGAGTGGTGGGAGGATGGGGTGGAAGAAAATTAACGAGTCACTCGATAGTGAGGAGAATTTGGGGACCGGTAGAAAGCAAAATGCGCCGAGAAATACGCCACCGAATGCGTCAAGGAGATGCAAAGCCCGCACAGTACCTCCAAATCAGGTCTCCGTACCAAGTCGACAGTCCTAACTTCCATGTCAGCTTACACGAGAGGGGAATCGCGGTGTATTTCGCGTCCTCCATGGAATTTCCTGCAGTACGTGCTGACCGCTTATCTCGTCCAGGCCACAAGAAATCTAGGCGACAAACTCGCCGTCGCTATCTCTATAGTTCCACGCTTGCAATGCGGGGCATCCTTCGGAAAAAATCGTGGCAAAGAAGCTCTGTGGTCTGGACTGGATGTGTCGTTGGAATTTGATGCTCACTTCAGAAGTACGTATTATGCATCTCATCTACTGCAGTGTACTGATTAGAATAAATAAAACCACGTTATATGTATGCTGAACTTCGCAAAAACAAAGTGTAAAGAGATTGCAGGCGATGCAACAGCTGAGATGTGGGGTGTGGTGTGGGTGGGTGTGGCCACGGTGGTGGTGGTGGCTGGCATGGTTGTTGAGGGAGCTGGCTAGTTGCTTGACCGAGTCATGATTACGTGTATGTTGGCTTCCGCCCATCACGGCGCATCCCTCTGAGCCACTAGTTCCTCCGCACAAACTGCACTGCGAGCCAAGCCGGAAATTGGCTTCAAGTCTGACGTGACACTTCAAATGCTTCCAATATCCATGGAGATGGAGATTTCAGAACGAATCTGGACGAACAAGTTATGATTACACGTGGCACAATCGCAGTCCCCACATTTGAGTTCATTCTGCCTCTAGATGCACGAGCGGGCCACTTCACCTCGATAACATCCCTTTCTCGAATATTCGCGCGGTGCTAGCGCCCTCGCTGGAGTTCGCTTCGCTGTTATCTGTCGCCAGACTCTCGCGTCAACCGTTCAATCCAGATCCAAGGTTGTTCACACAACCAAAAGCACTTTCCCTGGCATTCCCCAACACCACCAACACCCGCACTCAAGCATTATCTCCACTCGGTGATATTCTGAGAAACATTCTTTGCTGAATACTCCAAAATAGTTGGCTTGGCTGCAATTGCTCGACATCAGCTCCTCTTGCACTCACCATTCCGCTCCCTGCCTAATTGCCTGCGGAAGAGCCTGTGAGCCGGAGAAGCTGTAAGTCCGAGCACAGCTGTTAGTGTCTGAGGAACCTACCTTATCTCAGGCCTTGAATTGCTCAAGTTTCGTTTTTTTCGCGTGAGCGCACTTTTTTGTGTTACGTAAGCTGCCTGGTTCAACCATGGATATTCTCACACGGTGTTCTCCATCGGGGTCGGCGCTCCTTCTCTCCGGTCCACAAGAAGCTCGACCTCTCGCGCTTCGCACGGCGACACACTCCTTCACCTCACAGAAGCTGCCGCAGGCTTCCCGTCGCCACGTCGTTTCGGCAATTTCCGAAGGCTCGCGAAAGTCGCAGTATTCGTCCAGCGAATTCGCGAAGTTACCAAGCGAGCTGCAGGACTTGTCGAATCTCGTAAAGAAGCTCGCGAACGAGACAACTAAACCTCCCCCTCCCCGCGCGGACACCGCGCGGCCGCCCGTCAAATCCCCTCGTTACAGCGACTTCGCTAACAACCCTGAAAACGACCTCTCTAATAAACCTGCCGTCGCGGCTCCCGATGCGCCGAGCATTCCGGGTCTTCCGGCGTCAGTCGCGCGGCAGATGCCATGGCTGGCAGCGGCGAAGGCGCAGCCGGCGCAAGATGCGGAGAGCGACCTTGAGGGATTGATACCCAAGGCGCGTTCCTCCCCGTCCATGGCGACACCCGACGACAGAACAGTGGTGCCTCGTACTGAGGTGAGAACCGTTTGGATGTTGAATTGTCCAGTTACTTGCCACGTGTGCAGCGGTTGACGCATTTCTTAAAAAACTATAATTGGCGGCGTATTTTCGTCGTTGGTGGGGCCATGGCGTCCAATCCTTTTTCCGTCCGTGTACTCACCCACTGCGCCTCGTGCGTCGCTACCAATTTCACGAAAGCACGTCTTTCGAGCTGTTTCTTCCATCGTCGTTCTTCTTCGTCACTCCCGCTCCTCTCATTCTCTCGTCGCCGCGTCCGTTCATGTTCAATCTACCCTTGCTGTCATTCGCCAGGTCATCGCCATGCGGTCGCGACTGAACAAGAAGCTCAGCGAGTCCAACACGTACAACCGCTTCCTGCAGCGCGAGGTACGGAGCTGTACGGAGCGATGGGAAGCGGTGGGGAGCTGGTGGGGGAGGGTCTGTGTGTTTGGTTACGGGAGGTGAGCTGTCAAAATTTTAGGCTTTGGTGAGGAAGAAACGGGCTGAACAAGAAGCTGAGCGAGTCCAACACGTACAACCGCTTCCTGCAGCGCGAAGTACGGGGCATGGAGAAGGGAGAAATAGGGGTGCTCCGTTTGGTCGCTATAGGTAAGTAAGCTTATGAACGTTCAGGGCGTGGAGGAGAAAAGAGCGGCCTTAACTAGAACAAGCGCGTTTCTATTGCTGCGTGCGAGTGATAGCTTGGACGACCGCGCCGGACAAGAAACATTTCATCTTTCGCTGTAATTCTGGTTACGCAACCCAACGTTTTCCAAAACATGACCCTGTCTGCTGCGGATAAGTAGATTGAGTTTCTACGTCTCTGAAGATAGGCTCGGCGTTTAGGCGCGGCGCACGTACGTTGTGGCTCGAACTTGCAAGGATCGAGGGATTTCGGCTAGCCTTATGACGCTTCCACGGCGACGTTAAGGTTGTGAATTTTAGGTCACCGCTTCCGTCCCAGCCACACCCCCATCCCTCTCCCCTTCCCCTCACCAGGTGCAGTACCGCGAGCAGGCGCTGAGCGACTTAAAGGTGAACACGAGGTTCGGATTGTGCCCTTCTGCTCCTCACTCTCCTCCCCCGCTTTTCTCCCCACTCCACAACCCCCTCCCCGTTCTCCACACCAGGTGCAATACCGCGAGCAGGCACTGAGCGACTCCAAGGCACTCATGATCGCACTGGCGGCGGAAATGCGGGTGAGATGGGATGAACGGCTGAGATGGGATGTATTGGTTGGGCGGTTACGATGGGATGGGTTGGGTGGACGGTTGAGATTGGATGGGATGAACTACTTCGATGTGTGTTACGATGATTGGTTAGAGTTTCGGTTGAGATGAGTTGGGATGAAGGCGGGACCGAACGTGAAGGTTGGGTGGGATGAAAATTTGAGATGGCATGAACAGCTGACAGCTCTCATACCTCTGGTTACACCAAGCAAGCCATACATACATGATATGTTCATGCATGCATGCACATTGCACCTGAATTACCAAACACGCTGTGCTCATCATTTTCTCCAATGACTCTCCATTTGCCACGTGTTGCGCGCTCATTGCTCCAGGAGCTGAGCGAGGTTGCGGAGGAGATCGTGAAGACCGATGGCTTGCCAGTCACAAGGAAGATCAACGGTCGATATTTGCCGTCGCATCTCAGCAACAGATTGGAAGGTACGGATGAAGCTAGGTGTATGCCATGGCTCTAGTGGTGGTGAGTTGCTTCGCATGCATACTGCCATACCATCCCATGCACCCTCCCATTTGCTCACTCTTCTTGCCCCTCTCCTCTTCCCCTCCCTTGCTCCCCCGCTCTCCTCCCCTCCCCCTCCCCTCTCCTCCACCCCTCAGAGCTCTATTCCGACCTGAGGCAGCAGCTGGAGGGAATCGAGAAGCTGCGCCTGCGTGAAGTACCTCTGGTGTGGTTTGGCATGGCGGAGGACGTGAAGGTGATGCGGTCGTTCGACGGCTGGCCGTACGGCCGCAGAGGAGATGCCTCCGGTGTGCTTCCGCTTCTCACCCACATCCCCTCACTCCCCTCGCTCCCCTTCCCTTCTCATTCGTCCTACCGCTCCCCCTCGCTCGCTCCCCACCTTCAGAGCTCTATTCCGACCTGAGGCAGCAGCTGGAGGGAATCGAGAAGCTGCGCCTGCGGGAGGTCCCCTTGGTGTGGTTTGGCATGGCGGAGGATGTGAAGGTGATGGGGTCGTTTGACGGCTGGACGTACGGCGAGCAGATGTCTCCTGAGACCACCGGCACCATGACTCGATTCACCACTGTGCTCAAGCTGCGCCCTGGGAGGTAAGGATGGCTCACCTCTAGCTACCGCTCACCACCATTCACCACCGTTCTCCGTCATTCACCACCGCTCACCACTGTACTGCACCGCTCTCAGGCTGAGGTTCGGGGTAGGTATGGACAGCCTGTTCCAAAGGCAGCTCATCAGAACAGAAATCCTTTTTGAGAATTCTCAAACGAGACTTGAGACCACCGGCACCATGACCTGCTTCACGACTGTGCTCGAGCACATGAAGAGCAGATGTGTCCTGGGACCACTGGCACCGATGTGCCGATGTGCTCAAGCAGTTGCTCATGGCTGCTCACCACCCCATCGACTCGTTGCTCGGGCGCATGATCCACTCTTCTCACAGGGCCACTGCATTCCTGTGTGCCATGCCACTCTCATGGCCTTCCCCCATCCCATGATCACTTGCGTCATGTCGAGGCTGCTTCTTGCGAGGCCATTCTGAATTCAGCTTTTGTGTGCGTGCATTCAACTGTGTGCAGCTACGACATCAAGTTTCTGGTGGACGGTGAGTGGAGAGTGACGACAAATTGGCCCACGGTGGGCCACGGCATGATGCAATATTAATCCCTTCTCCCCCATCTTTCTGTCCTTGCATCCCACTGTGCATCTGCGTGTGCATTTGTGCACGGGCATGCATGTGTGCAGGTACGAGATCAAGTTTCTGGTGGACGGTGAGTGGAGAGTGGCGACAGAGTGGCCCACCGTGGGTCACGGTATGCTGGAGAACAACATTCTCACTGTAGAATGACCAATATAGCTGTAATGGGATTATGTGCGATAGCTACACTGCTAAGTACTGCTCAATACCGTAGTTATACAATCGAAATCTTTCCTGCAGGGTTTATGAACCTTGATTTGCTTGGGGTGGCGACTGCATGTTACAGTGCACTGCTATGCCATCAAGTCACTGAAAGGTTCCATAGTTTAGCAATTAAATAAAATCATATTATCAATGAGAAAGAAGCTCAGAAGAACCTGAATTATATGTGGCAGCTGAACTAGTATACCTGCAGAATACTACGATAGAAACTCCCCTCTTCCCTCAAAGCACTTCGATCACCGAACCTTTTACAACCAGTAACCACAGCACAGCATGCGATTACCACTGCCATGAACAGCATCCCTCTACCTAAAGTGTGGACTAACGCTTTTGGGCTCCACAGATCGTAGATTGCAACGGAGAAAAGCCTAACGTACTACACTGTTCCCACTACATATGCCACCAAGTCATGTAGATGTACTCTCTGCATGGCCACAGATCCATGGGTGATCTGCACGGAACCAGAGTTGCAAGAATCGGGGAGAATGGTGGTCACTGAAAGGAATAGCAAGAAACTCATGGCAGAACACGCTGCAGAGAGTGCTGCACATCCTGCGGGTGGTTTAGAAATTGCTCTATGGTGTCGATTTTCGAGGGGCCTATAATACCGCCTCACTACATGCTGGTGAGGAAAAATAGCCTGCCACGAGCACAGCACATCACCATGGTCCTGGGAATGGTTTGGTAATTGCTGATGATGGCGGGACAATGGAGCAGGGATGAGATGGAACACCTACCAAAGGGCTTGTTGTGAAACAGAGGCTTCTCGTTCCAACACCCAACGCGGGGCGGTTTGGGGATAAAGGGTTATATGGTGCCGCTCATCCATGCAGCCCGCCTCAAAGTGATGCCAAGCAATCACCTGGCATGCACTGGTGTCAATCACATCTGTGATTCACAGTTGGGGCACATGGCTGTGATCCCCACTCACCAATCATGGTTGTGATGCTGCTTGGGCAGATGCATTTGGCTGCCCCATAAGTTTCGCCACGATGCACATGCAGCTCAATGATGCGACCCCTGCATGGCCCTGTTCCCTCAATGCTTTGGCCCCACAAGCCCCAGCCCCAGCAGCCCAGCCACTCACCCAGCACTTCTTCCATGGTGACCCTCGCCTCGGGGTCCCTTGTGAGTTTTGAGGCGACTCAAATGGCACCATCCATTCAACATTTCCAACTCCTCCAGCCCCAGCAGCCCAGCCACTCACCCAGCACTTCTTCCATGGTGACCCTCGCCTCGGGGTCCCTCGTGAGCATGGCCCTGTTCCCTCGAAGCTTTGGCCCCACCAGCCCCAACTGATGCAGCGCAGCCACTCACCGAGCACCTCTTCCATGGTGACCCTCGCCTCAGATTTCTAGTCACCACACCACTCATGCTTGTGCTGCCGCTTGTGCACGTGCATTTTTCCATCTGGCTGCCCCATCAGTTTCGCAATACAGCACATACAGCTCAGAAAGAAACTACCACCCACGCATAGCCCTGTTCCCCCTGATGAGATAAATTTCAATCCAACACCTCAAAGCGTGGTTCCTCCAGCCCTACCCTAAGCAGCCCACCCACTCACCGAGCACTTCTTTCATGGTGATCCTCGCCTCAGGGTCCCTCGTGAGCATCCGACGGACGACATCCTTCGCTCCCTCCGAGATCGACGGCCAGGGCTTGCTCGCGAGGTCGATCTCCTTGCATCGGACGGCCTGGAAGATCTCGTCGTTGGAGCGGCCAGAGAAGGGTGGCGATCCGGAGAGCAGCACAAAGAGCACCACCCCCGCGCTCCACACGTCCGCCTGCAACCCATACTGCTCTGATAGCACCTCAGGGGCTAAGTAGTAGGGCGAGCCTACCCTCTCTGTGCACTGTGTGCCTGGAGGGAAGGGGTGTGCAGAGGGTTTGGGGAGAAAGAAACAGGCACAGGTGAACGGGGAGAAGAAGGGCGGCGAGCCCAAGAGCAGGACAAAGAGCACCACCCCTGCACTCCACACGTCCGCCTGCAACCCATACTGTTCTGTCAGCACCTCAGGGGCTAAGTAGTAGGGCGAGCCCACTCGCTCGGTGCACTGTGTACCTGTAGGAATGGGTGTGCAGTGGGGCATAGGCGAATGGGAAAAAGAAGAGAAGGTTGATTGAGGCTCCACATGTCTGCCTGCGGCCCATACTGCTCTGATAACACCTCGGGGGCTAAGTAGTAGGGCGAGCCTACCCTCTCTGTGCACTGTGTGCCTGGAAGGGAGCAGGCGGAGGTGAATGAGAAGAAGAGAAGGTGGTTTGAGGCTCCAAACATCCGCCTGCAGCCTATACTGCTTTGTCAGCACCTCCGGGGCCATATAATAGGGCGAGCCTACTCACTCTGTGCACTGTGTGCCTGTAGGGAGGGGTGCGCAGAAGGATGGATGGGGGCCGGCAACCCGTGCTGCTCTGTCAGCACCTAGGGCGCTGAGCAATACAGCGAGCCCACTGGCTCTATGCATTGTGCTGCAAGTGTAGTGAGGGGTGCGCAGAAGGATGGTTGGGGGCCTGAATACTGCTCTGTCAGCACCTCGGGGGCTGAGCAACAGGGCGAGCCCACTGGCTCTATGCATTGTGCGAGGGTAGTGAGGGGTGGATACCAAGGGGAATGGGGAGTGGGGGATGGATGGCGGGGGATGGGCTGGAGCGGGATGGGGGAAAGGGCTTGGTTGGAGAGGGATGGTGGAGAGGATATGAAGAGGGGAATGGGCGGAAGGCAATGGGAGGGGAGGAGAGGTTGGGCGGGAAGGGGGAATGGAGAGTGGGCCGAAGCGAATAAGGTGAGGGAAATGGGGTAGGGGGGAATGGGGTGACGGGAATGGGTGGAGAGAACTGGGTGGGGTAAAACACCTATCAGGCAGCAGCAGCGCGGCGGCTCCAAAGTCCGTGAGCTTGATGCTCGTGTCGTCAGTGCGCGAGCACAGCAGAATGTTCTCCGGCTTCACATCCCGGTGATTGGAGAGGGAATTGATGGAGGGGAATGGCGGAGGGGAATGGCGGAGGGGAATGGGCGGAGGGGAATGGGCGGAGGGAAATGGGTGGGGAGGAACACATACCAGGCAGCAGCAGCGCGGCGGCCCCAAAGTCGGTGAGCTTGATGCTGGTGTCGTCCGCGCGCGAGCACAGCAGAATGTTCTCCGGCTTCACGTCCCGGTGCGCCACTCCCCGCGCGTGCAGGAACGCCAGCGCCGACGCCAGCTGGCGCGCCACGCTGGCGGCCGCGGGCTCGCTGTAGCGCTGACGTGTCACGATGCGGTGGAAGAGCTCGCCACCGTGGCAGAGCTCCATGATGATGTGGACGGCGCGCGCGTCTTCGAGCGCCTCGTGCATGCTGACTATGCGCGGGTGGCCGCGCGCGCGCTGCATCATCTGCACCTCCCGCCGCACCTCGTCACACTCCGCCTCACACTGCGCGGGGGTTTGGCGCAGCATGGGGGGCGGGGAAACGACGGGGGGTTAGGGCGCGCAGCGCGGGCGCAAATGAGCGCTCGGCGCAAGCGAAGAGGGTACGGGGGCGCAAGATACTCTATCGTCGCACGGAAGCCTCGGGGCAAGAGGACACATTGCGTGACGCACTTATCAGTGCGTGCCATGCGAGCAACGGGATCTGCACTATCAATGCACTATCCATCACTAGCGATGGCATTCTGAAAGAACTCAGAATCATAATGCCACTCACAATCATGGCGGCATTGCTGATGGTCTTGCACGCGAACTGGGTACGGGGGCGAAAGTTACTTGAACGGTCGGGGAGGAAGCAACGGCGTTTTTTGACGTCTCAGAAACGAACGGAACTCACAATCATGGCGGCCTTGCTGATGGCCTTGCAGGAAATGTACTATCACTAACACTATCGATGGCACTCACAATCATGGCGGCCTTGCTGATGGTCTTGCACGCGAACTGCCGCCCAGTCGCGCGGCACCTGCACGCGCGCAGCACGCCCACCTTCCCCCGCCCGAGCTCCCCCTCCGCCACCTCATACCGCGCCTCAAGCTCCGCGTACGGCCGCCCCAACACGTGCCGCGTGAACTCCCGCTCCCCCTCCTCCGCGCCGTCCCCCTCTTCCCCCAATATTCCCCCTGCATAGCTCCCCGCGTCCCCCCGCGCGCTCAGCTCCACTGTAGAGACTGTCTCCCGCACCAACGCTGGTCCGAACGGGGAGGTTCCGCGCGCGGGGGATGAGACTGGGGGGGAGAAAACGAGCGGGCGGAGGCTGGGGGAAGAGACGCGAGGGTTGGCGAAAGAATCCGCAGAGGCGCGCACAGCCGGACTGATGACGATCGGGGGAACGGGGGAAGGCCTGGCGCTGATGCCGCGTGCTGGGGTGTACCTTGATTTGCTGCGACTGACCGTCGGTGTGCAGAAGCTGTGTCCCGTGGTGGTGGTGGTGGTGCTGCTGCTGCTGCTGCTGCTGTGGCTGCCGAGCCCGCTGCTGCTGCTGTTGTGAGCGTTGCTCTCGCTTCGGCTGGTAGGGAAGCGGCGCGTCTTCTGACCGCGCGGAGGGGTGTGGGGAACTTTGAACGGCGCTGCGAGGGCCTCGAGGGCGGACTGCTCGAGCGACACCGTGCGACCGACACTCTCCTCCAATTGCTGACGGCCACCAAGGCCGCCCGCCACGTCAGCATGATCCGACGGTCTGTCAGCGCTGTCGCCGTCAATCTGCTCGAGAAAAAGCGCGGGAAACGCGCTTTCGCTCCTGTAGAGGGACCGGGGTCCTGACACGCCTATCCGCCGCAACTCCTGCTGCTGCTGCTGAGTCTCTAGTGGCTGCTGTTCGTACAGACGACGCTCATCGGGTTGATAGTGCTTCGGCCGACACGGCTGCTGCGCCAGCGGCGGTCGCTGATCCACACTACCGTGCTGAGTCGGCCGCTTTTGGTTTGGATGCCGGCTCGTTCTCCATGGCTTGAACGGCGGAGGGACTTCACCCGCGGATGGAGCAGACGTAGACGGAGACGGATCGACCACCGCGGTACGAGCCTCTCGACGGAGGATGTCGGAGGAACCGTCGCCGGGTAGTGCGGCGTGAAGCTGAGCCGCAGCTTCGCTGCAGGTTCTCCTTATCGCAGCGCTTCGGTCCGTGATTCCCGCGCGTGCGATCGCGTTTTCCTCGTCGTGCTTCGCGATGTGGTAACCAGCACATTGCAAGCCGTCATTTTGGAACTCGTTATTGTCGGCGCCGAGGCCTCTCCATCGCTGCTTCAGCCCATCAAGGAGCTCGTGCTCGCCTGTCCTCGCTTTAAAGCTTCTCGCTCTCGTGTTACAGGGTCCTTCGGACATCACCACGGGAGGCATTATCGAGATCTCTCCGATGGACTTCGACAGCCGGAACTTACGACCTGTACTACACTCAGGCAAGTCAAAGAGACGTGTCTTAGGAACGGGTGAGGCGGATAGATTAGGGAGATTTTCCACGTCAATCTTGCGTCCAGTGCCGTTTCGGGGTTGGCTCGGCCGGAGCTCGGGAGTGACCTGATTGGATGATTGGCTGTCGAGCAGAGGAAAGACGAGAGGAGGAGACACGGCGTCATCAGAGCCTGCTGACTTGGGACCGATGGTAGGAGTTTGTAGATTAATCGACGGTTCCGAAGATGACGGTGAACTGGATGAAGTTACGTGCCGTCTCTGGTCTGCTGGATTCGTCTCTTGAAATCTGGCGGGACTTTTTACGCAGTAGTGAGCCATTTGATCTGGAAAGATAAAGGAAGTAACGATTTAAGTTAAGAACAAAACTAATCGTTGAAGCGCTGAGGCGAAGGATCTATGAGCCACCTGAGAGTTCAAATAGCACCAATCGAATGCAGCTTCACGCTAAGGGAATTAGCGTTCACCGATGAAGCACGTGAGTGTACCACACGTCGGTACTGCCGTCTATCTGAGACCTAATCTACTAATTTCGATCTTATCACTGGAACCTGCGTCGGAGACAAGTATGTTGTCCAGAAATTCATATTACAAGTGATGGAGGACGCACTGAAATCAATCATTCATACCGTAAATTTTCAAATGTGCTGGCGAACAGGGCCATCATGTTCCCGCACTTCCCCTATGCTACCTGTTTTCATGGAGCTCTGCTCTCCATAGCTCATCAGTCATGAGCCATGAATAATTCTGGCAGGCATTTCCCATGCTG